ATATAAAAATATATTGTGATATTTAAAAGCGATTAATAATATAAATATTGTTGTCAAAAAAAATGTATACATAATGTTAATTTAAATTAAAGTTACCTCTTTGGCTTTTTCGGATGGCTGACTAGTTCAATAAATAAATTAATTATTCTACATTAAAAATACGTTAAATTAACATAGCATCTCATATTAAATTTATACATAAAATCGAATGTTATCTTCCGATAGATAATAATAAATGCAATACTGTAAATACAGAATTTACTGAAATGAGTAATTTTTATTTATTTGTCCAATCATCGTCAATTTAAATTATAAAATTTGAATTCTGCTTTTGAATTTTGAATGCAAAAAATGAAACGCAAAATTTATTTACAATTCCGTTTATCATATTATATTAGGTCAGGCCCTCTTTCGATCGACTTGATAAACACAGATAGCCAATCTCTTTGGGTTCTGAAACACTTTTCACCCGACATTCATGCATGTGATCTTTATTTCTTAAAGCTCGAGCAGTCCATAAATTAAACGAGTGGAGTGTGTTGTGAGTGTGGTGTGTGCTCATTATATATTTTTGTTTTGCTGCAAGTTCAATGGCTCTGCCTGGCGAGATCAATAGCACACATAATTTGCATACTCGCATCTCTCTTGGCCGGTCGGAGAATTAGATATGGAATAAGCGTAAAGAAAGCCCATGGGTCAATATTATATATAAAATAATATATTATGTGGAGCCATAAAGAATGGCCAGTGTCTGACAAATAACTGTGCACCATCTCGCGGATATCTCGTACGAATAATCGGCCGCAGAAAAAATATTGTATGCTAATTGAGCTACCGGTGGGCTGGATTCTCGGCTTATGAAGTCATAAGGAGAGAGAAGGATATTCCCTCTCGGCTCGCGCGCGCCTCCAAAAATAAAAAGAAATAATATTATGGCACACACGACGAGACGGTTGAGAAAGAAAACAAGCGGCGTGCTCGCCCCGAAAAATCGCGTGGTCACGACTTTTTATTCTATTTCACTCATTGTGATTTGAATGCAACGTTGTTTATTAATGCGATTATCAAACTTAAAATGCGGCCTATTTTCATATCCAACGATTTATGAATGGATGGTCACATTGATTACAAAAACAATAAGTTGAATTCAAATTTCATAACAAGAACGTATCTTAGAATATAATATTTTATATCATGGTATAATTACCAATAATTAAAAAGTTTTTTTTTTGTGTGAAGTTATTTATTTTGTGTGCAGTGACTGTAATGATACATTTAAATTACATTGTTAAATTAATGAACATTGAACAAACACAGCAAAAATTGAAGTGAATTTCTTGAGAAATGTATACATTAATCATATTGAGGCTGAGCAATTTATAAATAATTTTTATCTCACTACATACAATCCTGGTAACAAAATAATGAGTTTTAAATTGCGTTAAATAACAAAAAATAATAAAATTATTTATTTAATTATATTTCAAAGTTTTGATTTCTAATTATAAAAATAATAATACTAAATATAAAATTAAACTAATTTGTCAATAGCTAACGGTTTTTTTTTAAATAAATTTTAATTGTTACATAAATTGAATTTCCTATAAAGTCGCGTCTGCGTGCGATCGCACACTCCTATTGCACTTTGAAGGCTCCGCTCGTTCATTTTTTTTTCTTCACATCTTCGTAAAAGAGGGATCAAAGGTCAGGCGGCGGGGGCGGAGGGTCTGCGAGGCTCTTCCTGCGCCCGACAAGCTCTTCAGGGGGCCCTCGATCGAGTTCCCAAGGGAATGATAACGCACGCAGTGTATACGTTCGTTAGTTTCACTCTCAACCGCCCAAATGAGATGCTCGTCACCTTGACCGCTATTTTTATACCTGGCTTATAAAATGGAAATTAAATTTATTTATCGGAAAGGCAGTCAGCCGAGCGTGTTGAATTAACAGCTTTTTTTTCATTTCACCCGCCACTTTTCATATACTTAGGCGCACAGTTCGTTAGATTTGCCTACGATTTGGGCAATTAATTTCAGCACTTTTGAAATATCTAACATTTTTATCAAGGAAGAAGAAAGTATCCAAGAGTTATTAAATTAAAAATTTAACATGTTAATTAGCAATTGAGAGATTTGATCATCCAATTAAAGACTAATAGCAAAGCTCTCGAATAATTTTTTTTCTTTTTCTGATCGCATGCGATGTCGGTTCCTTTTTTCTTTATTTTTGTTCATGTCTCGAGTCGGTTCACTGGGTTCAAGGTTCACCTTCAGGGAACCGAAAACACACAGACTTTGGGATAATTATTATTTAAGTGCAGGTGCATGCGGCACCAAAGACACGCTCCAAACTGATTTGACCGAGCACCGTAAATATGACAAGCGGCGAGAGAGCCAAACCATGAAATTACAGCTCCAAAACCCTTTCGCTCTGATCCGTGAATAATTCTCTTCTTTTCCTTTAAAATAATAGAGAAATTACTATTTAACACGACCCTCAAATTATGCTATTGGCCGAAAAACAGAACGAAACAAAAGCAGCAATTTGGCGCTGAACAAAAAGCTTTTGAAAAAAAAATTATCCGCTATTTCCTTCGTTGCCAGAAATCGATTCTCAACGGCAGATGAACTTTAATATTAAAATAAAGGAAATGAAATGCAAAGTTTCTGCTCTGCATATTTTCTCATGAAAATTTAGGGTGAAAATAAAAGTCTCTGAACTCGGCAACTCATAATTGTTGCAGTGGGAAGAATTTTTACGAGAGGGAAAATAAACAAACTCTCTGTCGCGCTAGATGAACCCAGCAGATTTTAATCTAATATGCACGTGGAAGAATTTGTAAGCATTTCCGGACGTTGAATCCGAATGCGAAAATTAACTCCTCGCCCAATCTCTTTATATTATTTTACTCCACAAAAATGTGGCTGATTGACGGAAATCGGCCACGCGGATCGATTATTTACATAAATCACGCTCCATTGCGCAAAACCACCATGGGAGTGATGAGAAAATTTGGTCGGTCTGGCTGCTCTCCGAGATGAGATTTCTCACAAATTGCCATAAGATTAATTTCGGCCTCTGTGGAATGAGCGGTCGCCGCCGCCGCTGGTTTATTCAATTTTATTACGATTTTTATCTCACAAAAATATAACCGAACGAGCAATGCTGCCGGATTTAATGATAGAGAAAGAGAAGCCCCGACACAAAATAAAAAACAAAAACACGGCGGGCATAATTATCATGTAAATGCGAAAACAAATAATTAGTAAAACGGAAGTGGTGCTGCGTTTGTTGTTTATCTATGCATCATAAACACAGACCGGCGAAGGCGATTTTCGAGAAACTCCGAGATGCATTTTGCTGCAATTAAATCAATAGTAATGCACCTCCAAGGCTGCGCTCACCACAGTTTTATGGTCTTCCCACAGGCAGATGAACTCTCGCTTTGTGTTAGTTTTCGTGCGTAGAAAGTTTTTCTTTCTCTCTATTCGCATATAATTAATTTTCCTCCAAGGATTGTTCACATATCTTTTGTGCCATAAATATGTCTGGCGAAGGTGATCTTTAATGGCTGACCCGTACAATTATATCAAAGAGAAATAATTTAAAGCAGTAAAATTTTAAAGCCTTCATTAAGTGTGTTTTTTACAAAGGGCAAAAACGGGAAATTCAGAGAGCAATTATTAAATTTGGGATTTAAAAATCTGGTTTTCTATTGCGACAAATATAAATAAGCAGCGCTCTAAATCAAAGCCTTGCAAGGCACTAATTTTAGACCATTAACATGTCCCTAAACTAAAAAAAACAAAATTTCTGTTATAATTATAAGGGAGAAGAGGGAACACAAAAATTTAGAACAGCAACATAATTAATTTTCGAGCCATTTTTTTTTATATTTGTACGAAAGTGAAAATGCCTCTAATTAAATTGGGCACTCGACCGCAATCGAGGGCCAACTAACCACGCTTCTTGTGTATGATTATTAAATTGTATGAGCGTACAAAGCGCTGCCGGTGTTGCTGATAAATGTTCACATTGAGTCGCTGCGTGACATCGCGGGTCATCGTGAGCATCGTGACTGGAGCCTTTTACGTTAGAAGTCACGACGGCGCGGACGATCCCCCACAGCCACTTGCTTGGCAAATTGACTTCCAAATATTTGCCGTCTCTATATCCTTAAACGGTTCCTCTCATAATTGGGACACAATAATAATCGACTCCAACAATATGAGAAAACTACTCTTAAGCGGCTCGTTAAAACGGCGAATCAATAAATCGGCCCGTGATTTCCAAATCTCACCTGTTCGCCAGGGAACAAGGGTCCTCTAATGTATAAAAAAAAATTATTTCAGCACGCTTCCTTCCTTTCCATTATGTTGTGCATGCGTGTCGTTTCATCACGCACCACACTCTCCGATTCTCTTCCGAATAGCGGAATATTGCATTTTATACCCACACGCACCGCCGAAGTTGGTTTTACTTTTGTTTATCTTCGCGAGAGAGAGAGAGAGAAGCCTACTCTCTGCGAAAGGAGAGAGACGTGCGTGGTTCAAGGAACTATGCTTGAGGAGTTAATTCTCTTGATATATACCCAAGTTGGGGGCCTCCGCACACAATTTTTTGGTGAAGAGATGGATATTTATCATATACGTGCTCTTCACACGTTATTTGGAAAGATGAGGTCTTTCAAAGCTGCGTGAAATATTGCCAAGGTTTCAAGATTCACCGGGTCATAAAATTTACAAAAATAATAAAAACTAACAAAAAAATATCATTCTGATAACAAATTATTTTTGCACGGTAAAATAGATATTATAGTAAATATTAATTCATAAGTAAAAGATAAAAAGAAACTATAACTTTTTAAATTAATTACTTTATTTCAAAACCATTTAACCGAGCACTGTAGCCTATTTCTTCCATTTTTACTTTTTTTTAAAGTCCATTATTTTTTTTTGAATATCTCGTTCTGCAATTTTATTAATAGTTTTGTTTTCTTTCAGTTCTGGAGGTATGACTGCGCAGCCGGCCGAAATTCCCATCTGGATAAACGGGGCGCAGCGCTGGATCTCGGGCATTGGCCGCAAGACGACGTGTGATGATGTCATCCGTGTGCTGCTCCGCTCCGAGGGCTGCAACCCCGAGAACAAAGACAAGGAGGAGAAGCACCAAAACAAACACTACGCGATCGTCGAGCGCTGGAAAAAGGTCGAGCGACCCCTTGACGGCAGATCTCGCATTCTCAAAGTCTGGACGGCTTGGGGTGACGAGCAGGAGGCGGTGCGTCTCACCCTGAAACGCGTCAACCCCACCACCCCCCGCGAGGTCAAAACGCACCACCACCGACGGAGTTCGCGGGGCCACAACCGGGCGCGACTTTTGCAGACCGTCCATCCGAAGCGGTTGATCGACGGCGACAACAAGCAATTTTCAGACACCATCGAGCACTTGATGAAACTGATCCTGGCCCAGGGCGAAACCATTCAGACGCAGCTACGTCGGCTTCACGACCGTGACGAGCAGATTATCCACATCGAAGACCAAGTGCACAGTTCCCGGCAAGAACGACTCGGTTCAAACTACCTCCTTGAGACCTATTTGAAGGACCTCGACGCCAACAAGGGCGGCGAGGACGACAGTGGCGTCGCCGAAGTTGAGCCTGCCAAAGCGGACGAGGAAGAGGAAGCTCAGGAGGAAAATGAGGAGGATCAGGGTGGAGAAGGGGAAGACGCCGAATCGCAAAGGGCGCTTGTGGAGACGCGAGCGTGCATCGCCCTGTGGGAAAGGGTCGTCAGGGTCAACAAGCGTCTGGAAAAGGAGGAGCAATGTCTGGTCAAGCTTCACGTCAAGTTGAGACGATTGTCCGAAGCCGAACCGACTCAGGAAGCGACGGACCTGATCACGAGCGAAGCGATTTCCATTGTCAAGGAGCAGATTGAAGAGGCCGACGCCCTGTCCACGGCCCAGCAGATGGAGGTGGAACAAAACGACGTGCGACTGCAGGAAACGTGCGAACAGCTGCAGGAGAGACACCGTCTGCTCGATTACCTTCAGGAAGAGCTTCAGGAGTGCGAACTGGAGGAGCAGCAGCTCAAGAAGTGGCTCCAGGAGGCCATGTATAAAAAGCACCAGCAGATGCAGCAGCAGCAACAATTGCACCACGCCATGTTGACCAAGCAGTTCGCGCAAGTGACCTCAACGCCGGCGAGTAGCACCGGGGCCATCAGGAAGCAGATCGAAGGTGACACGGACTCGAATTCAGACACGGGACTCAGTTCGCTGCACAGCAGCAGTGAGGAAGGGGTGTACGTGTTGGACACTTTAGTATGAGTCGCGAGATGAGTTTGAGGCGCCGTTGATTACCATTAGCATTAAGGACAAATTATTGTATTTGAGAAAGTTTTGATTTCACACCAACCCTGGATTTTATACGTATATCGGTCATGCCTGTTGATAATTTTATTGCTTAGAAAAAAAATTAGAACCACTTTGTGTAAATTTAAAAGTAGTGCGTCTATTTATTTTGAAATCAGATGTCAAGTGATAAAATGTTGGTCGAAATTTATATATATCTTCCCTTCCTTATTGTATTTCTATTGTAGTCACGCATTGTTTCAAAATTACAATGATGCATTAATAACCAAATAATATTCAACTCTTGATTATTCAGAGCAGAGAGAACCATTATAGAAAGCCATTCTTCCTCTTCTCTATTTTTCTGTCTTGTTATAATCTTACTTTGCACAATGGATCGTGCTAATTTGAATAATGACTATTCAGCACTCTCTCGTCCCTAATATATGTCACTTCTAAATCAACAAATTTCCTGGACGCATATATGTATATTTTTTTTTTTCTGAAAAAAAAATGTTGAAGTACAAAAAATGTCAAACTTTCTATTATGCCAGTAGCGTTTGCCTCAAGGAATCGCCGATTGATTATTTTCCACATCAAACAAACCGAAGTCGGCGAAATACTTCACGGCACGTTTGCTTATTTGTATCTAAAGTTATTGGAGCGTGAGTCATGCAGTTTAACGAATTAAGAGTCAAAGAAAGGAGTTTAATTGTCTAGAGATATTTCACCGCTTCCAATGTGTGACAATTAACCACGCGTTAATTCAATTCTGTGCCTTTCAAGCACAATTGAACAAATAAATTCTGCAATAATTGAAGGCGGTCGGCACCAAAACCAATCTGAGCACCGTTAACCGCCAGACCGAATCGCACCAAAATTCAATAAGCGTAATGCAACAAAAAGTCGAGTCTCACGTTTATCAAAAAAAGGAATGAAAATTGTCCACTTTTCATAATATTAATCCGCTATGCACATATACCAAATTTTTTTATAATTTAATAATCGCCCCCAATGATATTTTGTAGTTTTTAAGAAGTACATGTCTCCTAGTCACAGTTCATTGAATAAACCTTTGATACATCTGTATTACATACACGAAATTTCCGCTGTTTTATTTAACTATAAAATTAGTTTTTAATTCCAAGAAAATGAATATAAAATAGAGCTAAATTAGTATTATGTTTAAAAAAAATTAAAAATATATAAATTGTGACACTAAAAATCATCAAATATTTACTGAATTAATTCTTTTGTTGATTAAAAAAGTTCATAAATCATTTTAATTATCAAAAATAAGTAAGCTTCAGTGTCTTCTGATATTTTAGCCAACCAATTTTTTAAATTATTGACAAAAAATTATAAAAAAAAAATGTAACATTATTGTAAAGATCTTATTAATTTTTTATTTCTGACGATATCCAACATTACTTATTTCACCTTGATGTTATATTGTTAGAGCTCATTGCAGCTAATTAGCTGTAGTAAGAACAAGAAGGTGCAACTGTGAAGCAGGAAGCCGAGATGTACCAGGGGGCTAATGACGACGACGACTAACCCATTGTACGCGTCCCTAGGATTATTGCAAGTTTTTATATTACGGAGTTTGAATGTGTAATTCTCGATTTTCTCACTCAGCAAGGCGCCCATGCAACTTGGCAAATGAAGTAAGCCGAGGAGAAAAAAGCTGCTCCTTCAGAATGCATAACAGGAGTTGGTTGTGAGAGGCACCAAATCCGTCGTCGACCCAGCGAACGCCAACTCGCAACACAGCTAGTTCTGCTGACTCATTCACTTGCAACAGATTGACAGTGAGATTTGGCTACTTAATGTTATTTGCGAAAGCGCCAGTGGTATAATCGAAATAAAATATGGATTTAATAATTTTTGTATCAATTCTCAACGGAAAAAAAATGAGAAAAACTAATGATCATTTTACTTATGAAAGAATTATTAATTTTTTATTAAATTGATTATTTACACAAGGATTGCCCATCAGAGCTGATGTCAATTTTATACAAACAGATAAGTTTCAAATTTATTTAGTCACTATCAATACTTGAAAGTCACTGGTGCAAATCGAAGAACCTTCTGACCTTGGGTGTCATCAGTCTGATAAAAGAGGCTGGAAACATTTTGTTCTGCTCGTTGGCGTACTTGTAGTAGTTGAACGGCTGAGCAATCACTTCCATCAGAGCGTCCAAAAGTTTTCGGTCCTGTGCATGCGAAAAATAAAGGCGCGCTTCAGGGAGCGTTTAACAAATTCTCACCTTTAGAATCTCCAGGTGGTTGTGAGAAGAATACAGTCTACTGTCTTGCACTATATCTTCGATCAATGTCTGGTACCCCTCTAAATTAATTGTTTTTATACAATCTTTATAAGAAAAAAATCGAATTTTTTCTACCTTCGTAAGTTACGAATGGAATTCTAAAGCCTTTGGCTGTCAAATTCCCGTCCGACTGAAATTGGATCCACAAATTTTTGGTCCGCGAAGTGATTGCGATGGGACGACTTAAACTCTTGCACGAGTCGAAAGTTATGGCAGAATAGGGAGACTCTGCAAAAATTGGAAAAAATTATAAATCAAAATATTTGCAACTGATTGTGAGTCGTAATAAAAGAGACGTCGAGTGGCGCCCGATCTCGCTTTTACTTGGCAAGCGAATGATAAATAAATATATTGGCTGGGAAAAGACGAGCAGAGTGACTCACTTGACTTTCTCATGACGAGCCTGTCGCCGCACTTGTCGTCGGCGAGGTCGAGCCCGGGCACAATGACCAGCAACCTCCTGCCAGGTCCAGGTTTCACATTCCAGACACACTCGACGTTGGTTGGATAGTCTCCAGGATAATTTGGCGACTGCACGTAGCCCTGCAGCTCGCCCATGAAACTCACGCATTCTATGTCTAGTCGCAATAAAAGAAGTTGATATAAAACAATTCAGATGAAATAAGAAGAAATCTGCCTACTTTTGCAATCGCTGACGTCAGAAGACGCGGCGAAATCGGTTGTCGAGTTTCCGGGGCACTTTTTGCAATAAGGTTGACCCTTTTGGTCCTGATAGTAGCCGGTAGGGCACGGATCGCACTGCCCGGAGAAAATGTTATGGTGATAGCCAAGTTCACATGGTTCTAAGAAAAAAAAAATTAAATTTAAAATATTAAAAAATCCTATGAGAAAACTATTTATATTATCTTTAAATGTATAAAATTCTACTTAATTATTCAAGATTATGGGCAAATAATAAAAAATGGCTATATATTTCTCTCTTTCTTTGCATCTAAAAATTCAGATTTATGCAACTTGCTCAACTCAGAAGTAAAGCAGGTTGCCTAGTTTGCTCACATTCAGTTAAGCGCAATAATGCTTCAGTAATATTGAATTAAAACCGTTCTCAATACCTTTGATGGTGCAGTGCTCAAAATTTGACGACCCAGTGAAAATGCTGGTTGCATTCAAACCGCACGATTTACAAGTTGTCCTTCCGATATCAGGTTGATATGTGCCCTGAGGACACTGGTGGCAGGGCAAGAGGCCATCGGATGAAAAGGTCCCAGCTTGGCATATACCTGATGAGATAAAATCAACTTAACTAAAATGATCTTCATAAATTTAAATCTATTTATGAACCTATGCATGCGGGGTGAAGGTTGCTCTTAAGGTCTGCCTCGCAAGGAACACACTTGTCTTGACCTTCCATTAGCTGGTAAGTACCTGGAGGACACGGCAGGCATTTTTCATCTTCTTCCGAATAATATGAACCAACTCCGCAACCAACTGGAGAATTTTAATATGTCAATAAATTTAAACTAATTGTAAGTTATTGTTACTCACCACAAATATTGTCCACTTTAACAAGACCTTTAGGACACACTTGGAGAAAGTTTTTCTGCAACCGTAAAGTCTTTGGGACCATTTTCAAATCATTTGCAGCAATTCTGTGAAGGAAAAATAAATTTTCTGCTTGTCGCAACCAGTTAAATTTTTTAGCTTTACCTCCCATTGAACTTCCCAGAGTTGACGAATTTTCTGAACCAACCTATCATTGCCTTCAGAGCTTTGTCAGTCATGTCTCTGGTGCTGTTCGGGCTTTCTGGTTTTTTAGCGTTTGATTTTGGTGCCATCACAATATTAATTGTCAGTCTTGTGGCTTCGCCCTTTTTCAGGTCGGCCTTGGAGAGCGCTTTCTGCGAATACTCGCAGGTCGCCAAGACCACACTCAGGTTGCAATTTGGCTTCATACATCGAATATCTCCTAAAATTTGAAGCTATAAAAGAGAAAATTAAATAATTTTATGATCAACAGACCTGCGAATCTATCTATAAACTGGCTGGCGGCGGAAATTGTGCCATTCATGTTGGTCAGGTTGCATTTAGTGCCGGCCATTAGGATTTTAGCTTGCGTCATATAGCTCGGAGGATGAATATCATCTATTAGGATTTATTATTACAAAAATAATTATTAGAGAAAAAATTTAAATACTTGAGCAACTAAGGAGGATGTCGTTGCTTTGCTTTGTCACTTTCTCGCCGTATTGCCACAAATAATTGGTGTGGAGGCCGCAAAAAAGTGTCTTTGGTAGATCTGAAGTAACGCTTGCGTTTTCCCGGCACCGAAAAGTGCAATTGTGCACCGCACTTTCCCTCAGACAGCTCAATTCAGTTTTTGGTGCTGGTTTCAAGGCAAAGCACACCGTTGAATCTTGAAGAGACAAAGAAAAGAAAATTTTGGGGAAAATTGCCATTTAAATTGTTCCGTTCAGGAAAATTTCATTTGAAGAAAATATTTGTTAATTTTTTTAAATATTTTAAATCAGCTTAAATAATCTTAAACTTACCAACACAGTCCTTTTTATTAAAATGTAATCGATATCCTGATTCACAAGTGCAAAAGAAACTTCCTTGTGTGTTTACACACTTTTGCTGGCATCCTCCATTGTCCACCGAACACTCGTCAATATCTAAATTTATTTTTCAATAAAAAGTGATATAAAGATTTAAATAATTTTCCATTCAGTACCTGCGCAATGCGTGTGTCCATAAAGCTGGTAGCCAGGTTCACATGTGCAGTAAAAGGAGCCGTGCGTGTTGATGCACTTTTGATCGCACACACCTTGAATTTCGCACTCATCCAAGTCCTCGCACGATTTGCAATCGGCGCTCAATTTGAACCCTTCATTACAGACGCACTCAAAGCTTCCAAGGGAATTGATACACCGGTGCTGACACCGTAACTTGCCTTCCTCAGTGCATTCATTAACATCTAAAAACAATTGTAAACATTTATTAAATTTATAATTATATGTTAAATGTTGTTGAAATAAATTAAATCAAGATTTACTTTCATTTTTTTTATATTCAATCAAAATAATATAAAATTGATTTTGATTGAATACTCCAATAATGAGTCTTTTTTACAAATAAAGAATAAAAATTTTAAGTAAGAAATTAATTTATCCTTCTAATATTAATTTTTTTCTCACCTCTGCAGGTTTTTCCATCTCGGTTCAATAAAAATCCGGTGGGACAACTGCACACGCTGCCAACATCAGTGTTAGCGCAGAGCTTTTCACACCCGCCATTATTCACAGAGCAGGATGCTTGCAAATTATTGTAAAATTTAATTATTTTTCAAAATTGAAATTTTTTTCATTTCGAGTACCTCTGCAGCTTTTCTGGTCGTGCCCGAGGAGGTACTTGAGGGCACAGGTGCATGTGGGTCCGTTTTCAGTGTCCACGCACCGGTGTTGACAGCCGCCGTTTCCGGCGCTGCACGTGGGGGTGCAGGAGCGAAGGTCGGGGTTGAGAAAGTGGTGGCGACGGCACCAGCAGGAAGCGGACCCGCGTGGGCTCGACTCGCAGCTGTGGGCGCAGCCAAAACCGACGCACGCACTCGGCGCCGCTAGAATAATTAAATTCACAATACAACTCAAATTTTCAAGCAGATTGGAATAAATATAGATATGTGTTTTTTTTCATGCATTTTTTCCTACTTCGTGTCAAAAGAAAAGCATAACAAATTTTTTTGTAAAAATTTATGACATAAAAGACTTTCAATACATAATCCTAAACTTAGTAAATAACTTTGAGCGTTATATAGCTCCAATGTGATGCCTAAGTTATTTTGGTTACATAACTATCATCATAACTTATATCATAAACATGTTAATTTAATGTAATTTAAAATTAATTACTCATAAATGAAATGAAATATCGTATCAATAGAATCGAAAAATCAGGAGGAAATTATGAGAGCCCCACAGATTTACATAAATGGTCACTAGACCTACTGAAACAAAATGTTGATGTTCAAAGCAATCATTAAAAAAAAAAGAAAGCAACACTGTTTATTTAATTTTAATACAATCTATGTTAATATTATTAAAATTATTCTATATATTATTAAATGACAAGAATTATTATATAAAATAAAACAAATTTACAAATATTTTATATATTAAAATTAAAGGATGTTTTGCATAAAAAATATTAATATATTTTAAATTTATAGAATGTTTAATACATTACATTTTTTTTTACTTACGTTTACAGCGGACCTCGCTGGTGTCGAGGGTGAACAGGGGCGAGTGGCAAGAGCAGTGGAAGGAGCCGACGGTATTGACGCACCGCTGGTCCTTGCAGATGTGCGCACCCTCTGCACGACATTCGTCCCGGTCGACGCAGTTGTGCGGATCCTCCGAGTCGCTCACAAATCCTTTGTAACACTCGCAGTAATAAGAACCAGGGGTGTTCACGCAAATGTGGGCACATCCGCCGTTTTTAATACGGCACTCATCCACATCTTTACAAAAATGTAAAAAATATTTAAAATTAAAATTTTATCCACAATTATTTTGCATAAAAGAGAGCAGAAATTAAAATTAATTTCTGTTTTAAAAAAAGAAATAAGAATTACGTCACAGTTATTTACATATTTTGCTAAACTTTTCAGCAAAATCGATGAAAAGTAATTTTGAGAACACACGCGAGATGGGTTCAATTTGTCCTCCTCTTTCAAAAACATTTTAAAAGTACACGCACTGCATCATTACTGCCTTTTTCCATGAACCAAAATGTCAAAGCGTCATACTTTAATCCCCGAGCACCGCCGCGCCACATTACACAAGTCTGCCTTTTGTTGAGAAAAATTTCGATATCTCGATATCAAAGCTTGGCACACACACAGGCCAGCGCCCCGATTATTTGTAATTGCGGGAGCAGCGCAACATCAAAAATCAAAAGATTCGCTTGGAAGGGCAGCCTCATTAGCCGCACGAAGGAGAGCAGCGGATAATTATTGGCAGTAGAGCGATGGTCATTCGCGTACACACGCAGAGCAAATTTTTTTCAAAACTCCCATTCAAACTCACCTGAGCATGTTTCGCCATCACCGTCCCAGCCAGTTTTGCAAACGCAGCGGTGAGATTTTCTCGTCGGCCTGCAAATTGCGTGCTGACTGCACTTTGGACCGCCGTCTTCCAGACATTGATCTAAAAAATTTAAAAATAAAAAAAATGACTTTCAACTTAATTATTTTGAAAATAAGTAAAAAAAAAAATTAGAAGGTTTATTTTCAAAAATCAAATCAAGCGGAAATTTTGAAGTACTTTTTCTCTCCATTTCCAATATTGAATGGTATTAAAAAAAAAAAACATTTTCCAACATTTTATAACATTTAAAAAAATAATATAAAAAATATATATTTATTTCTGCCTATAAATGCACTCTTCTTACCTTCCTTCTCCATCATGGTAATGTTTACTTCGCACAGTCCCGACCCTGACGACCAAGGTCCGTCGAGAGCCCTGTTGAGACCGAGGTAGAGAGTCCGCAGAGGTTTGTAAGATGCGGGCAGACTCTGCAAAAGACGGCCGTCATGCCACGTGAGGCTCGGTGTGGGGCCGGCGCTGATATACAAGTCGGCTTTGGCGTTGACTTTGATGGTTCCATCCAGGGCCTTCAGCAACACCCGAGGAGCGTCGGCGATGACGAAGGACGCCTGATGTGGACCTTGCTCAGGGTCTCCCGAGTGACCGTACACCCGAAGTTGCCTATTGACCACTTGAAGTTCAAGATGAGATCCTGGCTCACCTAGAAAAAATAATGATTAAAAAATCTTATAATATAATGAACAAAAATAATTTTAAAATTTACATTTTTTAATGTTTTATTACAATATATTTCATTAAATTATTGTTTCAATATTTTTAATTGTTAATTATTTTAAACATTTATTAGAATTTTATTATTTGATCTTAAGCAACTTAAAAATTTTATTAAAGAAGTTAAAGAGAATTAGATAAAAATTATTTATTTTTTAAGCTTCCAAAGAAGTATTTTAATAATGAAATAATTTTAATTCCTAGGGGGACACAGATTGAATATTCAAGGTTTATGTTCAATGTAGTTTTTATGTACAACAAATATGGCAATATACTGAATAAAATACTATAAATCGTGAGATACCTTTGATCGGAAAATAATTAGCCAATTGAATATAATTTTTAACAATTAAAGCAAATTAAATATACCTTGGCCGTATCCTTCAGCTCTGAATCCATCAGCAATGTGAAGGGTCCACGATTTTGGCTTTGAGTAACGCAGTGAGATTTTGACCGCTTGGTGATTCGGCTCGAAATTGACCCGTAGAACGGCACTTTTGCTGCAGTCAGCCGAGAACCCTGTCGATGGCGCGTACAGGAAGTGCACTAGTCTGCTGTAGCCCCTCACAACCCCCGTGTCCAAATCCAGCTGCACCGTCTCCACCAGCGAAAGAGCGCCTTGGATGAGAGCGCCTAAAAAATGCATTCGTAACAGAAAGGTTCCTTTATTCTAATTATTTATCATTACGTAAATAAGCAAAAATTAATTGAAAAATGAATAAATTTTCAACTCTATAAAAATATATATTTTTCCAACCATATGCGCTGCGTGTTTTAGCGTATTAAGTTGAGCAAAAAGATAAGCTGCGCATGTTATTGTGTTTTTGTTTAACAGAAAAAAAAGCAATTTACACGCACCACGGTTTCCAATTTAAATCAGGATGTCTCATTGTTTCAGGAATGTGTTTTCCCCGACGCCCCTTACCCAAAATCATCCCTTCACTCTTCACACTCGTCTTTCACAAAAGACTAGAGAGAGTTAGTAGAAGGAACTTGGCTGAGTAAAAATCAGTAAAAATTGAAATATTTTTCAATCCTACTTTAAATTTTGTGAACAATCGTTCAGTTTTGTCCTAAATAAAGAAAAAGTGTGCAGGAAATGACAATATTATGTAATATTCTTTTCAAAGAGGAGGAAAAATAATAAATTTTAATTAATACAAGAATGATATAAAAAGCAACAAAGCCATTCGGAGCCGCTGCCATGCGCCCGCGGCGAAGTTTAGGCCCAAGGAAAACAAATTAAAAATGAGAATCCTTAGAAGCGATCTCGTCAAGACCCACCGCGAGGTATCATCACTTTTTATGCAAACACATATATTTTTATAGTTTTTTTTCGCGTGGGTTAATTAAGGAGCCAGGAAAACAATTCACAAATGAAAACGATGCGAAAAACAAACGAGAAACACGCTTTTTAATTTCGCACTTTTGCCTCTAGAAAAAGAAACCCTGACCACGAAAAGAAGAAAATTAATGAGAGAGAAAAACGTGTTTTTAACTTCCATCTACCTTTTTTGCTTCTATATTTGAGAATCAAAGAGTAAAGCTCCACTTTTCAATGCTAATTTAATGAGGTAAATTAATATTTTTGGCCCTCCAAGAATTTAAAATTTTGATTATTTAGTTATTTCTGCCTAGCTGAACTATTCAATCGAATATTAATTTTTTATTCCCTGATGTGAGGCTTAAAATTCCACAATGCCTGATTCATTCAAGGAAGTAATTTCCTCTTTTAATTTAAATGTTCATTTTACAAATGAGGCGAGACAAATGGAAAATATACTCACAGCAGACGAAAAGTATCCAGAATGGGATATTCATTTTCCAGGAAACGCAGCTCGTCTCAACTGTCACCATTTAGAAACTTTAATACCCTGACGCGCCTCGCTCGCTCCTGTCCAGCAGGGGTCAGCCAGAGGGAAAGGTATTTTTCACGCCACTCCACACAATAATTATCGACAGCATGACGCCTCCTTCCTGAGCGCACACATTACACACAGGGGGATGGATGAGCCTTCTTTGTCACAGGGCAGCTTTCAAGGGGCTATTCAATCGAAATAACCATCGTTCACGTCTGGATTTGTGTGAGTCATGTCAAGGAAAAAGCTGTTTAACCTGACAGCTCTCAACGTTTTAGAAATTTTGGGGAAAATAAATAAAATCTCCAGTCCCATAAGATTAAAAAAAAAAACGGGTTGTTGAAAAATAATTGAGCTTTCCAGGGATTTCATTTTACTTCAAAAATATATATCTTGATATTATTTTTTAATGAGTAATCATAATTTGGGGGAACAAAACGAGCAAATATTTTAAAATTTGTTTGTTTAAATAGACATATAATTTTTTTGCTATGAACATGATTTTTCCACCTCTTAAGTTTTTTTAAGTGGAATTAAATGAAAAATGGCTAGCTACGAATATATTGAATACAAAGAGAAAATTTAGAATAATGCAAAATTAAGCTTATTTGTACCAGGTTTTGGACTATCACAAAAATTAAATTTCTTATTAATTCTCCTAGCATTTAGGGAACTTTTTAAATAGGACTGCTTGACTCATCCAGACAAAATGTCGTTGGTTGCAAAACAATTAAAAGCGTCACCTGAAATCGAGGATATAATTTGTCTGGCCGGGACGACGTCTCGTGCAGCGGAGCGCAGCAGTGAATGGAAGCAAAGCGTTGGTTCGGCCGGCGGATCGAGAGAAGCCCTCGGAGTGTGTGTGTTTTGTGTCTCACTGCCTCGGACGGACTGACAGAGTGATTGTGAGCGAGTGTGAAGAACACAAAAGGCTGCTGCCCTTCGTAAAAAATAAATATACCTGAGAGACGCCAAAAGGAGAAAATTTCAGGCTGAAAGCGAGGTGCTGCTCTTTCTGCTGCTTTTTATGTGTTTTTACGATAGGCATCTCTCATCCCAAGCCTATTAGCAACAATTTTGTATGTGTGTATTTCCTTGTCAGACAACAAGCACATAAATCAGCACCATTAAAAAGGGGAAGTTACAAAATTGTGAGTTTTCCTTGCTTATGTTTTAAGTGGAATCCAATAATCAATAGATTCCTTTCTCAGCCTCAAAAGAGTTTAAAAATAAAATCTTTAATTTGATTACAAATATAGCTCCAATAAAAACGTGTTGCCGTCTTTTTCTTTAGGAATTTAAAAAAAGCCACAAAAATTGTATTTATTTTTAGCCAAACAAAATATTCGATTAAAAGTTTTTATGCTCGGTATTTTATTTATCCGTTTTTTTTTTTTTTTTTTTTGTCATTTATAGACTTATTTTTATAGTGCTTTTGGTTTGGAAATATCAAAAATGATATTTAATTTTATACAACGCTATAGGTTGAAAGAACAAACGTGCCGGTTCCGCGAATGGCTCTTTTGAAGTGGGTTTGCAATAGATAATGAATCACCCCGAGCAAATATTTTGCAAACAGTTCACAGCATTTATTGTGATTTTCTTTTAGCATTCGTTTCAACAATAGTGAATCCAACAAAACATCACACAAGCGCGCAGTCTCTAAAAAAAATAAGCTTATACCATAGAAATTCCAGCCTCAAAATGAATCGCAAATTGAAATAATCATATATTGTTGTAATAATTGTTGTCTTGGTACTAGATGCTACTTTGTGGGTGAAACTCAGACCTCTTCAGAGCCGGCCACGTTTTTCATTTCCATTGCTTCGTTCTCAATCAAGCTTGGAAATCCTTCCCAGCCTCCTACAAGTTAAACAAAAAATATAATGCAATTAAAAAGTTTAAAATAAAAAATTAGAAAATTATCATAATTATTATTTTTTTAATAAAATAAAAACTTATAATCTATACCCTTATTGTTTGCGTAATCTCCGTACATTTCACTTTGCCCTTTTAATGGTAAAATTATTCTGTTTCCACTGCGGCCGATCCTAGGAAAAGTGGCCAAAAGTCGCTGCTGCTGTCGTTTGCCAATTCGAGGAAAAGCGGCCAGCTGCCTTCGACCAATGCGTGGAAATGCAGCCATGTTGGGCCTTTTCCCGGGCAGTCCATCAAAGTTCATGTAATCTAAATGTATATTGCAATGAAAATTATAAAAAAAAATATATTCTTACCAGGTGAATAACAGTCTGGGCAGAGAGGATGCTCATCGTATTCGTCGGCGCCTCCTCCGGATCGTCCCACTCGAGGAAAAAGTTTCATCATTCCGCGCCAGTTTTTCTGCATTTCCTCCTCCTTGGTGCGTCCGATCCTCGGAAACATGGAGAGCGTTTTCGGCCTTTCATTGCTCCTTTTGTCTGGCGTTAGATAATCACCGTTCGCTTCGCCTAAAACAGAGAGAAAAGGGTGGGCGCCGACGGTTCGCTTGTTAATTGGCTCGGCTTAATCGCTTCTAAATTAAGGCAAATTGTGTTTGGGGATTAATGCACGCGTGGTATAAATATCTTTGCTGCGCCGGTGGCGTGCTCATGCAGCGCTCACATCACAAGAGATTAATAAATTTATCACCGCAAATTTCTTAAACCAGATTGGCGAAAGTGTGGCAAAATTTTGGAAAATCTTGACAAACCTCGTTAGCCTCATTATTTATCATCTAATTTGGTGGGATTGAAAATTTGAAATGGAATAAAAAGAATAGATAAAAATTTGTATTTCAAGAGTGAGCTTTTCCTCTGGAAATGTATCTTTTTGCAATGTAAGACAACTTTACATAACAGTAAGTGCAAAATGCATAAAGTTTTTGTGCCAAAATCCCTGGAGATTGCATTGCTACGAGAGTCGCTGGAAATTCTCTTGAGAGGTGGAAAAATGAAGTCTTGCAACGTATAAAGTTTCTAAAATGCGCGCATCAATATTAAGATTAAGTTACCAATGATATATTTTTTTATGGTTTAAAAATTAATATATGGACGATTGCAAGATTCGTGTGAGATTTTGAGAGGATATTGTGCTATACACGAAATCCTTTTATGTTTAACAAAATATTGTTCCAAATTTTTTTAAACAATAATTCTCAAATACCATGGTAAAATAAATGAAGTTTTAGACGTAAGCCCGACATTAAAAGTTTTTAATTGGTTTCTTCCTATTTAAAAACAAAAAAAAAATATTGAAGTTTATTTAAATACACTTTTGTAACGATTTTTTTTGGCATTATTCATATCAATTTATAATTTTTCTAAATCATTTATACCAATTTTGCTTGTAAAATAGCAAGTTGTTTTTATTAAAATTTAAATTAAGTCCCACTTAATTGAATTCTAAAGTTCAACAAACTAATGTGCGTTATTTCTATGTACGAAATGTGTTATTGGCTTTACAGACGAGCACAATAGGGGTGCTGAATAATTTTTCCCGGAACTCGAAATGCAAACTCACCTAATGCCGTGCCGAAGACAGCAAGAAACGTCACGGCGGAGAAAATAATAGCAGCCGGGCTCATTTCCGCACTATCACTAATAAAATAGTCTATAGAGGCGCGTGGGCGCGAGAAATGATAAATGATTTTCTTGAAATTTGCGCGAATTTTCTTCTTTTCGGGGCCCGACTCTCGTCTTCTGGGGTTGCGCCGACTGCTTTTTCTTTCTGCCAGCTCGCACTGTCCAAAGCCACCTTTTTATACACGCGCAAGGGGCACAGGTCTGACGCACAGGGTTTGGCGCATCCCTCCGGTGTGGGCGGGACAACCCTTCATACCAATCGGCCCTAAACGCAGTGCACCAAATTAACCCCGCTGCCGCCGCCAGCGATTTTCACACACAATTACATGCAATTTTTGTCGACACTCGCAGGAGAGAGAATAATAATAATAATCTCTCGCGCTGCCCCGAAGACAGTGATAAATGGGGTTTTGTTACACCGCGATTTAGTGAGATTGACTACAAGTAGAAATCCCTGCCGCCCACGAGATTGGATTTGCTGGGCTTAAAAATCCGAAAATAGGAGAGTAAAATTTGTTGAGATACAATTCTAAAATAAAAAATTTCCTTTTTAAATACATACTCAAATTAATTGCACAATTTTATCCAAAATCCCTTTAATATTGTAGTAAAATACTTAAAATACAATTCGTTCAGTCATCCATGATGGCAACATGGACTTTGCCATTGCTATGCAAATATTAAATTTGATGATTTAAGATTGATTCTTGCGTGATACACAAAGAGGAAAAAATATAAAGATTTGAGGGAGTTTTACTTGAAAAAAATTAACTGGATGAATGCATTTACGTTGAAGAATAATATGGATTAATGGATTTATAACCAGACAGGCTCGTTGATCAAATTGCTGCGAGCAGTTTTCTTTCCAGTTTTCATATTTTTTTAAATATAATGTCTTTGGTCTGATAAAAATAAATCTGTAAAGAAGTGTGGAATTTTTAATATTTAAAAAAGAAGACTTTTGACCGAGGATTGAATTTCAAAATTTAATAAAACTTTTTGCGAAGGAGAATTTCACGAAGATGGGGTGCGTTAATAGAATAAATCAATTAACACCCCCGCCAAATTGGCCACGATCTGTTTCCGGATTGATTACAATCAAATCTCGCCCCCGACCTGTTGCGTGCGTGTGCGGCGCCGCACGCGTTCAAAACTCGGAGGAAAGCAGTTGGCTTTCGCAGCGATCACGGAGCTTAACTTAATTGTTTTCCACGCAACAAATGGATGAAATTCGCCCTCGCGCCCTTAATGTTTCGTTTTATTAGTGGCGCACGCGATTCTAGATTTGCCGAGGCTGCAGTTCTATATAATTCTGTTGTGAGTTGCAATTCACATAACACACGTGCAGTCTAAAGCTCCAAAGCTGGGTACGCGCTGAAATTACAAATAATCCCATTAACGGGTTGATGGACATGATTTATGTAATTCAGACGTGCTTTTAATCAAGGGAGAAAACTCGAGCTGATGAACTGCAGCAAAGCCAGTGGTGGATAAATATGGCAGTTGGATCACGTAGCCGCTGACGTTTTAATGCTTTTGTTTCCAGCAATGTGTCTAAGCGCGAAAATTACTTGCTTTAATCCCATTTTGCGTGAAATTACTTCAGTTCTGCGCTAAAAAAGATTTCCCTCACCAACTTTTTATTTGGCGTGTGTCTATAATGAAACCAGGCAACCCGCAGCTCTCATGTGTATGAGGCTGCGGGTTGCGCAAATTAGGAAAAATTAACATTTTCACTTAAAAATCCATATCTAAATAATTAAATTTTTTGAAGTTCAGTTTACTTTAAAATTTTTTATACAGAAAATAATTAAGTAACTATATTCTTTTTTTTAATTATTAATTTCGTCTATTGTTCTCTTGCAATTTCGGACAACCCCATTTCTTGAATGCAAGGACGCACCTTCTTCCCTAAGTCTGCCCCTCGGACTTAAACTAATATAGACTTAAGTAATTTGCGTCACAGCTACCAGCTACTTTAGTACAAATTAATTGACTTGATGAGGCACCGATGGAGAAAATTTATGCAAACGGCGTCATTTCTGCCTAATGCAAAACTGCTGGGGATGCTTTCGGGGCTTATTAGGGTGGCATGTGACGAAGGTTAATCACAAAATAATGTCGAAGCGAGCGCAAATGCCTATGAGTCTATTTAATTTTTCTTACTTAATAAAATAGAACCAAAACTATATAAATTATATTAGGCCTTTCAAAAAATTCTCGGGCAATTTAATTTTCCCTACAATCATGTTGATCATACGATTGATTTCATTTATTAAATATTTGCAAAACATGCAAAGAAAAAAAATGAAGTGAAATAATTTTTTTACATTTATTAATTTAACTTGCAGCGCACTTCATGTTCATATTGTTTAATATATATTAAATAATAATAACTAGTTTTTAGCGGTTTTGAGGTGAAAAGCAGGAGCACAAAATTAATGTTTTTTTATTAAAAAAAAAAAATCTCCGGGATCAATAATAATCAATCAATCAGCTGTGGGGGCTCTAGGCTGTGATTTAAAAGCTTTATCTGACTTGTAAACACAATGTGCAAAAAATTGGTTGATGTTTTAATGAAATTTATTATTTTTATTCTAAAAATAGCATTATTTTTTTATAGTCAGTATTTATTTGTACCAAATACGATAAATACAACAAGATTTTGTCAACTCCAAATACAGTTGATCTTTAAATATTTGAGTACCGATTTTTTTATTCTAGCTCGCGTGAATTTGCGAGTTCACTCCTAGCGGCCGCGCGGCCTTGTCTATTTTGATGTCCGGCGTTTTACAAAGAAGACAAAAGCTAATTTTAATATATTTTCTTCCCTTATTCCAAACTTTCAATGTGATTTGTGAGTTTCTGAAAATGAGAATAAACATAAATAAAATCGTAACTCTAATAAATATAATTATATCAAGGGTGCGATATTAAAAGTTGCAATTATTTTTTGATTTTTTTAATAATTAAATCAGAATTAAATATATAAACGTTGCTTACAAGTCAAATTGAAGAAAAAATTATACTAAAAACAAACAAGCGGTATAGTATAATAAATAAATTAAATAAAAAAAAATCATGAAGTAATTCATTGAGCTGTTCATAGATGGCGCGTTCACCTTAAATATGCATAAGTGCCTCCTTATTGTCGGTCTTATTCCATGAACAAAAACGTTGATAAGTGATAAATTACACACTCTAAATCTAATGTATTAAAATATTATTATAGAAATTGATGAAAGATGTAAAAATTAACTCTTTTAAATATCCCTTTCTCCGTCGAAATTTGGACCACGTAGTACTCGTTTCCGGATTCCCCTCCGTGCTTTCTAGATTTCTCCTCATGTCTCGGGTTGGAACGAGAAAAAAGCTAATAAAATCGATGGAATTTTATCGCATCGATCGCCCAAAATTCGCAAAACTGTTGCCGTGCAAGAGTGCAGGCGCGTTATGTACTGGTAGAGTGCCGAAACATGGCATGTTTGCAAGCGCTAAATTATTAATGTGTACTTGTCGGTATCAGAAATATCAAAACTTCCCACTCAGCCTTATCAAAATGATCAGGACTCCAAATTTTGTTCGAAAATATACTCAAAGACACAAAGAAAAGAAAGGGTTATACAATAATTTTGATAATTTAAAAAAAAAATGGTTTTTTACAATAAAAGCAAATAAAAGCATTACAAATTTAAAATTATTAAAAGTTATTTGATGGTGTGAATGTGAATATCTTTTTGTAACATTATTTTTTTCATTTTGTTAAATACATTAAAACTAAAGATTATTTAGAATAATAATTTGAAGATGAAGAACTTGTGTGTGTGTGTTTTTTTTTTTAATTAAATTATTCTACTTAAAAAAAAAAAGGAAATTATTTATAAAATATTTCAAATAAAAATATCAGCTTGGGCAAAACCTAAAACCACCAAAAAGTGAAAGAAATTTTAATTTTCAGTCTCTACGAAAACATAATTTGGTAAAAAAAGAGAACGTGCTCGCAGGCAAGTAGCAAAAGGAGGTATCGATATCGAGGTACGAATCGGTGGCGCCACAGTCGCGTGTAGGGGTTTCGTGAGGGAGTCTGTAGTGCGTCTGTAGAGTGAGGTGGTCACGTACGTATCTCGGGGTGCGAAGAATGAAACAAAAACATTAGCATTTGGCAGGGTGAGCGAGCCGCCTGTCGACCCTTGCCGACCCAGCAGCGTTCAGCGTCGGCCCGGCTGCAGGCGGGGCCCCTCCCAGCGGCGCTTTCGGGCCGAATTCGTCGGCGGAGGCGAGTGAAAGTGGCAGTGTTTACGTAGCCAGACAAGATGGCAGAGCTGCAGCTTTAAAGGACTCGCACGGACTCACCCCGGATGTTGACACTATGAAAAGAGGCTCCTGCGTGGCACCCGAGCACAACGAGAGGTGAGTGGGCCCCCCCAAACTTCCGCACGGACCCCCAAAAGACCCCCTCGCCGACTCCCGTGACCCCAAAACGCGAGTGCTCTCGTGGCCTCAGGCCTCCCTTTTTGGTCGCGATTGCAACCGATGCGGCCTGAAATTCGGCTATATTTCCGTTCCCAAACCCTTTCGAACCGGATTTTCATCAATTTTGAACAGTTTTAAACCGTCGGGGGCCCGTTTTGGGTGACGTTGAACGTGGCTGTCCGAGTCGGATTGCCTTTTTTGTGGCCTTCGCACGCTTTTCCTCGTGCTATTTACACAGGCACAACATTCCACTCTGTTATTGGTGGCAACCCATGATTAAGATTCTTGTTTTCTTAACTTGCTAAGTGGCTCGGGAATTTTGTAACTTGTTAATAGTACATGCAGTGTTCTTTTTTTAATTAATTTCTGAGTCCGAGCGGAAATTTGAAATTTCATTCTGACAAGATTAATTAAAATCACTTCTTGTTTTAAATTTTAGTTTTAAACTACTAGCAAATTCAAACGACCAGATCTTACATCTTTAATTTTCCGTGGGTTTTTTTTTGAAATAAAGTGGACCAGATTGAAAATAAAAACTCATTATTACCTTGTGTCTTGCAATAGTCTCAACTTTAAAAGGCAACCTGTTTGCTCCGAATACGTTGTATTGCGGGCATTCGTTGAAAAGTTCTTATTTTCACAATCCCATCGGCATTAATTAATAATCAGTAATCACGCAAAGCTGATCAAGAATGCAAATGTAATATCTGATAATTAAAAGTGATGCGTTAAGAGTTTTCAATATTTCAAGGCCTTTAATTTCATTAATTTTTTCCTGTTTACATTCCAATTTATTTCAAGGGCTTGTATTTATTTCATTTAATCTTTAAATTTTGTAATACTGACTAAATTACTACACTTTTTCCAGTTTCTGATGCGTTAAAATCTTTTTATGATTAGATTTTGCCTATGAATAATTTCAGACACATTCGATTTATTTAAGGTCGAGTGGATTTTTTCTACATTTCCTTAACTTTTTTAATTACAATTTCAAGGCTTTTATTTTTATTTCAACCGCATTATTTTCCTAAAGTAATCCTGCATTTTCTCCTTAAAACCATCTAATTTTTTGCGCCTTAATTGTTTTTGCACCAATAAATATCATTTGCAGACCTTGTGTTTGGATCGTGGCGACAACTCAATTATTGCCGTCTGCAGATAGAAGCAATTAAGGAAATTATCAAAAACAACTCTTATCAGCCTCTTTCATTTTGGACGCCGGTTGTTAATTAATTGAAAACGAGCCGCGATAAAGGCTGAAATTTCCTCTGGCTGAATTTCACGGTCAAATAAGGGTCACCCTTCGGAGGGGCACTTTCGTGATGTGCATTGCAAACGTAAATATTTATCGATGGGTGCGAATCATTCTGAGAAGTCGCGCTGATTTTTTACTGTTGCTGAACTGGAATCTGGATGCTAATTAAAAAAAATAATAAGTGTCAACCGGTGAATGACTCACGCTTGATGTTGTTTACAAAATTACCTGCACTGATTTTCAAATAAAGTTATTTCAATCATAATTTTTGTAATTGAAATGACAATTATAAATTAAGCTTTCTGGAAAATGATGCAACATCATTGAAAAAAATGTAATGTGTGGACAGTTATGAAAGCAAATTTATTTCAAGTTGGGAATTTGAATATACATTCCGAATAAAAAAGATTTACTTTCTCAACTGACAAAAAAGGAATCGATGAATTTTAAATTATTCAAATTCCCGTTCTCTTTAATGAAAACATGTTGCACTTTCATTACTTTTAGATTATGTATTGATGCTTTGACCTTTGGTAATCGGAAAAGAAGCATTGCATAACTAACTATACATGAGATCAGTTTGGAACCCTCGGTTCACTAAAGGCGTCTCTGTGGCCTCTCAAAATTGACGAAGAGTCGCAAGCGATGGAGAGACGTCTGACCTTCAATTTGGATGTAATAATCTGAATTAAAATTGTCCTCTTCCGCTATTTGATTTCATTCCAGACATGAAAGTCTGAAGTCGAGCTGGAAAAAACTGATAAATGAAATTTATAGTAATTTCGAGACAATTGTAAGTAAAAAAATATTCAATTTTATAATTAAATTCTGCGCTGGCTTACAAAATAAATTAAATAATTTAGCAAAATGAATGCTACAAAAAACCAGAAGACCAATTGCTCCAATTTTATTTAATTTTTAATTACTCCGATATTTTAGAATTAATTAAAAATTTTGGGGTAAAAAATACACGATTTTAGACTAATTTAGAACTAATTCAAGCCAAATAATGGCATCGCTTGAATGCCTCTGTGCCGTGCAAAGCTCGCGCCGTTGCATACTAATTTAAAATTCGCTCCGTCGATTGTGTGCGTGTTTTATTTTGGAAATTGTGCCGATCCGTCGACAGTCGTGTTTGTACGGCCAAGTGGCCATGTGGACCACATTCGCAGGCAGCTCGGGGCCCCGAACGAACAAAGCAGCCTCATAACGGCACTCGCTGCGTGATTCAGTTCTCGATGTGCAATCTGCACAACAGGCAGACAGACTTTGTCGCCGCCGAATCCAATTTTTTTTATTCGCTGCCGTGCACTCGCTCGGCCTGCTTTATACATTTCGCGACTCCAATTACTTTTGAAAATTGATCGTTCCCGTTTTTTGCTGCAATCTGAGGGCGGAGGCATCGACCCAACAAAATGACTTGCAATCAAAAGAGAAATTAGCAAAGCCAGTAATTAATAATATTTTGATATATTTTTTTCAAAAAGGTTACATTTTGAACTATTTCTCAGGTGTTTTATTTTTTCCAGCTGATTTTAAAAATTTGCTTTGAATTTTTAATCGTGAATTTGAGATTTTCCAACTTTGCAACCATTTGCAATTAAAAAAAATGAGTCTGGAAAAATTTTAATTATGTGAGCCTGATTTTTTTAGAAAAGCAAAGTCGACAAAATTAAAAATTGATATAGCGAGATTGAGATAAATTTTAAATCTCCAACTTACCTGTGCGTCGCTCGTTAAATTTTACTGTCGAATATGAAATGTAATGCTCCTTTATTGCGGCGTCTCGTTCTTTATTATTTATGAAAAATTCACGACCGCTGTGAAGTCGCTGTGGAAAATTAATTCAGTTCACGTGAAATTTTCTTCGCTCAAAAGACGTTTTACAGATGCAGATCAGCGCGGTGAAAATTTATGAGGGTGCATAAAGAAAACAACGCCTTTGTTTCATTATTCTCGTCGTAAAATAATGCAGTGCTCGTGGCCGCAGAAGTCGGATTTCTATTTCTGAGTAAGAGTCAACAAAAGTGTCAAACTCTGCAAATCACTTTAAGAAGGCTAAGTAGGCGCGACGGAAAACTTTCTTTCAATCGCGACTTGCAAAATATAACAAGCTGCGTGTAGATGTGGAAACCAAATTATTGACTTTGCAAATTTAAATCATCCTTCAAGTTCTTCATATTTTGAGCAAGAACTCGTGGCATAAATGTGAAAATTACAAGTTCAAAATATTTCAAATTCTTTGTTTAAATTTTATAAGTATTGCAAACAAAAATACATTGGGAAAATGCCCGATCTCTTCGTTTCCATGATCATCTCTTTTGAGTTCCAATTTCTTAAAAAATAACACATTGATGTTTTTAATTTATTTTAACTGGCTTTTTATTTATATGAAAGAATAATTTTTTAAATTAAATATCTTAACATTGTCCAGACACAAAGATTAAATTTTATTGCGAAACCACTCATCAGTATTTTGTCTTTTGCTTTTAGTCCGCTAATTTTTATAACTTCAGATTTGCTTTCAAGTTAATCATTCAACAGATATGATAAAGAAAACTTGACATTACAAGCGTATTCAAAGGCACTTCTTACAAAACCTTGTCTATCGAGCAGTTTGCATTAGAAAGTTACCAAGGTGACATTCAAATTAAAACAATCCATGTAACATCCCTGGCCGTCAGCGGCGGTTGTTAAACAATTTGACTTTAAAACTGCGTCGCAAATTGCACTCGGAGCAACCCATCGGCGGCGCAGAGACCCTCTTGCACGAAAGCAAAATAAATTTATAATGGCTCTGCGCGGTTTTTTTCCCGCTCTCCCGTCATCGCACCAGGCGGTGCAGCGCAATATTTTCAGCAGCAGGAGACCAACCGTAAAAAATACGACTTCATTCAACAGGGAAAAGAGTTATGGTACTTTTTCCTTCTATTATATTTTCAGTTCTTTTCCGCTAATAAATGAAAAGGAAATAAAAAGTGAAATGGAAATTTTTAAGATTTTTCCAATTAATATTTGCGGCCCATCTCTGCGCGAACCTTTCTTGAGGTTTCGCGTTTTAGCGACTTGTTCGCCAGAGGCGTTGCCGTTTCTTTACATTTTTGTAATTTTTCTTCTTTATTTCGTTTTTGATTTGAATTGTGAAGAATAAACAACATAAATAATGAAATTTTTGAATTGAGCAATAAAAGGGTTGGTTTTATCTCATGGACATATGTTTCAAATAAAAGATGATCAGATAAATATATGGCTGCCACATGCGTACTTTCCGGCCGAATACAATAAATTAATAAAAACGAGACCCTTTCGTGTTTTCCCTCCCTGCGAGGGTCCTTTCTCCACTCGGCCGTAACGCGACGTGCAGTATGAAATAACAAAATAATAGCCGCGTACCAACCGACTTTAATGCCATTCCTGTGTTGTCTCGACAAAAGCCTGGCGTTCTGCGTTTCACAGCAGTACGTGCAAAATTTCAGCCAGTCCATAATTTTCGCTCGGATGCCGAGCAACACAAACTGCGCATGCCGCTGCCAAATAATAGCCGACGCTCGCCCTTTTTTGACGGGTCTTCGACCAAACGAAATTGCGCCGCTGACGAACAAACTAACGAACGACTCCATGCTGTTTTCGCGCTAATCAGACGCACGCAGCGCCGGGAAGTGGAGCTGCAAGCAAATTGTGACGAAAGTCCAAATAAATTCGCCTAGTTTTGAACACCGTCCGTGATGATATTTGTCAATAACCTAACTAGAATGTAAATATTTTTGATTATCCAAAAAGGTTTGAAATGAATTTCTCGTATAACATTTTGCGAAATTTCAACCTTTTTTGATTAAGTAAAATGAGAATATGCGGCGGGTTTCAAAGAACAAATTTTCTTTAGATTTATTACTCCGCTGAATGCACTTTACACACGCAGAGCCTCAACGTGCTGTCTATGTAATCAAAGAGAAAGAATTTTTGATTTTTTTCCACCTCTGGAGAACATTCCATCGTCGCTGGCTCTACAAATTTCCCGTCACCAGTTTTATGTTTTCATACGAAAAATTGTATGTATTTTACGCCTGCGAACATTTTATATTTTTTCCTGAAAAATGTATATACAAAGTTTGGAGAACAAAGCTGGTGGTGTCAGCAAAAGGCACCGCCAAACACACACGCGGCGCGACCTCCCTCAAAGAAAGAAGACTCTAAAAGTCTTAAAAGCGTCGAGGAATGACTCCTGGCTGGCCCGGCAATAAACCAAAATGAGAGGGCCAGTTTTTTACACTCTCTCCTCTCGATCCCCGCAGGCTCGTTTGTATTATTTTTACCCTTGATGGTGAAGTGAAAGACGGACGAAATGATGTTGCTTGGCTTCAGTCAGTCAGACTTTGGGGCACGCAAGCTGGAAAGACGTATGTATGCGAATGGCTGCGAGAATCTCATTTTTGAGGCAGCCCCACACCGGAGGCTTCTTTCGATTCGGTCGTTTGACGTGGCGGCGACGGCGCAGCTGTCAGATTTTAATCGCGCCGCAAATCAAATTATCGTCTGCCAGAAACGCAGCAATCTGGTTAAATTTATCGATCAATAAGCGACGTGCACACGCATAATTTGCTCAACTCTATATGACGAACTCTGACCTTTTTGTGTTTAATCGCATTATATTCTCCAGCTCGCTCGTTTGCCACGCAAAAACAAACTCTCTGCCATTCTCATTGTCAGCCGAGGGATGCAAAGCTGATTATGAATGTGCAGAATCAGTACAGAGAGTGACGTGCAGACACTTTATATAGAAAACGAGATTACTCAATGAGGCACTTTTAAATAAATGTAAATTGATTTAACTTAATTTATAATTTTGGGAATATATCAAAATAATTTTTAATTAAAGTAAAAACAAGAAGTCTCTCTTATCAACTAGTCATTTTACCCAGAACCAAGCTACTTGAAATCACGATTGCACTTTCTATTTTCACCAAAATTCCCCGAGATAGCACTGAGCAATTTTTATTTTTAAACGATGATCTGTTTTTGTAGCAGGCATGCCGATAAACATGAGTTCCTTTCTCCAGCCCTTTGTTTAAATGTCAGTTCGACCTTTTGATTGCTCATGAGCGCCGATAAGAAAGAGGATCTCTCTGATCGTGATCGCTCCGATAGTGATCGCTCCGATATTTTTCTTCCAATGCATTCTTTTTTTATTGTTGTTTACGCCGGCTTAGAGAAGTAGAAACGAAAGTCGTCCGCGTGAACTTTTGGCATCCAGTGGGAATTTGAAGCCAGTTTCCTTATAAAGCGCAGTTCTCTTTTATGAGTATATTCGCCTTGTTGGCCTGGCACCAAAAAAAATCAACTTTAATCCGCGACCACTTTAAGGCCACAATCGCCTCTTTATATTTGAATCAAAACATAAATTGGATGGTAAACTTTATTTTTTTTTTCAATTGTAGCAAATAAATAATAATTCGTGATTCAACTTGGTTTCAAAGAAAACAAAATCGTAAAGAACTTTGATTTTCTTCCACGATTAGTTTTCCTCATATTTTTCCCTTTGCCAGTTTCCTCATTGGAAAGGCCCGTGGCTCAATATAAGTCCTTACGCCACGTTAGCCTATAACGTGATTACGCGTGGTGCCTGACATTGGGACGAAAGGGTACGCAAATTAGCATTGATGTATTTAAAATCACATTACGTGACCGTTCGAGCCGAAACCATGTCTTGTTACCCAAACCCTTCGGCGTGATTGCCTAAAAGTACGTTACGTTGCACAATCGTTCGGTTGCGCAAGCCACATTCAAGGAAGGGGTCTGTCTTTTAGAGAAAGAAACAATATCATATGAAAGTTTGTCCTCTCTCGGCGGCGAACAACCGTAATAATCGCGAAGCAGGAAAGGTTTGCACCGAAACGCCCACGCCGAATTTGCATTCGAGTTTGAATCGAGGCGGCGTAAAACCTGTTGGATTCAGCCGGGCCATTGAGCCCGGCAGCTAGCCGGCGAGGGTGGTGCACCAGGATTGTGGATGGTCGCCCTCCTTGGATCGATCGCGGTGTGGAAGCTGCCGCCGCCGCTCTCTCGCGCGCGATACACACCGGCCACGTTACATAATTTGGGCCAGAAACTACGCAGTTCGCGACGGAGATAAAAGAAAGAATGAACGCCGCCGGTTGTTGCCCGCGGGGACTCGGCGGCGAGTGCTGAAAAAACGCTTGCGTATATGTACCAGCATACATACGCACAACGCACACACTACTTGCTGACGTGTCGTTTGTTTTGATCAAGCGGCCGTTGTGAAGTGACATTGTTGCCGAGGCAAATTTTCGCCAGATGTTGCCTGTCCGGAATTTTTACTTAAAAAAAAAATTGAAACCATCTTTAAAAAAATCATAGAAAATCTTTTTCATGAATTCTTATTTTAAAAGTTAATAAAACCTTTCTGGCATAAAAAGGTAAAATTAATAATAAAAAAAAAAACCTCCTTTAAATTCTACCTCGGGATTACTTTTGTATTCAATCTTCAATTACCGAAAAATCCTTTATTTTATTTTTTTTTCTTTATAAAAAAAAACTCATTCAAATGTTAAACGTTCGGCCGACTCTTTCAAACCCTACCATCCCCGAGGCGATGTCGGCCGGTTTCAAAAGAGCAGCGGAGTCGTTTTGCGAGCAGCGGCGCCGTCAAAATGATTGCCCAATCTCGCTGCGTGCCAAAGCGAAAGAACAAAGTGGCACGAGCAATTAAGTTTTGCGCGTGAATTGTGCGAAAAACTTGGAAGCTGGCGGTGCCAGGTTAAACCGCGTTTTCGTTCGGATTCGCCCGGTTGGCGCGGCGAAATTACGTAAGTGCAAAGCAACTCGGGCGAGAATGCAGGTTTAATTAGCAAACAAACGAGAGGCTCTTCTGGCCTGACTGCTGTGGGTGATTCAGCATTAAAAAGAAATCGCCTCCGTTCGCTCGGCATTCAAATCGAATTGACCCAGTAAGTGTAATCTAGGAAAGCAATTTCACTACACACTGGCAGCAGGCATGCGGCAACAGGGGAAATCAACAGACTTAAATTCGATGTCAATCAATAAGCAACTCGAAATATAATTTATACAAGCCCGCACTGCCGACCGAGTTTCGCCTCCGCCGCCGCACGTCATGTCATGATGGTAGAGATAAATTAATTTTTCGTCCGACGTGGACGACTGAGTAAATCATTTACAGAACGCTGAATAGCCTTTTGTGGAAAAGCAAAAATGCAGCAAACCAGTTTTGGAAAATGAGTCAATCTAAAAATAAATTAATTATACTGACACTTGCGCAATCAAACTCGATGCCAAGCTTAAGACAAAGATTTATAAATTATTGTTTTTTTTTTAATTAAATAAGTTGAAAATAAAAAGTTTTAAATCTTTTTCATTTGCAGAGACATTTTTGGCACAGAAAACAGATTATTTTCGTTTAAAATTTTTTAAATCAATATTGGTTTATGAGGAAAAATGTTTGTAGACGCTAATTGCAGCCAACCAGTTTTGGAATCGGTTAAAAATAATTACCCTTGGCCAGAATTTACGCATTGAAATTTGTCTTCGATCTAAAAAAAAAAGCTGCTTAAATACTTTTTGCAATGAGATAATGCACCAAAGTGGACGCAGTAAATCTCTGCCTGTTCGAATTTTTCTGTATAAATTTATTTTTCAGGCGCAAAACAGCCGGGCGCGCTACCGCAAATCTTGGACTTTCGCCAGAGAGAGTTTAGCTCTCTCGGTGCAACTCTTGTTTTTTGCATTGCCCGAATTTTTGGCAGCAACCCGAAACCTTTGAATAATGAAAGAGAGAAGAGTGGTCGGTGCCGCTGCTGATAAATGTCAATTGCTGCTCGTTATTATTATCTATCATTTCTGTTATTGCCGCAATAGATTTCATGCCAAGCAGCCCATTATCGGCCCTGTTCGTTTTTTCAGAGCGTAAGCAGGAAGTCTGCTTTTAGGCTTGTCATTTCAATTTGATTTTAAGGCTATTTCTGGGCCCAACCCCGTCCGTCCGTCCAATACGCGTGTTGATGAAACATTAATCATGTTTAATCAGGTCGGCGAGATCAAATTTCCGCGCATCGATTTTCCAGCCCCTCTGAAAATACGCCCAATAAAAATAGGCCAATTACGAACGGCCCTGAAAATCGATATTTCACAAGTGGGCAAATATTATTGCCGGCACGAAGGTGTACCGTCGGCGAGCAAACCGACCGACCAACGCTGACCGTCGCATGCATAACACAATAATGTGCGACACACTTGCCGAAAATAGATCCCGGCCACATTCAAACAAACGCCGACTGACACAGAAAGTTCAATTTCCAGATAAGGAAATCTTTGATCTTTGAAAAACACGCAGACTTATTTCTAGAACCAAAAGAAAACTTTAAAAGTCAAAATTAAAATTTACAGGAAGTTTTTAATTTGAAATGAAAAGATCGTTTTCTAACCTTACATTCAGCTACTAAGAGCCATGTTTATGCATCCATGAACTATATTAAGTTATCATATTGTGAATTTTTATATATTTTTATTTTATTATTTGTACTTTTTAAATTATCTCTAAAGCGTCACTTTTCTAGAGGTGCAATATCGATCGTTACTTTCAGGTCTGGGATTTTTCCACCACGTATATTTTCTTTACTTTTATGGCGGTCTTGACGAGAAAGGGTTAACTGTGCTCTAAACGAGTTTGGAAATAAAAACTCGAATCAGACAGATAAAATTTTATGTCCGCCTCAAATAAAAACGCGACGGTTGCATCGTCAAAAAAGCAGATCAAATTCGCGCTCATAGGAAAAACCGGCTTGCTTGGCGCGCGCGCGTTTTCATCCCCTTGGAGGCCGGTCGACCACCCCGGCCTGGCCCCACAAACCCACCCCCCACCCAACAGCCATGTATGAATGAATGAGTCATGGGTAGAGGGGTTGCGCGTTCTTGGGAAAGACCGGAAAGGTCGTATGCGAAAACCGGTTACTTTCTTCATAATTTTATTTGAATATGAAAATAGATAAGCTAAAAATTGCTATTTAATGAGTAAAAACTGTTCTCAATTTCTAATTATTTTCCCCCTTTTATATACCGTACTTATTCATGTTGTTTTCAACGTTTGAAACCGATTTTCCCCCCTATGCAAATCGGTATTTTCTCTTAAGATTTCCACTGACTAAAAGGTTTATTGCGCCATGTGTTGCAGGGAATGCATGACATGTTCATTTCACCCCAGCATTCCGGCACAACAAGTAGCAGTGGGGCTAGCATCATTAGTGCAGCAGCAACGACCGGCTCCTCTTTTTCGTCTGGAGTGCACCACCACTACCAGCACCACCCTCAGCATATCATCAGCCACAAGAAGCGCAAGTTAGAGCACGGCCACGTCGAGTACCTGAGCAGCAGCACAGCAGCAGACACCACCTTCGCGGCGGCCTCGTCGGCGTACAGCCAGACCTCGGTGCTGCACCACCATCACCACCGCTCGTCCAGGTCGCACCACAAGTATTCGCCAAATGGGGCTGCGGGTTTGCTCCCTCAGAACTTCATCAGAGCGTCCACAATTAAGTTGTTAGACACGTACCAGCGCTGCGGACAAAAAGTGAGTTCAATTTTGTTTATATTGAAATGTAAACATAAATTTTAAATTACAAAATAAATTCATTTCTTTTTTTAAACCAGGAGTTTTTAAAATTTAATTTATTCCCAGTAATCTTAAAAATATTACAATGTTTTCTCATTATTTTTTTTTTCAACTTTCAGCGCAAGTCGGAGGATAGTGAGGGTAATGGTCCGGGCTCAGGCCCAAACTCCGCAGCCACGGCACCGACAAGTAGCACGACGACGGCCGTCGCCTCGGCCGCAGCTGTCGCTGGAAATGGCGGAAAGGCCGCCAATTCTGGTAACACTGCGGCCGCGGTGACCAACACGGCCGCGACTGGAAACAGTAATGGCGTGGAGGGTGACTACCAGCTTGTGCAGCACGAGGTGCTGTACTCCATGACAAACCAGTATGAAGTGCTGGAATTCCTCGGCAGAGGCACCTTTGGCCAGGTGGTCAAGTGCTGGAAGAAGGGCACCAGCGAGATAGTTGCCATCAAGATTCTCAAGAACCACCCCTCTTACGCCAGACAAGGACAAATTGAAGTATGTATTTGAATTTAAAAATCATGTTATTGCTAATTTCAACCTCAATTTCAGGTTAGTATTTTGTCTAGACTTAGCCAAGAAAATGCAGACGAGTTCAACTTTGTGCGAGCGTACGAGTGCTTCCAGCACAAAAGCCACACTTGTTTGGTCTTTGAAATGCTGGAGCAGAATCTGTACGACTTCCTCAAGCAGAACAAGTTCAGTCCACTCCCTCTCAAGTACATCCGTCCGATTTTGCAACAAGTCCTCACAGCCCTCTTGAAGCTGAAGGTAGATTTTTGTATTATTTATGTTGCAAAATTCTAAGATTTCATATCTGCAGCAACTGGGTCTGATTCATGCTGACTTGAAGCCGGAGAACATCATGTTGGTGGACCCAGTGCGGCAGCCGTACAGAGTGAAAGTGATTGACTTTGGAAGCGCCTCGCATGTCAGCAAAGCAGTGTGCAACACCTACCTGCAGAGTCGCTATTACAGAGCTCCCGAGATCATCTTGGGTATGTCCCAAAGACACCGTTTGGCGACAAGAAGTAGGAAAATTTGCAATTTGCCCCCCAAGCTCAGTGGGAGTTGTTACGAAAATGCAATTCTGACACTCAAACTCTGTCCCCAAAGTGTAGATTTTTCGAGTCAGAATGAGGTTTTATGTACTTTGGTCTTATTTTGTCTGACCTGCTTCGTTTCAGGGCTGCCATTCTGCGAGGCGATCGATATGTGGTCTCTTGGCTGCGTTGTAGCCGAGTTGTTCCTTGGGTGGCCCCTGTACCCTGGCTCATCCGAGTACGACCAGATTCGCTACATCAGCCAGACGCAAGGACTGCCCACTGAGCACATGCTCAACAACGCCTCGAAAACCACCAAGTTCTTCTACAGGGACATGGACAGCACATATCCCTTCTGGAGACTAAAGACTCCTGAAGAACACGAAGCCGAGACGGGCATCAAGTCGAAAGAGGCCCGGAAGTACATTTTCAACTGCATTGATGACATTGGGCAAGTGAATGTGCCCACTGATCTCGAGGGAGGTGAACTACTTGCCGAAAAAGCTGACAGGAGAGAATTCATCGACCTTTTGAAACGAATGCTGACAATGGACCAGGTATTTTTCCCAAAATATAAATTTAAATTCAATTCTTAATGAATAATTAAATTTCAGGAGCGTCGCACAACTCCTGGCGAAGCGCTAAACCACCACTTTGTAACGCTGGCTCACTTGGTGGACTATGCCCACTGCAACAACGTGAAAGCCAGTGTTCAGATGATGGAGGTGTGCAGAAGAAACGGCTTCAGCTCTTCACCTAGCCATCAGTCATCGCAAGCTCCTCCTTTGGTTGCAAACTTTGTACCTAACTCGAACGGCAACGTCACTTTAACGTTCAACAATCAGTTGAGCAACCAGGTAATTAGTCCACCAAGAATGATGGTGAGCGCACTGCCAAGATCTGAACTCTTTCAGTATCAACTATACAATGGACGATCAGTGGCCAGGCAGTATTCAAGTGCTGCCCGAGCCGACCACTTCCCTCATCCTCTTGTTTCTTCGATTCTCTGCCAACCTAATTACCAAGGAATGGGTTCTCCGACCAAACACGTGACTGTGGTTCAACAGCCTCCCCAACTTCAAATCCAACCTCCTCCAGCAATTCTATCTCAGCCTCAGCAACAATACGTCCCAGTTTCTATGGTTGAGCCTGGTGGTCGTCAAATGCTGTTAACGGTAATAAACAAAATAAAATATATTTCTCCTTAACTAATTGCTTGTTTTTAATAGAATGCTGTTCAGACATCCTGGCCCACAAACCGCCAAATGGCCATTGTCCCCTCTTGGCAACAACTTCCACCACAACATGCTGCCATTCAACAACCTCTCCTGTCAGATGCTGCTGACTGGGCAAGGCCTCTTCTGCTTGAGTCCAGTTCACTTATCCCTCAACGGTCAATGTTTCCCGTTGAGGTGTCTGAAGTTTACGATCCAATGATGGAGCAGCAGCATGCAGCAAACTCGGTACTGCAACAACAAACACATCACCTCGCTCCTCCACAATCCACTCAAAACTGGTCCTCCTCCAAGAGAGGCAACAAGGGCTCCAACAGCCAGTTACACCACCATCACCACCAGCCGTCCCACCACGGACATCACATTTTGAGCAACAACCACCTCACAGTACCAATCAGCCACAGACAGGACAAAAAGGAGGCGACACAACTCAGTCCCGTCAAAAAGAGGGTCAAGGAAGGAACTCCACCTTCAGGTAATTTTTGCAAAAACTATTTTTAATAACCAAAACTAAAATTTATTACTTCAACAGACAATTGCACGTATTCGCGCTTGAGAGGCTCCCCTCCAGCAGCTGTGGTCACAAGCCACCACTGGCAACAGCAACCCATCCAACATCAGGTTGTAAGCACCAAGCAAGAACATCACAGCAGCAGCCACCATCAAAGCTCTGGTCCGGCTAGACAACAGACCATCACCATCCACGACACTCCCTCACCTGCAGTTTCTGTCATCACGATTTCAGATAGCGAGGATGAGGCGCCAACCAAGTGGTGAGTTCTATTTTCAATCTTGTGAAACGATGTGGAATCTATGAAACTAAGTGTAGGATTGCATGAGGCAGGGATTTGCTTTGTGCAGTGTTTAACCTAATTTTAATAACCTGATTTGGGAAAGAAGAAATTTCCTTTCAAAATCTATTGTACATCGTGTCCGAAATGTTTTAGGGCTTATCAATTGTATTTTTTTTTTTACTTGAGCATTGAAACCCCATTTTTAAATTTCACGATACCCCTTTTTTATTTATTTGACAATGAGTTATGGAAGTTACACAGTCTGGATGTGCTGTGTTGTAGTTGCAAAGATAGGGAGTGCTCTGCGTGCCACCACGGCGATGAGCTGAGCGAGACGTGCCACATTGCTGATGGCAGTGGCGTTTCCTCATCGTCCGGGATGCAGTGTCCCAACAGGTAGTTTTCGCCTGTCTCGAAAACACATGCAAACATCTTGTTGGCTGCTTTGTTTCTTAATTCCAATAACTACTTGTTTGTGAATAACCTGGTTGGTGGATCAAGCTGCTGTAGGTCGGTCACTGTGTTGTCCTCAAGTCATGCTCGATTGGTCGGCATGCTGCTAATTCTCTCCAGTAACAATTTGTACATATTTGCCATATGGATTTGGCTATAAAAAATACCTAACAAATTTCAAAAATGGAGTCCTTTCACCGATCTTGGCGCTGCATGCACGGTTTCAAACGTGTTTGCACAATTTTATTGGGTGGTTGGTCGCTTCCCTACTAAATGTATGTCTTTGTTATCGCACCAAGAAATCACTTCCATCATTTGTACCCTCACATCGCAAGTTTTAAGCAATAATCTTATCATATTACGCTAATAATTTTGAAGCTAGATCTCTGCTACATCTACCGCTAATTGTATTAAATGTTATCCGCCTCCATAAAAATCAGGCCGGCAAACTAACATGTTTAATTTTTGTAAAAAGTTCAACCCTTGATTGTGATAAATTTGTTCTAGTTCTCAACCTACGCCTGTGAGCGAGTCCAAATCGTCCTCGGCAAACTCTACAAGCCATCAGGGCCCAATTGTAGCAACAAAAGCGGCTCGGAAGAATGTAATTTCTTGTGTTACCGTGGGTGACAGTGATGAGGAGCACAGAAGTCCTGCTAAGTTGCACAGCCAGAACAGCTACGTCAGTGGGTCGATGCCCACTTTGAGAGAGGTCAAGCACGAGGTCAAACATGAGCCACAACAGAGGTAGAATTTGTAAAGAAAACTTGCTTTCTTGAAACTAAAAATTGCATTCCAGTTCCAGCTACTCTAGTGGAGCCTCTCACAATCAGTCCCAGAAGAAGCGTCTGCTGGCCAAAGCTCAGTCCGAGTGTGTGATCAACAATGTGCCCACAAAGCAAGAGCCTGGCGTGACCCACCACCAGAACTTGTACGACAATGGATCCGTCATTACACAACGAGAGTATGGCAGGAACAATAATAACAACCATCTGCAGCCAAACTCGCAACCTGGTGCAACCTGCAGCAGTGGGAGCAGTGCCAGTGGAAGTTCTCAGGAGTTTGTGTTCTACAGGTATAAAATCAAAATTGTAATTTCTCAAATAAGAAATTTTTTGTTTTTTCAAAATGATTTTTATTTGTATTGTAAAATCAATTTTTAATTTATGATTTTAGAGACCAAATGGCTCCACCAGCAGCCCACTCGAGAGAGCTCCACTCTCAGGAAACAGTCTACCGAGAACCTGTCATCACGCAGCAGCCGCAATCAATAGTTCAGCCTCACAAGAGAGAGATGCCTAGGGAAGCCCTGGTGACTGTGAGTCACAGGGACTATCACATGCCCACAGCTGTGCACAAAGACTACATACAGCCGCCTGCTGCTCACACGACGCGATCAGATTTACAGAGGGAATCCCACCACTCAAACAAATCTTGGCAATCGAGCAACCAGCAGATGCAGCAAGGATACAGGTATATTTCATTATACATATTGCCAGCTCATTCGACTTGCAAACAAACATGTAAATACACAGCTTAGGAAGCACTTTCATTTGCTCGTTCAGCAGTTATCATCAGAATAATTACTTATCAGATTAAATTTGCTCCCTAAATTATGCTCTTTACAATTAAAAACAAGTTAGCACAAGTCTTTCAATTAGATTAGAACCGTAATTATACCCTCTTCGTTGCGCTTGTTCATAGACCGAGAATGCAGAAAAGAGGCTGCGTAGTGTACATGCCGACAGGAGTACCAGAAACCGACTACATCAGGTCTGCTAAAAGATTTTTTGAAGGACTGTGACTATGCTTGCTAGATTACTTCATAGTTAACATTGTTAGCAATTTGTGGCTTACCTGAGTTGATATCCATTTGTAAATATTTCCTATTTATATTGATGGATTATTCATCCCTTTCAAATTCATTTTGTTCTTATTTTTCAAATGTGCTCTAATCATTGCTTATAATTTCAATGTGTAATTTGTAACAAAATCTTCAAACATTGTCTGCTTAAATCACTTGGATTGGATCAACATAAAATATCTATTGGATTTGGTCTTTATGTGGCACGCTTTTCATTTTGTAACAAACCTTCACTTCGCATGGTTTATATTCCAATTATATAATTTTGGTAAGTTTTGCTAATTCTGTTATTAAATAAACTGCACGCTTTCATCAAGATAAAAAAAATTCTCCTCCGTGATTGAAAAATTACCTTCCAGTCGCCACGCTAGTGCTGCTCATCTATCGCCGCAGCCAATTCCCCACGCGGCAGCCCCGAGTAGGTTGTCTCCACAGCATCCCTTGGTGGCAGGACAGCCCCTGTACCACCAGCCAGAACTCTACAGGAGGCCTCCTGTCTACGTCGGAGTGACACACACTCAGCAAACGTTCTTGCCAGCGGGGCATCAGGTGGCTTCATACACATCAGGGTGAGTTGAATTACTTCTTTTTATAAATTTTAAATAATTTTATTAGTCATATATCAATTTTTTTTAGCCAAATTTCACTATTTAAATAAAATTATTTGCAAAATTCAAATTAAATTTACAATTATTGTTTCATAAGGGCTCTGCCACCACCTGCGCATCACTCGAACGCCCGTCCAGTGCTGGCAGCACATCCGGGCCACCCTCTGCCTGCCCACATGCAGCCAGCAGTGTTCCCAGCGCACCCTCAAGCTGTGGCGACTGCTGCGCTGGCTGCAGCCTCGTACGGCTATGCACCGTTGAGCCCAGCCAAGTCGCAATACCAACACTTGTGGTACACCACCGAGTAAAACGAACATGTTGAAGAAAGAGGATTGAAAGAGAAAACGAAGAGACGGAAGAATGAGGAAGAAAGAAGAAGTGACAGTAGTTACAGTTTTAGTTTCTGTTCTGAAGGAATTTTTTTTTATTTTGTGCCGAAAACAGGTTCAGTTGGAAAGAAAGAGAAAGAAAGGAAGTCGGAAACTTTGGGTACTTAGTGAATTGAACACACGAACTGGGATGAGCCGTTTCCCTTTGGTTGTTTCATATTTCTGTGCGTCGGTTTATAGCATTTATGTTTTATTCACGGAAGAATTAGACATGCAATGTGTGTGCATAATTGTCTTCATTTACTATACTCTTTTTTTACTTTTTTTAAGCAATGGAGTCAAAGGAGAATATTTAGGAGAGCCGACGGAGCCTTGAGCTCATGTGCATTAAACTGTCAGTATGATGTATATCAATTATTTGATTACTCGTGTTCGGTTGGTCACCTCGATGGTATTTTCGAAGCGTTTACGCTGCAACCATAATTATTACACATAGTAGTTGCGAGTTGCCGTCTTTCCAGAAAGACCTAACATTTTCAATGTTTCCATGTGATATATCATAAAAGAAAGATAGAGCTTTGTGTACCCATGTAGCTTGATTTTGAGTAATACTTTTGAACTTTCATTAATTTGCATTTTACGGTGATTACAAAAGATGGACTGCTTGTTTATGGTTTACTTTATAATGTTGCGTTGCACACCAACAACAACAACTACCCCTTTCAATGTAAATAATTAACGATTAAGTTCACAGCAGTCCTGATATTATATTTTAAACAATCATGGATAATTTCATAACGTTAGTTCCTCTACTTTAATCTTTCTAGACACCGTTTTGATTTTGTGTACACACCGGGGTAGTTTTCAAATAAAATAAGGCTGTTCTGGATAGTTATTAGTAGAATCAATGGAGAATGCTATAAATCTAATTCAACTTATAGCTTCACGTGTAGATCGAGTTCCAACAACAAGTGTTAATCGATAATTAATTACAATACGAGAGAAAAACTTTTTGAAACAATTCAAATAATCGTAAGTGTTTAATATGGGTGATGTATTGATGGGACCTCTCTATTTCTGTATTTGTATGATAACCACTTTTCTGCTCTGTAAGTGTGTTTAGTGCGGCTACCATCTCATTAGTTAGGTCGGAACCATCCTATTTTACAAATTATTTTGCGGTAGTTTTTTTTTGCGTTCTTTCTGTTAATATCCCTTATGTTAAGGCCGTTAAGGTTTAGTCACATTAATAAGAAGTTTTACCGCTCGGGTAGTTCAGTTTTTTTACATTACTTAAATTAGTTAATGGGAGTTGGAAGCAATTGCTATTTTGTTAGTGACGCTCGCACGAGTTGAATTACAAATCGACATCTTGAATGACTTAACTTTTGATGTCTAACTATCTAATGATTATTATTATTGGTAATGGACGTTGCTAAAATACTTTTACTAAGCTTGACCCCCACCCACAACTCGAATGCGTTTAAAGAGGAACATCAAATTTTGTAAAAAGGTGTTTCTTCGTCATTCAAATAGAGAATAGAAAAACACATTGTCTTCGTATAGGCCATCAATGGTATTTGGAAATCCCGTCTCTTCTTGCCAATACTGAGCCATGTCCGTCACCTAACCAATCAAAAGTCTTTGTTTTTGCATAGCAAAAAAGTAATAATGGGCTCCACAAATTAATATTTTCTATAACAAGCACCTCAATTATTGATTAAAAAAAGAACTAATCATAAATATCTGCCTTATTACGGAGGAATATCACACACTTACAGACAACTACCATGTTTGTACTTTGTAATACACAAAAAATAAGTAAGAGTTTGGATGTTCAGAAATGTCTAGATGTGATAATTAATTAGCAGCCACTATACTAAAAACTATACGAAATTTGAACTTGCTCGCATAGTGGAATCGAATACAAAGATGAGATAAAAATAATACTTTGCTGTCAATGATTTTCAAGGAAACTAATGTCCTCTACCATTTAAATAATATTATCTCTGCTACCGTGTGTTTAGAGGTTATTAGTTCATACTACTACTATGGTGTTCTTAAGCTCGAATACTTAATTAAGAATCTTAATCCAAATGTTTGCCCCACACCACTCAGACTAAATAGCGTTTTGATTTCCTGTTCACACATAACAAAGTACAATATTCTTCATAACGTTTAAAATAATACTGCTGTTAACGTTAAAAATACTGTCTCGTAGACTTGAGCTCGTCTAAGGAAAAAGAAACTTGTCTCACTGCATCTCAATACGACTCTTTGTAGTTTCTATAGTTAATGTCGGTAATAATGCAGATCGCTTTATATCAGAAATTCATTCACATTATTATATATCATAACTTTACAAAATAGATAATTACGTCAATGGTGATACACAATATATTAAAATATGAAATTACGAATTAACTGAACATTGTGTAATGACAATTTTATAATAATAGTTAATTAGGGCTTTGGTGTCAGAAAGAGAATTTGAGAAGATCAATTTTCCGTAGGTAAAAATAACACAATATATAAAAATATTTTGATATTTACCGCCTACAATAGATGTACAGAATCTGCCTTAACAAGTAACACACACATCTTGTTGCTTTGTATCAATTCGGTGGTTTAGCCAAGTAGAAGAGAAATGTTTAAAAAAATTAATGTGCATCAATGGGTTGTCCAATCACTGAGAACGATAGCGTGTTTTTTGTATAAACAAAATAATAACTATATAGTTTACTGTCGAGTCATGCGTGTATTAAAAAGAAAAATAATAATGCTTTTTGTGTTAATTGGACATATTCAAAATATGGAAGTAATTACGAAGTGAAACTAGCAGCCTTTTTAAATCAATATGAACAAACGCAATTTGCCAAAGATGAGTTGACATTGCATAAGATTATTAAGAAATGTTCCTGGAAATCAATTGATTGTGCGCGTGTACTAATTAATTCGTTTTATGCTCAAAAGTATGACTTAGTAAGAAACCGCTGATTATTTTTTTGAATTCAGTCAATTAGCGTCCGAAAGTTGTAAGAAACAAACTCTGTGGAATTCCAATCAGATCCGACAAAATCCACACTAAAATCGGCAATGCAAATACAAACAAAATGTGTGCTTATTATCATTACATAATTATATTAGTTAAATATACTTTTGCTTCTGCCACAACGCACTCAAGCAACACATACAAACACTTATTTACTCTCTCTACATCTCTAGCCAAAATTCAACTAAAATTGCACTTCACACAATATAACTGCACTTCTTAAACTTTATCCAGTTTTTTTTTTTATCAATTACGGGATTTGAATCGTTTGTTGAATAGTTTTTTATTATTATAATATTCCAGTAGATTTTTTACACACTTAAATTGTTGTTAATTTGTTATAATTTAAAATGGGTTTGGTTTTTACTATTCCAAATTAAAAAGAGAACAAATGCGGAACGGCTCTTATAAATGTTCTCCTCTAGGAGAACATTCTAAATTTTTTAAGGGTGCAGTTCTAGTGCAGATTCATGCATTCAGTTTTAACGACAGCCAATATATAAAAAATTTTAGAGCACTTTGGAGTGGAAAAATTTCACAAAATTTTAATGCATGATAATACAAACAAGTTAAAAATATACAGTGTTCAATACGCGTTTTCAACCTCCAAAACAGAAAAAAAATGCAAAGTGGCTACATATATATTATATTAATTGTCACCTCGTTGTTGGTTCTGTGGTGTAATAAGAAAGCGTTTAAAAGCTTGCAGTAGAGCGTTGGAGTAATATAAATATATTTTAGCCATGCAAACAAACATTCATTCTAATAATTAAATACCAAGTTCGAGCACTGCTGCATTATCTTAAACTAGAGGATAATCACCATATTTAGAGTAATCGTTTATTATTCTGTATTGCATACAAATTGTGTGGTTTGGGATCCAGTTCTTGATATCGTAGAGTAATAAAAAATACATGATATCATTATTAATTAATTGATTATATGCATTCAATTGAATAACAAAGAGATGCATTATAGTGTATTAGTAATAACGAAAAACAACTTACAACCAACATATAAGCATACTTATAGCATCAGATGAAAGTTTCTTGTTGTGATATATAAACTGATTACAAAAGAATAATAACTCTCGAGTATAATGTTTCACTTTTTGTGCTGTTTTTGCTTACCACTTGATGTATTACTGATTAATCCCTGGTTTGAGGAAACTCTGTGTAGAAATATCTGATAATATCCATAATAAGTATCTTATTACCAGTGATTAAGTTTTAACAGGGACTATTTTATAAAGAAAAAGAAGCTATCATTACGATAAAAAAAGAATCAACCCTCTTTCTGGATGTGTACTGAGAATTTAAATACTGGCGAAGGTGCACGTCTCTCGCATTCGTATATAAACTATAGACAAATTGCATTATTGTGACTTGAAAATTATATAAGTACGTGTTTCCTGTCAACGTGGGATTTGAGATGTGTGATGTCTTTTAATAATTTCACGACCCCCCGCCCCCCAAATAATGAAAGAAAGAAAAATCTGTTCAACATCGACTGCTTTAAAAATGATCATTTGATACCTAAAAAAAGACTGATAACGTATATAAAATTTAAAAGATATGAAAAACTGCATCTACAAAAGTGAAAAAACATTTTTACGAGAGAAAACAAGTAAATTTCAGAAAGAGTGAACATCTTTTGAGAAAATATATAATTTTATTTAAACCAACAATAAAAACGAATCAAAATTGTTCAACAGCAGCAGTTGATACAGAACAGAAAAGAACACAGCGTCACTTTTTTCATTGAACTGATTTTTAAAAAAAAAATAGCATTGCGAGTTTTTCCTTGAATTCAGCAAATCTGGGTGCCTTCATGTGTAATTTTTGTCGTTTGCATTTCTATACAATTGTTATATGATTTCTCGCGGATTATTATATAATATAATTATATATCAAATAAATCAACATACCTGTGTCGACAAATTTGATTATTGCTGTAAACAGACGCATTGGCCGTAGTTAAAATTGATGATCATTTGGTTAAGTCTTTTCTTATATACTTGTGGATTTGTAAAACTTATATTTACTGTCAGTGATTTTTGACATGCTTGCACAATTGTCCCTTAATTATTGATATGAACTAAAATGTAGGCAAATTTGTACATAATAGATTTATATATTGATGATGGAAAAATGTGCTGTATATGGAGTGTTTTGTGCCAATTTAGTTTTTTACTAATAGAGCTGGAAACAAAACAACTGATTGAGATTTATTGCTGCCCACAGCGTGAACTAAAAACAATTACATTCGACGTGCTGTTATTGTAATCATACCTTTGTAATAGTTATTATTGTATCTGACAATCCACACTCGCGCGAAAATCACATTCTCTCTATCTCAGATTTGTAAAAGTCCACTGTATCGCACACACACCACACTTTCATGTATGATAAATGACATGCCACTTTGTATCAAAAAAATTGCGCGCCGTCGAAATTGGAATTTTTCTCTAAATTCGTTGCCGCAATATGTGAACGGCGCGGGTCATTTTCGCACATGACATTCTACCAATTTAATAATCAAAACTTCTCACCAATTTGAAAAAAGAAAATCTTTGATCCTAAATTTTTCGAGTCTTTTCCATAGCAGCCTATATAGTCAGATACATAATACACTTCTATGGTTAATGGGCAAGATGAAATTAACGTGTAAAATTTGGCACTAATAAAATTATGCATAAACAAAAGAAATTATTACAGTCCTTATTTATATCAAAACTCCCAAAAATATTCCTTTATTTAATAAATTTCAATTAGTTTCAATCAAAAAAATTAATAACAGATGAGTGAATTATTTTGCAACTTTTCAAGTTCAAAAAAAAATTCACATTCAAAATTTTGGAATTCATAAAAAAATAAATTATTTTGAAGCTAGAAATAAACAACAATAATAATAACATACATTATCTTGGTGTGCATTTTTTTAAATAAATATGAATTATGTGATTCTTTCTAAATAAAAATTCTAAAATTTTTTAATCTTATTTATTATTATATTTTTATTAATTTTTCATAAGGAACAACAATTATGTATCACATTTGAAGAATTTTTATTCCTAAGAAAAAATTGCAAGGCACTTTTAAACTAATTAATATATTTTATCTCAAAATACGGGTCGTCTACTGACATTTAATAAATGGTCGTAAAAAGTACACATGGCCACCCGATTATCCTGAGCCAATCCTACGCCATAGGCTAGGCAACCCTCTTCATTTCGGAATCTATTATCAATTATAAACCCCTCGGAGTTCAATTCCAAAAATAAAAAACCCTTGAACATGCAGGCCACGGCTAATTTTGGTGTCGGCACCCCAATTTCCGACTGAATCCTCCACACTCCACCTCCCAAGCCCAATTCTTTTACAGGTCGTCTCGTTTGCCTTTTGTCCCAAAGGCAAATTAATTCATCGTAGCTACCAGAAATAAAATTATACGGATGTTGTTTGCAAGTCATGAAATGAGTGACTCCGGCTGTGTGGTATCTATTTTTGCTAATTACGCACTCGGATTTGGTGTCGTACAAAATCATCACAGAATCGTCTCCTCCCGAGTAAAGAATTTCTGGTTCGTTCACATCAAAAACCGTCGTCCACGCCTCCAAAGAGTGATTTTTATAATTTTGCACACAATTTAGACCATCTGAATTAATTTCAAATATTGAAACGGTTCCGTCCGCAAAACTAACAGCCAGTTTTGAGTCGAGCCAGTCTACGTAAAGGGCAAAAGCGTCACTAATTTTCAGGGCACTGACAAGGTGCAGCAGGTTGGTCTCGATGTCCAGTTTGAATAGATGGATCTGTCCCTCGGAATCAACAGCGGCAACCATGACGAGATCTTGACCGGCTGGTGACCACTTGAAGTCGAAAATCCCAGACAGGTTGAGGACAGTTTGTATCAGGTGGACCTCCGGAGCGGTTTCGAAGAGCAGCAACGAGCCAGTTCTCTTTTGGTCAACCAACTGGTAAGTGGAGCAGAGCAGCAGGTTTTGCCTGTCAGGTCGAGGACACCAGGCCACGCAGTCAGCGTTGAGGACCGTATCAATTGTGACCACATCCATCGTCAAAGTTGTAAACAAGACACACCTACGACAAGACAGAGATTGAAATTATTTCCCGCCAAAATTTTGCCAGAACTAGAGTGGTTCCAAGAATTAAAAAAGATACGGAATTGACTTGGGGTAGCAAAAGTTCCACAATTTCAAAAACTAAATTAAAAAAATTCGCAGCTCAAAATTTCGGATTCGCAGCAGAAGAGGAAATTCTGAAGCCTTTACCGACTTTCGTAGTCGTTCTAGCCTCGCACCACCTCGTCTGGAATATCTGCCGCCAGGTTTGCAACGCAAGGGGCGAAGTGGCGCTGGCGTCGGTGGCGGGCACTTGCAGCGACGTGCGTGCGAGGCTATAACGGCAGCACGAACGAGAAGCTTGGTCTCATCGACCGAGGCTGCGGTGGCCAGGGAGTGGTAGTTGGCAGCACCAATACACAGCTAGGCCATAGCATCGTCGGGCTGGTGATTCGCCGTCCATTGGTGAACAATTTGCCGACCAATCATTGGGAAAGTGTTGTCGAAAATATCCAATGTAAGTTCACAAATTATCTAGGACTCCTTCTGAGTGCGATTTTGAGGCACAGCCGGCTCTGGTTGCCTCTCGGCGCCGCGGTGCCGCCGATTCGGGTCCCAATCGGCGGTGACAGTCCGATTTGCGTGACCAGCTACGTTGCGTTCGCAACTCGGCTGCCATATTTGCGAGTCGCGGCGTCGATTGTTGCGAATAAAGTCATTGGCTTCGCTGCTGGCACGAGACTCGCACGCCTCCAGTGCTAATTAATTAACCCTTTGGTGTCAAACTGGCTCGCGGGTGGCGGATTTTCAGGCACTTTCCCTTCGAGGAAACTCGCTTTGTTTTGACCGTGAAGGGGAGGGGAAATTTTTTGTCGAAAGGATGTGTGTGCTTTGAAAGGTGCACTCGACTTTATCGTGTAATGTGTGCACGCTTCCGTGTATAAGGCATGCCATAGCCAAAGGACCAGAGAGCAATTTTTGATGATGAAAATTATTTATGATCTTATTCCATTTTTTTATAATTTATTATTTTAAATATTTTTAATTAAAATGCCGTGGATTAAGTTATAAAAATTATTGCTAATTACCAAATTTAATTTTTTAAATATTTTATGATTTGAAAAAATTTTAAATAAAATGTGGATTAGACAATAAAAAATGATTTATAATCTTATTTGATTTTATTTTTAAGTTTTAAACTATTTTAAATAAAATATCATGGATTTTATCAATACATAGTAAAAGTTATATCAAGATTTCTAAATATGAAAATAAAAGATATTGGCGTTAACATTTTAATGCAATTTAAGAAAACAAAAAATGAGATGAGCAGTCAAAATAAATATATAATTATGCTTAAACTTATTTATTTAATTAAAATTGTTGATCCACTTTATTGGGGTTCTTTGTGTGTATTTTTGTGTTCTTGATTCCTACTTCCGCTTTAACTCAACTTTGCCACGGAAAAAGAATTTTTTTTATTCCACTGCAATATTTTTAGTACTTGAATTGTAATGAGCTTCATATGAAAGACGTAAAAAGAAAAAATTATTACAAATCATTCAGGAAATGACGCAATATTTATACAAAAAAAAAATAATAATAATGGAACCAGTTTAATCTCAAGAATAGTCGCAATAATGTAATCTTAAATCATACCTTAACAATGAGCGGCAACCAAGAACCAAGTGGCGAGTCAACTTCTGTTAAGGACTTTTCTTATATAATATAATAGATATAATAACAACTACATAATGCATTGCAAGGATAGTTTAGAGGGAGTGGGGGAGGAGAGGGTGGCGGAGTCTGCGTGTCTGGTTGGCGTCTGCCGCCTGCCTCAACCTGTTTGTTTTGTTTGCTGAAATTTGACACACCATGACTATCACATTTTTGCTCGCATTCCATGCATATTCTTTCATTCATTGTCTCTCTGGTCCTCCATTGAAGTGGAGAAGGAATTTCTTCTGTTATTTTGTAAAGGCAAGAAAGTCAATGATTCTGACATTCCTGTTGCCCCTTTTCTTTCTCTTTGAATTTTAAACAGAGAGAAAACATAATTTAATTATGAATATAATTATAAATTTAATTAATTAATTATGAAAGCTCTGTTGTCTGCATAATAGAAAATAAAATCATATTATTTTTGCACTATTTTTTAAGTTTATCATCACGATGGTGCATTGCTTTCTTTCACTAGTCTCACTATAAGAAATATTTTGCACTTTCACAATCTTTCAGGTTGATACAATAATTTTGCGCTTTTACATTAATATTTTTAATTTATTTTTCAATTTTTTACTGATTCATGAATACTAAAAGATCTATAGTTTGTATAACCAAATTTTTATTATTGTTCAGAATTCATGATATAAATATTTTAATTTTCTTGTTTTTTTTTTATCTTTCAAATTTTCAATTATTTTGAAAATAATAAACACGAATTTAGAGTTTTATGAACTTAGCTATAAAATCCTGAGTTGAAATCAAAATTTTTTGAGTTGGCATCACTTTGAAAGCCTCAACTTTGTGTGAAAATGCCAACCTGCTTGTAGGTTTTAAGCACCCTCGTGTGTCTTCTAATTGCAGAGTTCATCTCATCTCATTAAATTTTTGAAGGGAAGTCGTCAAGATGGAGCAGCAGCAGCTGACCACCGCTGATGGCCAGCAAGTGACCGTGATGCAGGCGGTCCAGGGCGGCCAGCAGGTGCAGGTGCTGCAGGTCGGCCAGGGTCAGGTCCTCCAGGGCAGCGGCGGCCAGCAGATCATGCTGCAAACCCTTCCCCAGGGTGCGCAGACCATCCAGATGGCGCCAGGCAACATTCAGGTGCTGCCCATGTCGGCGATTCAGGGCTCGACCGGCACTCAGCAGCTCGTCCTGCAGCAGCAGCCGCACCTCATCCAAACATCAGACGGACAAACCTTCATCTACCAACCCATGCCAGTGGAAAATCAGAACAATGTTGTCCAACAAGCTCAACCCACCGGTAATAAAAAATTATTTAAAACAGGGAAAAAGTAAAATTAAGTTTATATAAAAAATTAAATATTTTGAAAAGTTATAACATACACTGATTTTTTTGATAAAGTGATCAAATAAATATGGATAATTTAAAATAAAGAAGTTATTGAAAATAAGTTACAATTAGACATGAAACAAGTTATATCATTAATTTTTTAAGTATGATTTTTTAAAGTGAGGAAATATCTAATTTAATCCGTAATTTAAAATTCCCTTCTCTTAGCATATTTACAAAAATTTTCAGTTATCAACCTGAATGGAAATATACTTCAAATTGCAAACCCAACGGCTAACGCCAGCACAAGTCAGCAAACTCAAGCGCAGCCCAGCACTAGTTCAGCAGTTTCGCAGAGCATCAGTAATGGCAACTATGTCATGGTGAGATAAATTTACGCCTCATTATTTCGTGTATTTTTACAATTTTTTCCAGCAAGTGGTGCCCAATGCGTCAAGCAGCTCAGGCAACGTTGCCAGTTTCCAGAGAATGCCCATTGCCACCAACGAGATTCTGGAGGAAGAACCGCTCTATGTCAATGCCAAGCAGTACAGGCGCATCCTCAAGAGACGACAGGCGCGCGCCAAGCTGGAAGCGGAAGGAAGAATTCCCAAAGAGAGACCGGTTAGTTAAGGGGAAAATTTAAATTATTAAGATTCATTTATAATTTTTACAGAAATACTTGCATGAGTCAAGACATCGTCATGCGATGAACAGGATTAGAGGAGAGGGCGGCCGATTCCACTCTGGCTCTGTGAAGAAAAGGTATGGCCAATGTATTAATTATTTTTAACAATTTAAATAGGAACTACCTATATTTAAGAAAAATTCAATACAAGCTTAATTTGTTGGTAAAGTAAAATACTTTAACATTTTTAATTCATTTACTTTTTTCTTTTTAATCCTCATTTTCAGCAACCAATTATATTCCCTCAAGGTAACCAAATAGTTGGGATTTTTCTAATAATAAATTTTTTATTTCTTTTATCTATTGAATACTAAAATCAGAATTTTTAAATTGATTAATTTCCTTTTTGAACTTGCAGAAGGAATGCGGAGAAGCAAGCAGCTGCTGCAGCGGCTGCGGCGGCAGCAGCAGCGGCCAATCAGATGACCCAGCAGCAGGTCGATGCCACCTCTGCCAGCATGTCCAATAATACCTTGGTCATCGAGGTGCAGCCTGGCTTTGAGTTGGCGAGCATGTGAGACACGGGTCAGCAGGAACTGATAGTTCCTACGGCCGCAGACAGTTTGAAAAACTTTGTGATGGTGTTGCAAAGTGGTGGACTCATGACCGGTTCCCTAGTCTAAGAGACGAGTGAAGCGGAGTTTAATTATTTGCGATAATCCACTTGAGTGACCTGAGACTGTAAACAACCTCGTGTAAATATTTTCCCAAAATTTGTAGTCTTTTGTTAAACGTAAGGCATTTCTCTAGAATTTTTTATTTTGAGACCACTATGTAAATTCTTTAATTTATTTTATCCCTGGATTTGTTGCGCTTTGTAAAACATTTTCGATTTTCTTTAACATGGAAATATTTTCCCATTCTTGTAAAACTATTTTTGATTTTTCTAAATAATTCAATAAGACTCAAAATTACATCTTACTTAAATCGTCTAAAAGTAACAATATCGACGTAGATGCCATCATCACTAAAAAATTGCACAAAACAATACAAAGGGCTTCTGGTCTTAATATGAATTTAGCGCTTGATAATGAGCTTCAGGCCTTTTTACACGAATATGGGTAATTTTCAAATTATCAATCTTGTCTTGCCATTTTCAATGTAGTTAATAAAAATTGTTATTATTTAGAGTATTATTGGACCTGCACATCTTTGCAATTTTGTACGAAGTTGCAAATTTCTATGTACCGAACATTGTCCAGATCGATCTCTTACCTCAGCAGCACAAAAACAACTCCCACAATCAAATTCAGTTGTGCAGACTTGAATAATTATAAAAACATGCAACTATTTTACTACTGTAACTGTAAATAGACCAAATAACAAGAGCATACCTAACAAACACACTATGAAGAAAATAATATATCATCAATATTTGTAAAAGAAGATACTTGTATATTATGGAATCTCCAAAGGTCTAATGTACAACTTAACATGATAGACTAGCAAAATATTTAGCACTTTTTGTATCCTGGTCGAATGGAAGATTGGGATTCACAAGTGTATTGTGGGCCATACAGGGGACGTTAACGCAAAGACTTGCTATGCAATGAAAGGACGTGGAAAAATGTAAAAATACGAAGTTGGATATATATTATGTATTCAATTAGTGCTCATTTATTTTGCTCATTACTCAATTTGGCATATGTGGAATTGAAAAAAGAAAACAATATATATGTGCACGATCATTGCATGACAATAAATAAATATCACTTTCGAAAACAGAAAATATTCAATAATTTAGTTTCAAAATAATCCTTAAAAGAAATTTTTCCAGTGTGCTTAAAATAAGACAAAAATTAATTTCCTTTTTTGGATTGAATGATATTCTCTCTAGTGCGCCTGCGGCATTTCTCATTTATGCAACCAGCACGCCACGAAACACGCACCACAGCGATCGTGCTGTTTCCTAGGGCCAGTGTGTTGTGTGCGCTCAAATGATGGACTTCCCATTTTTCTCCACTCGCCATTCACGTGTGTGTTGCTTTACTCGGATTTATGTTTTTGTGTTATGAAAAAATGAAGTGCTGGATGAAGGGAAATTTGGATTGTCAAGTTATTCGGCAGCTTTGAAGAAAATAATAGTCAAAAAATCGCGGAGATGATCAGAAGCAGTGGGAGTTCCTGCCTTTTAATGCTGTGTCTTTTGACCTCGCAGAGGACGTTTGTTGTCGCAATTCCAGAGAGAAGAGGTAAAATTATAAAGAAAATAATAATATGTATTAATTATCAAATATTTGAAATTTTTAATGCGTTTAAAACTTTGATCGATTTATAATCTACCTTGTTTTCATTCAAATTAACAACTGGCCCAATTTTAATGCTCTGCTGAATTTGAACTGGAAACCTAATAGCAATTAATTAGATAACTATCTTTGCGGTGCTTGCTTTTGCGTGTAAAATCCAAAATAAATCGCTCCGTGTATTATTATGTATTTTAATTTTTGGAGCATTTAACTTTTTGCAAAAAAAAAAAGCAAAACAATTTTATTTAATTTTTCCAAGATGATAGAAATAAAAATCATAGACATGATAACAGGAGATATTTTTCGCTTCCAGCTCTGTGATGGCATTTTTCATTTGCATAAATTATGTGCTTGGTATGAGAACAGGTGCAGCCGCCGACACACAAATTAACACACCAGAAACAAATAAATAAAATCAAAGGTGCACTCTGTGCTACTGGTATAGCGCCAGGTGCTCTCTCTATCCTCTGGTTCGATTTAACACAAAAGCAAAACGCTCTCGCGGGCAATCAGCGACTCCCCCTGAAAACGCGAGTCTCTAACTCTTTTTAGAGCGGTATCGCGCGTGACTGCCCGCAATGTGAGCACCATAAGCTACTTTTGACTCCGCGCCCACACATTTCTCCCTATAAATAATTGCGTCATCTGCTCTGTTTGAAAACCAAAATGACCCGTTTCTATTCATTTTTCCGCTCATTTTCGGCTGCACCTTTTTTTGGCCCACCAAAATCGGAGAGAACTATATAGGCGGAAGAATCAAAAACTTTTTGTGTTATTTTGTTGCGTGCGAAAGTGGAGGCACAGCCAATCGATTTGGCCTGAAAGTGCCTCTGAAGTTCGTGCTTGTCGTGTGACTCAGACTTCTTTCATGCTAATTAGGTGGAAAATTGAAGAAGTGCAAGAGTAGAATTGCTTTGGAAGTTTTGACGAGCAAGGTTCAAACTTCTCGGTCTCTCTTGCATAATTTATAATAATATTTTAAATGAAATCGCCACAAATTAAAAATTTTTGTACAAGTTTAATGAACGCTAAAATATAGAATTATTTTCTAATTTAAATTATTTGATGATGATGATTTTTTTTGTGAAAATATGATGATGAATTTAAAATTATTATTTTTTATGCGGTAAATTTGAAATGCAACAACTTACATTAAAAGCATAATAAGAACAAAACTGAAAATTATTATTTAAATTAAATGTTTCCATTTTCTATAAATAGATTCTAAGCCTACACGTTTTAATGGTGCCTCCTGCCTCCTATTTAATTTTATAAACTGTGAGAATTAACATCTGCAGTGAATTGTGTAATCTCTACTTTGCAAACCAGCACCAAATTATTCTTTCATCGGCCTGTACATTTTATATCGCATGTCGAACAATGCGCTGTAGGTACCTCCTAAACGCACTCCCGCCGCCGTTCGTCTCCATGGCTTTCGTGTGTACATTTTTAGTCTCCATATCAACAAAAATCGATGTCCACTTCCATTCAAAAAAGTTGTCTCTCTCACTGCGAGTAAATAATTTGAATACTCCTCTACACTCATGATTTGTGTGTTTTGCTATGTTAGCTAAAAATGCATGTATTAAAAAGTAAAGTTAAATAATTTTTAGGTGTAATTTTTAAATATTACCAGAAAATTCACTAAGATAGTATATTTATTTCCTTTTTTTTAATTTAAAGTTGATATCTTGCTAAAAGTGGTAAATAAATACATTTACGAAATAATTATATAACAATACAATATTGAGAAATGGAATTTTTTATTTAAATTAAATTAACCCTTTTAATGAAAACTTCCTTTTTTATATTCAAACTTAGAACTTGAAATTCCCAATTCTTATATTTTTTAATTAGGTATGTAAGTTTTTAATTGTTACAAAAATTATTTTTAAATTTTATGTAATAGATGAACTGCTTCGCCGCGAATACCCGCTGGAGGATTTTTTGTGGACAGGTTCAGGAGACGGCCCCGAGCGAGACGAGGGTCAAATCTCATGGGTCACCACCACAGTGTTCAAAACCACCACCAGACTGGTGGCCACCCCTGTGTCTGCCACTTTCACCATGGTCACGGCCGCCACCTGTCCTGGTGAAAAGGCGCCCTGCCTCACCCCTTGTAAGTAAAATAAATTAAACAATAATTATTTGAGGTCATGCAAAAGAGCAGACCGGCGTGCCAAACTGGTTGCCTAACCCTGCGTATTTGCAGGCGCCCAGATCTCTCAATATTTTGAAAATATTATATGTTAAATTTTTTTAAATTTCAGCTTGGCAATTGGAATCTTCAGCAATGCTGGAGCCATCTTTTACAGACAGTCATCAAATGGAGAGCAGTTTTCCTCCCTCAATTTGGGCCACTCCAACCATTTCGGTCGTAGCCACAGCAACTGCCACTTTGTTACCAACGAATCGACCTCCAGTCTGGCCTGCAGATTTTGGTGAGCATTGATTTCAGCAAGACACCTGCTGCCTTAAAAGCATTCCGTGACGCCTCCATTTCCAACCCATATTGCACAAATGCGGCATTTCTAGTGTAATAAAAAATTCGCTCTCAACATTTAGGCGCCTAATAGAATCATGAATACGACCTTCTTTTTATCCTCTAGAAGTCAAATGTTTTGAATTATAAAAATCAATAAAGAGTAAAGGTTTTTTTTTAAATCAGTGAAATCATTAATTTGATTAAAAATTTGCTGTAAATTTTTGGAATTATCTGTGAAATCACGATTTTTTTTATAAAGACACTAATTCATAAATCTAACAGTTAATTTAAAATATATTGTAAATAATTTCAAATTTCAGACACTCCAGACAAAAAATTTTGGATCGTCACCGTAGTTGAAGAAGGCGAAATTGAATCGCCGCAGCAGTCCCCGTTTGAAGCAGGCCTCTCTCGATTGTACGCGACGGCATTTAAGCGGCAGCAGGAAAAGCACCTGGGAATTTTAAACGCAACTTCTGCCCGACGAATGGAGCTGCAACGAAAAAGGCGGTCGCCAGAGGTGCTGGTTCGATTGCTGAACGTCACCAAAGAAAGTCCGAAACGGATCCAACTTGTGTACCTGGTGCAGGTCAAAGGTCAGCCTGTCCTGGCCAGGGCGGCTGTCCACGATATGAAACTCGTGAGCGACGCTGAGGTTGCGCAGGAGCTGAAAATGAATGTGCTCACGAAAGCAGAACGTAAGCTAAAAGAATATTTGAAATTTTATCAAAATTAAAAAAATAGAACAAGAAAACTTTCTTAAATTTTTTGCTTTTTTATCAATTTTTTTCCTTCAAATTATCATTTTATACTGTTTTATACATTTGTGAACAGTTAAATATTTTCAGCTTATTTGAAAGAAAAAGAAGAAGCGGTTGAACAAGGAAGTCAAGTGATGACTGCAAGCCCGTGGGTTTTGGCGGCCGTTTCCATCAGCGTCGTGAGTCTGTTGGGGTTGGTTGCGGTTCTTTTGTATTTAGCAACTACCAAGAAGAAGCGGACAAACCGACTAGTGGACGGTGCCACTAACATGTCTTTTGAGCCCGAGGTGCAGAGTTGCGGTTCAGGTGCCAAAATGTCCGAGGACTGGAGCGTCGAGGCGCTTGAGGAGGGACAGCAGCCGGGCGAAAGGGCCAAGTCGGCAATCGACGCTGCCAAAACGGTGGCGCGCGGCGTCAGGAAAAACAGCAAACCACCCAGTCCGACAGGGTCATACTTGTCAATGCCCTCGGTCAGGAAGTTCCCCAGAGGAGACATTGTCCCTAAGCCATTGACGCAGGTAAAAATAACTTTGTTTATCTTGCACAAATTGTATAAAACGTAGGACAAAAATAAAAAAGATTTTTTTTGTTCAAAATTTTTAAAACGTACGGCACATACTTATATAAAGAAGCTTTAATTCAATATCAATTTTTTATTTTAAAAATAATTATTTTAATTATTGTCTAAAGATTTGGATTATCCGCAAAGATATATTATATTCTTTTTTTAAGTTTTTAACACTTGAAGTCTCACGTCTCACATTTTTTTTAAACCGTTTTCAAATTTCCCATGTCAGAAGTTAATAAATTTTAATTCAAACTCTTATAAAAAATTAATTTAACAATTTTTTTCACCAAGACTTCATTTCATTTTTATAGTTCATATATTTTTTTTGCCGTTAAAATGCCTTTTTCTTTAGATTTTGCAGCAAGATGATCTGAAGAAGGATCACCTGAGCTTAAAAAATCTGGACGTTTACCCTGACGAGTCAGCGTTTGAACCGCCCAGCGCATCATCGCCTCCCGCACACCTTGTCGTTCGACACGGAAGTCTCAACGGAGACCCGGGCGTTGTAGGCCCGTGTGTGTATCAAATGGCTCGAGGAGCGGCCACTTCACGAAGGCGCTTCCAGGAGTTGGTCGATGACACTTACAGTCTATTCGGCGAACAACGAATCTTCCCTGAACGAAAGTGCGGCTCCAGGTCGCCATCTCCACCCCCAAGACCTCCCTCACCAAAGGTGGATAGCAGGGTGCACTCTGCGGCTTACTTGTAAGTATAGAAAATAACTCTTACTTTTGCTCAAATAATTATTTAATGGAAGTTTCTCAATTTATTATTAATCATTGTTGTTTAAAATTACATCATTCAACTTTTTTCTATTTTTGGAAGAGGAAATTACAGAGGTTTTATATAGTTTTATTATTTTTTGCATTTGTTGTTCGATTCTTCCCACGCTTAATGTAATTTTTGTGATGCGTCCCGTGTAATAATCAAATTTAATCTGGAAGCGCACCTGCCTTGCGTTCCGGGAATGAGTCACGCAACAAAAATGAATAATTAATGAGCTCATCGCAAATCGTCAAAATCGACCAAGCAACACCAAAGTAACCCGATTGTTCTGTCTCTTTTGTGTGACACAGGCGCGTCTCCTCGCCGGCCGACTCACCTCCGGCGCCGAGGCCGCGCACCACAGAGCCGCGACGACCCTCTCTGATGCAGCAGCCGCGGCGCCGACCGCTGCTTCCGGCCTCGAGGGCTAGCAGTGCCGGACCAAGGGGCGCCTGGGAGACCCCAGGCGAACCGGCCACCGCAGGAATTCGACCTTTGAGTGCAGGACCCTTCCACCGACCTTTGAGGGATGCAGGGCGTCCGCCGGCGCACCCGCCCCGGATTTGTGCCGACTACATTCTGGCCGACTCGCAGCTCGGACAGGCCGACCCTGCGATGCCCCTTATCAGCGCCATCAAGAGCGAACTGCAGAAATTCCACTCCTGCTCGTCTTGCTCCATTCCAGGGTCAATTTCACCTTCGCCAAATTTGCCTCTTGATGACGACAAAGACAAGGCACAGAGTAGCAGTGACAAGGACGGGAAAGAAAACTAACATTTTTCAAGTTTGGTGAAAAAGTATCGTTTTTTTCTAAACTTTATGTACAATATTATTACACATTTCATGTGGCGAAAAAAAAAGAACACAAAATTGTAGCATTGATGGCAAATGAATTTGATATTATCTTTTTTAGAAAAGAAAAAGGGATAACATTGATAACAATAAAAAATATTAGCAGATGCTCATGAAATATTGCAAGTCTTCAAATAGTCCAATGCCAAAATTTGCAAATAAAATTGTGTAAAGAAATCAAAATTTTGTGAAACTGAAAACACTTAAATATGAAATTAAAACCTCAGGTCAAATTTTTGCAAAAGTGGCATTTATCAATAAAATCTTGCCAACAGTTTGTACTTCTCATCATAAATAAAATTTAAGAAAAAAAAATATTGGCATTTCGTTATTATTTTAGGAAAATTCTGAAAATGCTTTTAAGTATTTGTCTCTCACATTGACTTTATTTCTTTTGTTTAGCAAGACAAAAATAATACATGGTAAGCAGATATGAGTACACATCTCTACAAAAGTTTTTAATAATATTCATTTCTTTTTTAACAAGCAGTTTTTTTAAGGAAAAACAGTCATGGATGAGTCGTGGTGACGCGCTAACTCCGCAAACTATATAAATTAAAATTATCGATCTTGGTAGAAAATTAGCTTGAGACGAGAAAAGTATTCTTTTCAGGTAGGGGACAATAGAAAAATAATGAAAAATTGACCAAAAGAAAGGATAACATGGTAATAATTGATATCTTCTTTGTCTCATGAAACTATAAGAGCAAAAATTGAACATGATGTACAAAAGGCAAGGGAGGTGCTGGAAATTAACTAGGGTGAATTTTTCCCCACTAACATCATCTCAGTTTCATTAGGGTCAGGGGACACTGAAATATGCGTCTCTATCCAGCACGACTCACTTTCGAGTTTTGATCAAATTCGTACACAGTGGAATTGCGAACAAGTCTCTAATCAGGGAAGCTGCATGGTTTTATCGGATTCAAATTATTTTCATTGGTACTCCACCAGAGTCAAATCATTACAAAACTCATACAATGTGGTAGTGGTGATAAGAAAAAGCAACAGAGAGTGTATCAAGTCAAACTACAGAGCACGCGTTCAATGCGGGATTAAACGATGGGCAAAGTCTAGGTCGATGATGAGCAAAGCATTTAACTAAAAGTAACTCAGGACTATGAAAGCTAAGTTTGAATCGATTTGAGCATATCACTGTCTTTGAACCACGTCTGTAATTTGGCTTGATTTTTAAGTTTCAAAGTCTTCATTTTTTCCAGATGATGATTCCGACAAGTACGTGAAAAAATTAGGCGACTGGACAGGAGTTGTTCCTCTCAAGAAGACACGCCACTTGCTGAGGAATATCAAAGCGCTTCCTTGCATTCGTACACTACTAATTCACAAATCGTTGATCACACTGACCGTACCTCTCCTGCAAGCGGCGGGTTTAAGCACCAATCGGCATTTTATATTCATTATTTTTTATTTTAAAAATGACACCTTAATGAAATCACATTTGACCATCTTAATTAAGTAATGAAAAATCACTTTCCGTTAGTTATTAATTAATTATTGAATTATTGGGGGAAATTCGAGGAATAATCCAAAGCCACAAAATAAAATACGCGTATTGATCGCACAACCAAGCTTCTCAGGCAGCCATGCAGGCCGATTACAGCCCTTTGGTGCGTCTGCAGTCCTTTTTCTTTCAATCTTTCTTCATCAATAAATTAATACGCAACTTGGCAGCCGAGCTCTCTTTCTCTCTTTTTAACATTATTTTTGTTTAACTTAGGGCACTTTTAGGAAAGTTTGCAACGTGGGTATGCAGGTTAAGTGTTCAAACTGCTGATTCTTTAACCCAGTAGCTACTGGCTGGCTCGCGTTAACTTCTACCTCGCCATAACTCTCACTCTTTACCGCTCAGCGCGCTCGTACGGGGGCCTCTGACCTCGGCCACCTCTGTTTCCGCCACCCATGCCTCCACGATCGCCTCCAGGACCTCGGTCGCCATAGAGACGGGGGCGTTTCTCTTCAACGTTGAGGTTGTGGGGTGGTTCAGTGGGCATCAACACAGGCTGAAAAAAATCAAGATAGTTCAAAGTAAAATATTAATAAAATTAAATAATATCACATTATTAATATGTTTGGTAGAAATCCCATTCATGCTAGTAAATATTAATATTTCAATTAAAAACTTCACTCTTTACTCACCTTCGAGCTGAGGCAATTATGAACTGCGTTGGTGTCACTGAAGATCACAAATCCATACTTGGGGAAGACTTTGCCTGCGACGTTTTTAGAGTTGATGATGCGAAGGTCAACCACGGTGCCATACTTGGAGAAGACATTCTTCACGTCCGCCTCGTGGGCATCAACAGGGATGTTGCCAACAAACACTTGGTGGCTGTCAGGGTGCCTGTTGGGGCCACCGCCAGTGCCGCCAAGGGAACGACGTCTGTCGTCCATGCCTTGCTCTCTGTACTCCCTATCACGACCGACACTCTCACGCTTCTCGTCATTGCCTCTCATGGGACCGCCTCGGTTTCCGCCTCCATGTTTGTTTCCAGGACCTTGTTTGTTCATGCCTTGGCGCGGAGGGAGTCCTCCTTGTTGACCCTGGGCTGACTGTGGGGATGTTGGCTTTGGAGTCTGCTGGTGCTCAGCCGGCTGAAATCAAATTGAATCACGTTTTACTTGCATATTATTTTGAAGTAATAAAATGAAAAACCATTCCTTTGTCTGGATAGCAGAAATAACAGAATAGATAGTGTTCAACATTTAATACCATTTCAGATGTTAAATGACACTCTAATTTAAACAAAATCATACAACTTTCATAAATATTAAGACATTTTTGGCAAGAAATTTACCTGAACGACAGGTGACTTGGTGCGAGCCTGAGGTGGTGGTCCACTTTGGCCCTTGCTCTTGAAAACACTGGCAAAGGTCTTGGGGCCTTTGTTTTCTTCGACAATGGCAACCTCTTCTTGCTGCAGAGCAGGCAGGGGCTCCTCAACTTTGGGCTCGATGACTTCCACTTCAGCACTGACCTCTTCAGGTTCCGCAACGGCCGGTACTGGAGTGATGGTCGGAGGCTGGGCCTGCACGACAGGTGGCATTTCGCAAGGCTCAGCCTGGTAGTTGGTGATGGGCACCATCACTGGGGCCACTGATATGCCTGGCTGAGGAACAGCCGCCTCTACTATGGGAACTGGGCCTTGAGTTGGATACACAATGGGCGCCTGCATCACTGGGGCAGAAGGCTGGGTTTCATTGTAGTAATTCATGATGTTTGGAGCCTGGAAAAATTAGATTAACATGAAGTTTTGAAGCATAATTATTTACTTAATTTAATATGTAAATATGAATGATTCTAATAGTTTTGGTTCATTTATTTAGATTTTATTATCCTATATAAACAACTACACCATATGAATGAAAAAATCTCTTTTAAACTTGCACTGATATTTCAAGTTAGTTTTTACCTGATTGATGATCTGCTCCTTGGTGGACTCGTCAGCCTCATGTTCAGCACGGCCGTACTCCGGCTCCTCATCATTGACCATCTCATCCTGGTAGCGGAAGATGTCATTGTGCACGTAGTACTTCAAGGGCGACTGCTGCGCCAGCACAAAGGTCTGCGTAAAGCGCCTCATCGGTCCACCGTTGTTGGACAACTCGCCAGTGACCTGCACGACAACGCCGTTGCCAAGGGTGGCCTGAGAGTCGACCTGCTGTATCTTGGCATGACAGTCGTGGAAGTCCAGCTGCTGGATGCAGTGGTGGATCTGACGCTGGCCTATCACCGGCTTTGTCTCCTGGATGCCGCTGTCCAGACCGCCATGCACAAACGACGAGTGCTCATTGTAGAAGCTGTGGAGAAAAATTTTTAAAATTTCATTTACTCGTAGATTTATCATTTTGATTAAATTATAACACTAAGAAATTTAAAGTATACCGGTGCAGGTGCATGGGAGCCTGGTGAAGAAGGGTGTAGTACTGTCGTACAAACTCTCGGCCCACGACATGAGGGCTTGGCGTCTCTTCCATGACCATTCCTTGATATTTTGGTTCAGATTCTGCAAATTTTTCAAAGTATAAGTATGCATTACAAAAATTCTGAGAAATACGTAAGAAATTCTTGGAAAATTTCCCTCCAATAAAAAATTTAAATTCATAGGAATTTAGCAAACGCTTCCTATAAAAGAATTGAATATCAGAAGTTATCTTAATTTAACTTTTCAAAAGGAGACCCCAGGAAGGCCTCAGAAAATTACTACGTTCTAAACAACACAGGAGCTTAGCAACCCAAGGTCACGCCCGAAATTTGCCTCCTTTTTGCGGAAGGGACAAGTTGAGGCGCGAAATCGACACTCGGTAAGAGAAGAAATTTCGATTTCACGTCCACTCCAGACGAAAGATGCGCTTGAAAGTGAGTGGCGACGAGTGAATCGATTGGAATAAAGTAAAATGTATTCAAGTGTTTGCGACACGAGAAGAGAAGGTTCGATCGAGCCTGGTCGTCGGCGCAAAATGACGGACTTGATCGATACCAGTCCATTTGATAGCGGCAGATCGTTGCATATTCCCGAACTTAGTCACCCTGCGTAAACAACTCGCGGAAAAAAGTCGTGTGGAAGCCGTAACTCGATGAAGCAGCCAAAACTCCGGCTCAAAGCCTCGCAGGCCTAAGCACATGGTGCCCAGGGCCGGAATTTTGGAGCCGAATTTCCAGAAACGAATCGAAGAATTCGGGCCGATGCGGCCGGAAAACGCAAAAACGGGCGTTCGTTCTCACCAATAACGAAGAAGTGCCGCGCAAGTTGGTGCTTTTGCTGTTGAAAACGTGATAAGAGAGAGGCCGAGTGCCCGTCGACGATCGCCAAAGTTGGATCACAATGTCACTGACATGATGAATTTTTGAAAATTTTGTGCCGCGAATTTGCGACAAGTATGGCCGACAATTCGGTATGCGCGCCCTCTTATTTACTTTTTGGAACTATTAGCGCTCATAGCGCCACTACTTTTTCAATTAAAGCCGTACTTTCAGCGTGGCGGATTTCAGAAACTTTTCCGGCTCGTTCATCAACAAGCAACAACAAAACACACACGGCGAAACATTAGAAATATTCGTGGAAAAATTCGGTTTTCCAAATTTGTTTACAGATTTTAAGGCTATTGACTGTTCCGCGTCTCTCAAGATACCCTACGTTTGTTTCTCGTGAGACTGAACAGCTTTGATAGGAAAGATGAACCAGACTTTGGACGATATTATCAAGAACAGACGACTCGTTTCCAAGGCAGGGTAAGCGTTGTCCAGGAAGTTTCGAGATTTATTGCTAGAATGGCAGCTATTTTAGTGCTTAAAAGCGCTTAAAAGTGTGGAACTGATACTAAATATGAAAGAAAATTTAAGGATGGCTAAATTTTACATTTTTCTTCATTTTAAAGATCAACTTCAGGGGGTAGAAAATGTTATTTGTTCATAGGGCAGCATGAACATTAAATTTTTGGAAGTTGCTATAATCTTTCTACCTTCACCTGTGACCTTGAATATTATTAAAGGATTTGATTGGTTTTATATTAAAATATTTAATCATTAAAGAATATATATATATATATATATATATATATATTCACAGTTTTCTAATTTTGAGTTCAAGTTATCAAAGCATTTAATTACATAAATTAAGAATGCTCAAATTTATTAATTTTTTTTTTCATTCTTCATTCCAATAAATCTGCAATGAATATTTTTGTTTTTAAATGAAAAACTTAATTAATTTCTGTATACTTTCAACAGTGGAGTCAGAACCAAGTTCAACACGTTCCGCAGTACTGCCAGCGTTGGAGGTGGATTGGTAACGAAAAAGGCAGGTCGCCTTGGGATTGCGAAACCGGCACCTACAATGGCCAGCAGGCTGGGCGACGCAAGAATGAAGATCATCGCTAAGAAGAGGCAGAATTTGGTCGACGCCAGAGACCAACTGAATGAAATTGCCAGGCAGTCGGACGCCCGTGATAAGCTGACCATGATCAGGGCAAAGAAACAAGCTGACAAACCAAAATCTCTTTTCACAAAAGCCTTGGGGGGCTTGAAAAGTGGCGGTGCCGGAAAGGGCAGGGTGAGAAACAAAAACAGAGCCAGCGTACGTCCCAATTTCTAATTTCTCTTTTCTTCATCTGGAAATAATTTATGTTACGGTTTTGGTTATTCTTATTGTGTTGTCCCAAAAGTCTGTGTTTTGCCAGGTTGTCATTGAAATTTTGAATTCAGGTCGGATTTGTAACTAAGAGGCAGCAAGTAAAGCCAGCGAAGGCAGTTCCCCTTGCAGCCTTGACCAGAACTGTGTACCAAGATCCTGCCCCGAGAAACTATCTACAGATTGGAAGACTCGGCCGTGCTCAACCTTTACACGACATTGATGTTGACGTTTACAACGGTAGTTGAAAACCTCCACCTTTGATTTTCAAATCATTATAAGTTTTTTTGGAATATCAGATTTGGACGCAGTTGAGAGACGCTCACCTCCCAGGCGAAGAGAGCGTATGCCTGACTACGAAGAGTTGCTGGCTATGTACGCAAGGAACAAACTTCAACGCAATGTTCCCGAGCCTGTGGCCAGAAGACCTGCTGCCCCAAGCCAGCCCATCTACAGGAAAACCAGTTCGAGCATGAGGATGGATCAGTACTACAAGGAAGAGTCTGAGGAAGAGGAAGTGGACGAAATGGAGTATGAAGATGACGGTCCACCTCAGCCAACCAAGTTCATGGGAAGGACCATCCAGACAAAAGCTCATCCCACCACCAACATGTTCAGAAGAGTGCAAAGTTCAAATGTTGCACCTCCCAGGGCGTGAGTTAATTTTTCTACTCATCTCTTATTATTTAAATTATAATGGTTGTGAATTTATTATTTCATTTTTCCATGACTTCCAGTTATAAGAAGCCTCCTGGGCACAAAGTTCGTGTCTCCAACCTTGCACCCAGTGTTACAAGAGACGACATTATGGTAGCAAGACTTATTATTTTTTAAAGCGTTATCAGAATTTTTAAATCAATTACAATAATTGCTTTCAGGAGCTGTTTTCTGACCCTGGTGAATTGAACAGTTGGGAAATTTATCCTGGGGGCATTGCCGAGGTCTACTACAAAGAGCGAGATGATGCCATTCACGCTGTTGACTCGTACCACAAACGCTTGTTGGACGGCAAACCCATGACCGTCACCTTTGTGGAATAGTGCTTAGCAGACTAAAGCAAAGCCCGTTTTGAGCAAAGAGTGGAACTATTGTGTTAGTCGAACACTTTGATCTGACACTCTTGCAGCTCGGTTGAAACAACCATGGATTTACTGATTTACTTTTCTACTCTCAAATTTGTATGATTGTGCCTCAATGCAACAAGTTTTCGTTTTTGTGACTCACAAAAAAAAATAATTTTGTTAAGTTGGTGAAATGAAACCAAGCACATTAAAAAAAATCTTGTAATTTTATTGTAAGAATTATCAGCTCTTTTTATAATTAGGCACAACCATTGGTAAACACGTTAACTTGCAATTAATTCAATGAATCGACGCTCTTGATTTCTGCAGTCTTTATTGCTGTTCTTCCTTTTACAAAGGAGTGTCCCGTTTGTCCGTAATGTCGATCACAATTATATATTGTCAAAATAAAGTTAGTAAATACTTATAAAAGATAAAAACGTTAGTTGTGCAATCTCTCTTAAACATTCCTAAAATATATTTCTGTACTCTGATAATGATAATTCTTTTTATATGGCGTTAAGATCATCTTCAGTGATAACTTCAAGTACTAGTATACCCCGTGGGGTTTCGTCTTCATACCCAGGCAAGCCCAAGTCGGCCCTGATGATTGTGGACTGGTGGTTGACAGGGGCAAGAATCTGTGCTTGTCCCAACAGAACGTCTGGTATCAGTGGACGGTGGCTGTAAACTCGGGCGGACATTGGGATGGCTGGAGTGCGGCGGTAAAACACGTACGAGCCCTCCCACGATGGGTTGTTGTCATGCTCAACGTGCTTCGTTTCCACACTTACTCCCTCGCACTTAATCACACAGTATGGATTGCACTCTATAAAAACAACTTTAGAATGCAGAAGAATTTAAATGAAAGACAAATTACTGAAAAAGCTGCTGTGGTATTTCAAATCTTCGGCTCCCTTGACAGAGACAACACTGACATTTTGAACATCATGAGCAAAAGGATGCCACCAGTGCTTTGTAGGCAGATCTCTATCAGCAGGACTGTAGATGTTGAGTTGTTAGAAGATTGAAGTATTTAAACAGACGTTGACTTACAATAGTTTGCACCCTTCAGTAATAAAGCACCTCAGCAAGAAGCTGTGCTTCGGAACATGCAGTTGAGCCGAAGAAGTTGGCCCTGCAGCTTCTGTCTGTGCAATGATGAGATACCTGCCATGGGACAAGTGGCACTGGTTGTTCACTTCTCTTCTTGCGAGTGGACCAGCAGTCAGAACATTGCTGTGACCATAGAGGGCATGCAAGCGATACTTGCGGTTCTCCTCAACCTATGATCAAAATTATACTAAATTAAAATTTATTATGAGATTAACTATATACTTTGAAGACTGAAAAGCCAATGGGTGGATAGTCCTGAGATTCCATAGTGGCGCTAGGCCACTGGAGCAGCTGGATTACCACATTGGCTCCTTTATCAGAGGGAATGTCAAGGACAAACTGAGGGTTTTGCAGCAAATTTTGGGTAGGTGTGGAGCGTCCTGAACCTCTGCCACTTCCACCTCTACCCTTTAGGTCCCAAGCTCCACTCAACTCTTTCTCTCTCCAGTTTTGTTCGCCCATAACACAGGCTAAGGGTGCACCAGAGCAACCCAAAATGCGACACACACATAACTCTCCAAACTGTGTTACAAAATCTTCAGCTGGAATCCTAGATTCAATAACAAAAGTTTAAAAATTTTATGGAAATAAATTGTGAAAAACCATTACCAGAATTCCCGGTCATTGTCAACAGCAAGACCTAATTTTTGTCGTTCTTCTTCAGAGAGCCTGGCCCATTCCGGGACCTTTGATAGCATTTGGGTGAGGTGTTTGTGCGTGAAAACAAAGTCAGGTTTTTCTGATGTCCCTGCCTCACTAAATTACGTATTAGATTAGGTATAAACCAACAAGCTTATAAAATTAGATACTTTTTAGCATCCAATGGGGGTGCATCTTGAGGATTTGCAATGACAACGGCTGGGTTGCAAAGGCGCAATAGGATCACTTTTTCTTTGCCTCTGGGAATTGTAATAAAGATTTTGAAAACAGTTAAAAATTAAGTTATTAAAATCTTAGTAGTACTTCAGAATTCCTTTTAAAGCTGAGTTTTCCAAGTGGATCCTCTTGACAGATACAATTAAATATGGTTGCTCCAGAATCAGCCCCAGAGAAGTTCGGTCTGATGATTCCTCTTCGACAGCCTATACAGTTTTGAAAATAAAAAATATTTTAAGGTGCCTCTGATCGTCTGATCATAACTGACATCATCTTACCTCTTTACGAACATAAGCTGTCACAAGTGTTTGATGGGCAATTTCTGTTTTGAGTTTTAAAAATAGGTTCAAGAAATTGCAATCTTGTTCGTCGGCACAGTGGTCTCCGTTGCATCCATTCACTTTGGTGGGAACAGTCCATATCTCAGAAACTCCTCCGGTCAAATCAACCAATACGTCTGACAGAGAGACACTTTTGAGAGCAGCGTACGAGCCAAGCAATCTGAGGAAGAATAATTATAAAAAAACCGATTTTTTTTATGCAAAAAATAACAAACTTTGCGTAAGCTTTTTCAAGCAAGGAAGGCCACCACTCATTTTTGCAAGAGCTCTGAGCACAAACCAGGTCTCCGTCCAGAATGGGCAGTTGGTCGTCAATCACAACATCAACCCAAGCGCCTCGGTACCACAATCTGAAGTGGAAAACTCCCGGGTGCATGGTGGGATCCTCGCCCCAACACTGCAGACGATACTGGGGAACAACCTTAAAGAAAAATTACTGAAGATTTTTTTTGTGATTTATATATAAAAAAATAGCATACCCAGTGCCAGAGCTCAGGTCTGTGTGACAAGAGAGCCAAAGCTGAGGAAATCCATGCTGGTGACAAAATCCCAGGAGTCACTGTGTGGTCTCCGAGAAGACCAGAAACGAGCAAAGGTGATTCAGAGAGGTCCTGTAATTTAATTATTATTAAAAAATGAGGAAATCTAGTAAAATAGTCGTTACGTTTGGGCGTTTCCACTCAATGTTGCGAGGAATGTCAGTGCCCACGGTGAGGATGGAATCCGAGGCTGGGAATTTCAAATCCTTGAAGTACAAATTGTGGCTCAATTTCGAGTAGTGTTTTCGGATTTTGGCGTAGGTCTGGTCTCTCCTGTAATTTTTGACGCACGATTTCTTGCTAAAAAGGCACCCCATGACTGGAAATCGGGCTGAACCCTCTCACATTCCTAAGGCGTTGCTCACTCGGTGATTTTTTCTAAAACACGCGCTCTCCACTATTTATTTTTTTTTCAGCCAATCAGGAAAGATCTTCGTTCCAGCGCTCGTTTGTTTTGATTCCCGCTAAAACAGCCGGCGACCTTGAGATTTCAAAACAAACGTTTGCTTTCGCTTGATTTTGTTTAGTTCGGTAAAATTTCTCTTCAGCGATGGACGACTCATTTCTGAGTGGTTTGGAAAAAATTCGGAAGCAAATGTACGAGGCGGACAGTCCGAGGAAGTCGCTGAACAAACTGCGTGTCAGCGTCAATCAGCAGTGTGACAGGATTTCCTCGGAAGCCTCTGATATCACAAGCAAGATTCGAGGTATAATTTTTTTCTGTGATTTTTTTAATAATATTGAATGAAACTGAATTGAAAACTTCCATAGAGGTGCAGGAAGGCATCAATAAAAATGCAATAGCTGTAAATCAAGAGTTAGCTGCATTCCGGAAAGCGACAGAAGCGGAGATGAGGATGGAAGACAGAGACAGGAAGATAGAAATTGATTTTGTAAGTCATATGTTAATAATTATCAGGTCTTTTTATGTTTGTAATAATTCCGTTTTTGGTTAGGAGAAAAAAGCTCAGTTCATTGAAGATTGCAGGGAGGAAATAGAGCGGTTGGAAAATGGTTTAATGCAGTACGATGAAGTCATCAAGGAGAAAGAAAATGAGGCGGTGGTAAAACTGAATTCACTGAGGTAATTTTAACATCTTAATTTTCCAATGGATTGCATTTTTTTATTTCATTTACAGGAATGTAACTAAATGCCTCGGTGAGTATTCTGGCGTTTACTGGGATTTCGCAAACTGCAACCAAGAAGTTCTCTCTGGATGTGAGCAAAATTTGAATTTCTCAGAACATTTTGAAATTTATATAATTTTCCAGACGTTAAGAGCAAGGCGTTCTCAAGGATCAGGCCATTTGAAATAAGTATCGTCAAAAATAACAGGCTGGAAGTTGCTGAAGAGCTGTGGTCAATCATCGAAGAGCTCAACAGCCAGTAAGAAAGAAGACTTCCAAAGTGAGTGAACTGTTCAATTCTGAACAACTGCTGAAATGTATTTTGTAACTAAGGGACCGTTCATATTAACTAGTAATCTGCTAGTAATATTATATTATTCAGCCTGACAATTAGGATTTATTCATATAAAGCAATCTAGCGATGTAATGCACCTTTTGATTATTTTTTATTGCTAATCATTGGCATTGGTTCCTGCTATAGCAGATACACGGAACATCATACAATTTTTATATTTCATGCAAGGCAGCGTTTAGTTATATTTAAGCTATTGTACTCTTTATTGTGGCTACAGCGCCTAAAGCCATAGTATTAATTCGATTTAAAACGCTTTTATTTGAGCTTGATTTAAATGTGAAGCAACCTAGAAAGCCCAGCTCCTAGAGCCGCATCTCCGCCACTTAAAACCTCTAGCGGCAACTCGTACTGTTTGCTGACCTCGCTCTGGAGAACCGCGTTCCTCGTCATTGCAGATCCAACTCCCAATATCCTCTCAACCCCATGAGAAACAAGGAAATCCCTAGGCATCATTCTGCAAAAAAAAAATTTATAAAAAAGATAATGCAAAATTATGAAATAATTACAGAAGTAAATTAGAAATGATGCCCTGACACAAAGATCTGGTCACACTGCCCAAACTCAGATTGCTCGGGTCGATATTGGATGCACTGCCTCTTACTTCTGGACTGTGTCTCTCCCCAAGCAAAGTAGGGTTGATTTGCAAAGTTGTCGACTCATTTGCGGCCCCCAGATCCAAAATCCGCTGCCAAACTTTATCTAAAGTTGATTGAAAATAAAAGCAATCAAATATAAACGTTTTGAAACGAAACTAAGATTTATTCTCCTACCTTGCGGTACGCTGAAGCCAAGCTCGTGGGCCCATTGCTGCAATATTTTGACAAATAAAGCCAAACTATTGCCACCATTTAGCGAAGCTGCTACGGCCAAATACTGCCCATCAAAGTAGGGGAAATACTGGACGGAGGAAATATCCTCATCTAGCCATTTAAATTTTTAATCTAACATTAAGTAAAGGATTCAGGGTTAAATTTCAAGCTACCTTACCTGCTGATTTAATTTCTGGCTGAAAATCATTAGGCATCACAAAGCCTAATTGTGCTGAGGTAGAAATATTAATGACGGCATCCAAACCTGGCCGAAGCAAATTGGCAAAAACCGAGCACTGTAGATCACCAAGAGCAGCACCTAATAAACATTGATTCAATTAACTTAAAAAAGATTATGCTTGTTTTTGAAAGCAAATTTAAAAAAAAAAATTCACTTACCGACAGGAGTTCCTGCTGGAATGCCAAGCCAAGTTTGTTTCAAATTGCCAGCAACTCCGCCCGCTGGAATCACATGTGGCAAAAATTTAACAGGAAATCCAGCGTCCTCCAGAAGTTGTTTATTCCACTCGCCGGTCACCGAGTTGAAATATCCCCAACTGGCAGCATTCTGGCTGGACATGACCGGCTCCTCCAACTGGCAGAGCATTGCCACAATCAGATCCTGCCACAAATTTTGATTTCAAAATTTATTCACAGCCCGAGCCAAGTGACTAATTTTTACCATAATCGTTCCAGCTCTGTCGTATTTCTCAAGGCGCTCCGGTTTGTTCTTGGCCATCCAGAAAACAGTCGGAATGCCAAAACCAGAGCTAAGTCCCAAGTGGCTCTCAGGGTGGGGCAGGGAGGCCAAAAAGGTAGGGGTGCACCTATTGTCTTGCCAGGTGTAAACGGCAGACACGGCCCCTGACGCTTGCGTACTCAATTCCAACCTCTCTAAATAAATTAAAAATTAATATCTTCAAAAGATTTTAAAAGTTGGAAATGCACCTCCTTGGTAGCCCCAGGCGCTGCCCTGCTTCCATAAAACAACCCCATGCATTTGGCCGCACACCCCGATGCTGGTCACCAATTTCAACTTGTCCCTCGGCAGGCGCGAAACGCACCCGTGGAATGCAGAGGCGATTCGAGCTGCATCCTTCAATTTTAAAATAAATTTACATTAAATTTTATTTGATTGTTAAAATTTAAAGTCGGACTTGTTTATTTCCAGCTGCAGGGCCCAATTCACTGGGACAATCAGCTCGGGTGTCTTTAGTCTGTCTGGCTATTGGCTTTTTCGTTGATATGTCGATAAGGTTGACTTTTACAGAGGTAGTTCCTATGTCAACCCCTAAAACGTATTCTGCTGACATTTTTGATCTAGAAAATTTAAAATGATCAGTTAGATAGTTATATTTAATTAGTCTTTCTTTGATAAAATATTAATAGAACAAAAAAAAATTAAAAACGAAATGAGAAGAAAACAATTTTTTTTTAATTTTTTTTTATTTTGAAAAAGAAGCAAAAATTTATAGCAGTTTTATTGGCAGAGTTTAAAAATTACATAAAACTTTCTGTTTTTAATTTTCGCTACAGATTATCCAAACTAAACCTAAAGTTTAAATGCTACTTTCACGTTTTTCGTTTCTTTTTATTATAGGCAGAGTTCTATACTTTGCGCTCCTTTGCAGTAAACAAAATCGTTAACATTTCTCCCAAAAAAATAAAGACGAATGTGAACGACTTTGAAAGACGATTGATTTGCTATTAGTCAGGCCATAAATTCTTGAATGGGCGGTCGGTCCCCGTTTGATGTGCATTCACAAGCGAAAATAGCACAACGCGTAAACAAGATTTATTTATAAACACCTTAAATCAGCCGCTATTGTCCGCAGTGCGACTTGCAACAAAACTAACTTCTTGCAATAATCCGTGCAATTGAATTAATTCGAGTTCCAGTTTGTTATAAACGAGGCCAAATTTGCTTTGACAGCAAATCAAAGGCTTTATCTGCGTGAACTGCGGAGATAGTGCAGTGGCCAGTACGTTGCAAAACACGTTTTTTGTCGAATAAATAAAAGTGGAGGACTGGCTGAACACAACTCGAGTCAATCAGGGGCCCTTCTGATGACGTTCGCCCCCTTTTCTATGCAGCGTCATGCGCTAATTTGTTAGCCAAAGGTGGTGCAAAGTTAATGCGGCATTTCTAATAGGCTAATGTAATGTTAAAGCACTTACTTGTGCGACCCTGACGATATCACTTCTTGGCGGACTCTCGTTCGAAGTTCGATTTTTTAATCACGTGACTCGGGGTTCTACGTCACAAGCGGAGCCGGGGCGCCTGCGCTTCGGACGACGGCGCCGCAGCGGGGCCGTAAATCAGCCCGAGAGCACCGTTTAGCACTTTTAATGACAGCTAATTTCCATTCCCTGCCAGCGTGATAGAATTTCAATCAAACCGAGTAATGACCTCTTCAGCACAAAACGTGCCTCCGTTTAGAATAAAAATAAAAAATAGGGAAGGGAAAAATCGCGTTTGCCCTTATCTCATTTCCCCTAAATGTTTTGAGTCCTGAATTATTTTTCCTTAAATTTCGACTTAACATTAAAATTTAAATGGCTTGACGGCTACTTATTCCTCATTGGGATTTTTTTTTTTATATAATTCACCTTTTCGTTATTTTATGTACGGTTAAAAATCTTGGCTGGTTTTTTAAACCTGAATTTTCTAATAATTTTAAGTTAATTTATTTAATGAAATTTCTGTCTAGGCATGACTTATCAAAGTGATCTTTTTAAATATTACATCATGTCTTTTTAAGAACTTATTAGGCAATTTTTGTAGGTCTTTTGATTTGAGCACAAATGATGCTAGTGCTTTTAGGACTGAATTTATGGGAATGAACGGCGACTAAAATCAACCAAGTTGAAAATTTTAAATAGATTTTTATTAACAAAAAATACACGTCACTGGAAATAAGCTGCAAAAATTAAGTTAATATGACAAAACTTACTTATTTAACACTAAAATTGGCAAATACATCAGTAAAAATTGATCTGGAAGGTTTTGGCTTGATGCAAAATGAGGTGTTTTATAAATGACATGGCACTTCTGAACAAAGATTACATACAAAATTTGGTAAAATGTGGCTTCAAGCCTTTTCTCTTTTTTTTTAATTGGCTAAGCTTTTCGAAAATTCCTAACTGAATTTACTGAGGAGCAACGCGAGTGTTGGGATTAGGAAGGAGGAGATGAAGACCACGGAGGCGCCGCTGTGGCAATTTATTCCGTTGGCTGTTACTGTGAAGCGCACCAAGTCGGGGTAGCGACATCCGTTGTCGACCGCTATTAAAACAAAATTAAATTTATAAATTGCCCATCAAAATTTGAAGCATACTTTATAAAAATTGTGTTTTTTTAATTTAAATAAACATTTAAAAAATTAAAATGAATAATAATTACTGTTTCTTCCTTGGCATCTGTTGGTGGAATCGGTGGCCACAACCGAGAAGTACTGCGGTCTGCAGTCGATGGCAAACCATTGGCCATCGCACGGCCTTTCAACCCTGAATTCTGTTGAATCTGACCCTTGCAGCTGCCGACAGGTCACGCCGCTCTGAGAGCCCTGGCCGCCCTGACTGGCAATGGGCTGGGCGATGGTTCTCGAGAAGCACACGGTCAGGCGACCTTGACCAGTTCCTTGGAACTGAAAATTAAAAAAATAATTTAAAATTTTTGAACTTGCTTTCAATTTTTCAACTGACCTTTACGGTGGTCGATTCGCTGTGCATGAAATAGTTAGGGCTGAGGCGATAGTAGTAAACGCCCTGAGTGTCTGCGTACCAGGTCATCTCCTGACCTCCTCCGTTTGTACCTTCCATTCTCCATTCCCCTCCGCAAGCAGGGTTGGTCATTCTTTGGGGCACTATTTTTTTTTATTAATTATAATTTTTTGCAATGCTATTTGGTAAAATTTTAACATACAAATTTTGAGCCTGTCGACGACGGGCTTGACGTCAGGAACGCCCTGGAATCCAGGTGGAGTCAGGAGGAAAAGGTCCTTTTCAGGGTCACTCACGACGTCCTTGAAACGCTCCTTGTTGCCTGAGGTCCAGAACAAAATCCTCACATCTGAAAATTTTAAAATTAATTAGAAAAATTTCAATTTTTTAATCAAAATAAACTTGCCAGGGTTCCTTTCCCTGAAGACCCTAGCCTCGTTCTGCAAAAGCCACCTGCTGTTCTCGTCCGTAGCTCCGCTGGCCGTGTTCACGATGAAAAGCAAAACTTGCGATCGGCCGCCAGCACGATTCGCCATTCGTTCTTCCTCCCTCATATTGAAAAATACATTTCTAAACTGCGCCAATGATTTGACAACGTCCAGAGCCGATCCGCGGTCTAGAAATTAAAAATAATTAATGTAGTCTTCTTCAAATTTAAAACAAATTTTATTACAGTTTTGGTATTTTTCGTAAGTGAAGTTTCCGTAGAAATCAAGAAGAGTCCTTGTGTAATTAATCATAGGCATCTGTTCATTTGAACCAATAGTTAGGGTCAGAGTTGAGGCCTGAGGATGAGGAGCAACTTCCCGAAGCAAAGCGCTGTAATTGAAATTTATGTTGAAATTTTTTAACAAATGGAATGAAAGATTTAAATGTACAATGTGGACTGGATGATTTTCATTAAACTTTTTAATTTAAAAAGAAAAAAACGAGTCATGTTGAATGAAAAGTAATTATTTAAATCTAGATTAAAAGTATAACTTTAGCCAGACTATGTGCTGCAATTTTTTTCTTTAAATTTTATATATTCGTCTTTGTTTTTTCTTTAATTAATTTAATTGATTTTTATAACAATGATGAGCTATCTTGTACTGATATAGTTAATGTTATTAATTTTCGCAACTTACGCAAGGGTCGGCATCGCATCCTCGTACATCCAAGTGGGGTCAATCACAAGGAACAGATCCAGCAAGGGTGCTGCTGTCCTGTCTGCAGTGATTTGCGGCTGCTGGTTGTCTCTGATTTCGCACTGTCTATCATTCATACCGGCTGAATTTGACAAATTTTTAGTAAAGCAACTAAAATATAAATGCATCAAACTTACGAACATAGGCGTTGAGGCGAGAAACGGCGGTGGCAATGTAAGTTTCGAGAATTTCGTCCCTGATTGGTGCCGAAACCAAATAGTTGCCCAGAGCAGGAATAATGTTTCGCACCTTATTTTCAATGAAGAATGAATTTTAATCAATTGTATTGATTTTAATTAACTTTGAGAGTTAAAAAGAAATTTTTAAGTTTACAACTAACCTGTGTTTGAATGGTTTCGGACGGGGCCACATTTGAAAGCTGCTCCCTTCTTTGACAAGCTCGGTATGACCTTTGAGTTGGGATTCCTCGCTCAGAGTAATACATGTCCAAAACCTGGGACAACTTGAGGACACTTCCGAAAGAGGATTGCAAAGTTGGCAGCGAGAGACCGAGAATGAGTCCTAATTTTTTTAAATCATCAAATTATAAAATATGATTTTCTCAAATCATTTAAAGTCACCATCCAGGGCGCCTCGAATTTCGGCGTCGGTCATTTCGTAATTTTCGTTGTCATTCAAAAAGTAATATCTCGGCACAGCAGTGTCGTTCCAGCCACCGGTGGAACCGACTTTCATTGGCGTCAGTTGCGAACGCGGTCCTTGGCGGAGAACAACTTCGGCCAGATCTCCAGAAAGCGTGGCCGCAAAAACGTTGTCGACTGGACCGGCAGCGGCGAAGGCGCGCGGTGAATCTTGGTTCGAAGGGAATGTCAGTTGCAATTGATTCACTGACACCTGGTTAAGCGAAAGAAAAAAGTTAAAACAAAATAAAATTTGATTAATCTCTAAATTGCATTAAAGTTACATAATAAAAATATTAATTTGATAATACGTTCATGAAACTTTATTTGTGGATAATTTTTATAATAACTTGACGATAATTTAATTTTAATTTACAATTTAATTTCACTTTCAAAATCAAAGAAAGTATAAATATGTGTACATGCTTGTAAAAGTTTAAAAATAAAAGGATATTGCTAAATATATTTGTAATAAATTTAGTTTAGAGTAAGATATTTTTGTATACTTTTATTATTTAATATTTTATTTAATGTTTCATTAAAATAAATTTAATTATCAATAAAAATATTAACATTTTTCCCATTTTTCATTGTTTGTTTGTTACCTCCTGTCTTTGAAGACCAGCAGCGATGCCTGCAATGAGGGCTCCTCCACTGACAGCGCCCCACGGGGTCCAAAGGGCGCCTTCCTCGATGGGGCACGCGCTCTCCGGAATCGATTGTTGCCTGGCAGCCCTTCCGTCATCGTCGGCGCCGCTGTCATGATCCTGAGGCACCTCATCATAGTCCAGGGTCTCTTTGACTTCTTCTTCCTTCTCCTCCGCCTCCTTGTGGTCGTGGTGGTGATGGTGGTGGTCGTGGACGCTGCGAGGAATCCTCGACATTGACCTGTAATTCTGCAGACGGTTGCACGTCTGCGACTCGTCGCGACGCTCCCACCTGTCCACCGTGTGCGACATCATGAAGTGCAGACCGCACTAATTAAAATTTTTTAATTAATAAAGTTCATTCACAATACTATGTTACGCCATAAACTAAAACTTTTCTTAATAAAATAAATTAGTGAAAAAGTTGTCTTAAATTTTATTTAATGGTTTCAGATTTTTTTTATTAAATTTACTCTATTTTTAAGATTTTGGCAAGTTATATTTTAAATTATTTTAAAAAGTTAGCAAAGACATAAACAAGATTTTTCTTTTAAATAAAATGCTTACCCTTTCTTCATTTGTCAAGCTGGCGTTTGGAAAATTGAGGGCATTGCCTGGAATGAGCTTTTCAAGCAACAGACGATGCTTTCCGTTTTGAAAACCTGAAGGCAAAAATGGTACCACTCCATCGACCGGCGAGGTGATCAATGGATCGCGCTCGACACCATCAGTGCGAAATCTATAATATTTTAAATTAATTTGTAATTAAATTAACAATATTTGAAAACAAATTGATCTCTTATAATAATGTTGCATTGTAATTTTCAATTTAATATATTACAATTATTTTGTAATATTTTCATTGGTACAACCAAAACTATTTAATCTAACCATATTTATAATTAATTTCTTGAATTGATCTTTTTTAAATTTTCACCTGTGCAAAAGAGTTGAGGACAGAGTTCTCAAGTCCTGGTTGATGCCTGGTATCCGCTCGATTTTGTCAATCAGCGAGATGAAAGATGTCATTGTAGTTGGGATGCGCAAAGATCTTTCGTACAAGGTTCTATTTTCGTAGCACTCGACCTGCGGGAGGCGGTTCGACCGACCTTGCGCCGCCACATACCCTGATTTGTTTGAACAAGGAAATTTCGTGTGTCAGACAAGAAGTGAGAAATAAAATATCATGTTTGCTCACCAATTAAAAAAAGGACGGAAATGGAGAGGACGAGGCGACTTTGCGCCATCGTGGAGCTGTCCAAGGGGAAAGGAACGTGCCTGGAAGTTAAAAAAAAAAGAGAAAATTACTCAACAATCTTATTTGCTCGGCCAGGGGTTGATAAGCGGCGTGTGATTTTCACTCGTGCAGTAATCTGGGTTGCTCATCGGTTTGGCTTATCAAAAGCGCGCAAGTAAATCAATAAAAGCGAGATATCCTTGATTGGGATACAAAAACAACGAGTTTTCTGCGCAATCTTTAATTTTGTCAATTTCTTTTAAATAAAATGATATTTAAACAAAAAAATTATTTCCTTCATATCGTTAAAATAATAATAATACAAGGGTAATTTTTTTTACTTCAAAGGGGCTCCAAAGAGGTTGTTTAAAATACGGAGGCATTAGAAAAATTGAAATTTCTTTGTCAATTTAAGGAGAATTCTACATAATAAAATATGGCCTGGTAAATTCCGCTCAAAATCGCATATTCGGAAAATTCTGAAATTTTGAGGGAGGAGAGAAAGAGTCTTGCTGTTGCTCTTTTTAATCTAAATGAAAATAACAGACAATAAAATAATGGTCTGATTTATCAAAAGCTTTTCCTTCCTCCTAAAATCTTAATAAATCTCGAGTTTGTGGAATAAAAATAATAGCAAAGTCAGCCTGATATCAGTTTTGAGCAATGTAATTATAGAATTAATCTCCTTAATTTGTGCTAAATAGAAATAAAATACATTTCAAACCGCTTCAAACAATTATAATAGAAAATTAATTGTAATTTTTCCCAGTGAAAATGTTTTTTGTTTTTCAAAATGAGGTTTTGTTGAATTTTATTTGAATTTAAAATTGACATGTTGTATTTTCCTTAAAAATAAATTAATGAAATAATCATCAAGGATATGCAAATTTTGAATTAAAATTCATCATATTTGTCAATTTCTTCTACTCGCTTCTACCAAATGAAATTCACAATTAAGTGATTTCAAAACAGAAAAAGGAGAATTGGATTCATACAAATTCTGAGCACACATTGAAAAACTTTTAAACGTTCGTTGATGACAAAGAGGATTTTCGCAACGAAAAATCTCGCCTATGAGTGATAAAGTTGTAGCAACTTCTGCAATTTCACTCAGGGCGTTTCTTTCCGAAAGCAGGAAAGATAATGCAATTATTAAACTATGATGATTCTGACTGGTCTCTTACCACGCGGCGGGATACGAACGAGAGAGTGAGAATTATATGATATTGGTGACGGCGTTGCGTCTGATAAGCGAGAAATACTCTCGGCGCGGTGCTGTGTAAATGGAGTCGGCCGCCACTCCTGTAAATGACGAGTGATAACTTATCTATCTCGCTCATCGTGAGCAAATCCAACATGGATAGACTTATTTTAGAGACAGCAGATTTCACAAGAAAGGGCAAATTATTTACAAAGAAAATTGTACCAGCGGCACAGCTTTTGATGTGGAAAATTAATGATTTTCTAAAACACTAACAAAAAATAAAGCAGCTTGAATAATTTGATTACTTTACTTCTAGAAGTGTTTTTTTATCCACCAAAATAGCGGCATTTCCTTAAATTTGACCATTTAGTAAGTAACGAAAAATGTTTCAAGGAATCATTAAATCAAAAATGTTTATTTTTGAAGCAGAAACTGTAAAAAAACCCGCGGCTCAGAAAATTTTGCACTTATGTCTTTCTAATTTAAATGGCAATTATCCAAAAAGCTTTAGAAGAGAATGCGAAAATCGTTTCATACCTTGAGGATGAGTAGGGCGTGAGCAGCTTAGCTGGAGAAATAAAACACGCACCGCCGAGTTCTATCTGGAGCCACACACAAAGTCGGAATGAGCCGAAAAAGGTGGATCACAGGCCGAGTGTGCTTGTTTTAGCTGATCCGCTCTCTCTCTACCTGCGAGTCCTTATCACAGAGCATACGACTGACTCACTGATAACAGGCGAGATGAGAGAGTGAGGGCGATCAGAAAGGAAAAATATAATTATAAAACACCGCGGCTGTTGACGCGATGACGTGCGGCATCATTAACGAACGCTTAATCAATTTTACCGGAAACTCGTCAATTGCTCAATTCAGCAGCTATCATTAAGCATACAAATCTTACTCATAAGCTACATCCAAATAAGGAAAGTCGGCTCCTTTTTGATTGACTGAATGATAAAAATCTTAAGAATAATTTTCGCTTTCATTGGTTATTTTTGTTAAAGAAGAACAATTTTGAATATTGATACTATTTATAGAAATAGATGGATAACTGATGGTGATGAATAAAATTTTACAAAACAAACTCTTTAAAACAAACAAATTTTGAAAATATTTATTAATAATTTATAATATTTTTATTGGACATTTAAATTCATTTAAAGTTTTATTAAATTTTTATTTTAAAACAAATATAATTTTATAACTTCAATTTGTTTATTTTGTTATTTTAATTTTTGTGTTTGAAGATTATTTAACTTCCTTTTATTAAAAATAATTGCTGAAAATACAAATATTGGAACCAAGTAAAAATCTGCAAATCTAAAAATGCTTTATTGCAACACGGAATATAATTATGTATTTAAAAAAATTAATTAAGTGTTGGAAAATTTAAACAGACAATTTATTAACTGTCGAGCGAGTAGTACTCGCTCATAGTTTGATGGTGACGGTGACCCACAGTCAAGGCACGCCAGATAAAACTTGACACGAATAACAATCAACCTGGCCATGCATAATGATAACAAGCACAAGCTGTTCCTCAAGGTGGCCGCCGCACTTCCAACTCAGTTTGTTGCTTTTCTACGTAGAATGCGTTTCAACTACTCCTGGAAATCATCACTTCTTGCCACGATGTCCCTTCTTTGTTGTTTTACACCTTAATTATGGGTATTGGTCATCGACCCTGTTGAATTCTCTAAAGTAAGTAAAAAAATTCATTCTCAGCGGATTTGAAGTTCAAAAAATAGATTCCATTCCAACATTTTTAATTTATCAGTCAATAAAATATTTTTCATTAAGCGTAAAATAATTTTCTTCTGCTGTTGGATTTTAGCATACATTTGAGACATATATCTACGTAGCTCATTAAACAACTAGCAAGGTGGGAATAATGGGTTCAAAGGTTTTTTGCCGCGGCTATTAACGCCAGTGAGATAATCTTGGCTCAGCTCAAGCAAAACTTGTGACACTTTCACTTTGATCCTCGCTTGGAACCAAAAAGATTAATGAGAGTGCTAAACTGATTATTTGTTTATTTTGCACAAAAATAGTGATCATTATAACATATTGAAAGAGAAGAAGCATAATTTTATTATTGTTTAATATTATTATAATTTTGATTAGATAAATAGAATTAATTAAATAATAGTTAAATGATTGAACTCAAAATATCCTGCATCAAAAAAATAAAAACAAAAATAAAATTTTATAATACACATTAAATACAAAAATAATAATTTTTAATGGTTTTTAAAAAAAAAACTATTAAAGAAAATAATGAAAAAATTACGCATTAAATTATTAATAAAATTTAACAAATTTAATATTAAAATTAACAACAATACTTTTTTGTGTGAAATTAAACTACCAATCATTAGAGGGGAAAATATAATACATTTTGCTGTTTTTCAGTCGCAATTACTCTTCCCAAGGCCGCACTACATGCAGCGCTGGTCCATTCAATATTCAATCAAACCACTGATTTTAATTCACCTAATGAAACGAGACCTCAATGCCGCGACTTCCATTGAAAACCACGCAAGCGATCCTTAATTTAAAAATTAATTCCGATTGATTGCAAAATCGCACGCACATGCATGTCAACAAGGAGGACGTTTAAACAAAGTAAAGAGTTGACCGCGCGCATCCTTTTTAATCAATTTCATTTAGTTGGTTTGGATAATGACCGTGCACTGTGGTGTGCATTGTGTGCTTTGCCATTGTGAGAGTTGAAATCCCCTCTCTGCAGAGAGCGATTCGAGCGCGCCGGACTAGCCTAACTGCGTTCGCCGCTGCCAGTCTTGCTCTTGGCAGACCCCGTTCACCAGTCTGCAAACGTGAATTATTATTTCAATTTGCGTGTGCTCGAAATTGAGATGACGAACCAGAGTTAATTTCAAACAGTGATTCGGGACTTTTCCATTGCAAAGGGATAGAGATGCATCGTTCTGCGTAGTTCTTGCTGACGTTTTCAGCTTTTTTGTGACTGGTAAGACCAAAAAAGAGATAATTATTTAGTTCTATGCAAAATTGGTACAATTCAAATTGCATGAGAATTATTTCCATAAAAGGAACTAAAATTGAAATCAATTAATTATAAACCATCATTGTTTTTATATTAATTATTTCTGTTATTACACTCTTATGATTTTCTACTGAAATCCTCCTCTTATGTCATGCTGTGGACATGCGACCAACTGAAAAACATTTTTTTGTTGGAGGCTAAAGCTCCTATAACTTGCGAATAGACAAAAATAATACTATAAAGAAACTTGTTAATTCGTAGAATTTTAAAATATTTTTTACAAACACAAACATAGCAAACATTAATGTGAATTATATAAAATTAATAAGCGTGTTCACAAGCATAAAAAACTACTCAAAAATTTACACTTCAGTGGTCCTACCAAAGCAATCACATTTTAAAAGCATTTCTTATCCAGGGAGGAATAGTAGAATGTCCACTTTAAAAATAAAATAATCCTAAATTAATATTTAACAGAAAAATAATATTTTACTGTATTTTAAAAATACATAAAAAAATGATTTAAAAAGTTTTTTACCTGCATTTTCGGGTTTTTAAGCTTTTTTTTTTAAACACAATAAATAATGTCTCACTTTAGTTTAATTTGAAAAAATTACACTTTGCCTTTTGCTTTTTTGAGGATGCCGAAACTTGAAAAAGGATGAGATAAAAAATCTGAGCAGATCCGAAAATTACGCAGGAATTCATTAAAACGTTTTAGATCATTTATCATTAAATGAGAACCAATTTTCACTCCAAACTTCAGTCAAGACTTGTTTCTTGTCAATTCGCACAATTACAGTAATTATTATGTTCTTTCTTCCTTTTAATTAAATTATTAATTATTTGTTAACTCTTCATTCAAATAATTCATTCTAAAGCTCACAAATAACGTAATTTCTTTCAAATGTCATAAAAATATTTTCTAGATACATTTTAAAAACCTTTTCAAAATTCAAAAGAAAAACAACAAATGAGCAAATGAGGATTTGATTCTACTTTGAAGAACAATCTTGATCAAAGTTTTCTCTAATTAACACATATTTTGTGCCTGATAATTTGTGCACTTGCTCATCACCATGGAGATTTTAATTGGTGCAGCTGCAACAGTAGGGCAAGCAAATATTGACTCTCGGCTTTAGAGATTACATAACACCGGAGAGGCAAGAAGTTCGTTCACTTTCATCGATGCCCTGCTGTGTCGGAAAGACCGATATCATTTTTATCCAAACCAAAAAAGAATTTCTCACAAAAACAAACTCAAGCCTCGTTATTGAATTAAAAAATAAAACAGACGTGACAATGATTGCAAATAGCACGCACGATTGGCAGAAGCGAATTTAATTATCTATTCAACAACGTGCTAAATTAACTGTAAAATATGTACACGAGTTTAATGTTATTGTTGCAAACAGTTTGCTTCAATCAGGCATAATTACGCACACCGATAATAGAAGTTGCCGAGCTCCGTGTCACGCTTTCTTGCAAAAATAACGCCGCAGGACAAACAAACTACGCGGATAGCTGTTTGTATTTTATATGCCGAGTGCTATCTCCATGTGACTTCCAAGATACATAGTTGGTTTTGTGCCAATCGTGCGTCTTGGGAGAAATTTATGCAAAAACTTGCAAAGTCATTGCACTTTTTAAAAGAGCTCGAGGCATGAAAACCGGAATTTTCATTTTTCCAGCATTTCTTGCTACACTGCATAATTAAACGGGGGCTTCTGCTGAATTAATTTTGATAGCATGATTTTTTTTAAGAATAATTTGCAGATTTCAACAATACCATAACTATTTTTAAATAAACATTTATATTTTTATTTAATTACTAATTATAAACATTAAATTAATAAAGTCTACTAAGTTTCATGTTAGAATAGCATTGCTCGCTTTATCTCGTCGTGAATTTGGACAAAATAATTATTGTTTCCAAGAAAACAACTCAAATGAGCAAAAAGGTGAACGTCCTTCCTAAAACCTGAAATCTATCCTGTTCGTTGCAAATATATTTGTGCAAAATTTTAATGTCATATTGATAATGAGCGTGTGTTCGATTTGATAAGTTGTTTTACAAGATAAACAGAAGCGTCTCTCAAATGTGTGCCTCTCACTTGCATGTTATTTTTTTTTCTTCTTTCAAAGAAGAAGTACAGTTACACCTTGGCAACCTGAATCTCGCAGTCCGGTGTGTCGAGAGATGACGAGCAAGAAGTTCCGCTGGGCTTGATTGTGTCAAATCTCATCTCTCATTAGTGATTTTTCTCCCGTGAACGACGACGAAGGCCTCGATTTTTCGCGTGTGCACCGCAATTAAATGATATTTCGCCGCTAATGCGTCTCGGCAGACGAGCACACCGCATTCGCAGGCGCGATTTTGTGCTCCTCAGACCGGAAAGATAATAAAGAACTTTATAATGTCAACTTTTAAAGTTCTGGAGTGACATTAGCAAGGCGAGGGATTAATTATTTTAGCTAAGGGCAAAAGGACATTCATGAGAAATGGGAAGAGCCAAATTACAAGTTTAAAAAATAATTACAGTTTAATTTCTTTTGTGGAATTTTCTAAAAATACTATTGTACTTAATTTTTCCTAAATCATTTAAAAAATTCAAAGTAGCAGCAGTAGATAGATAAAAAAAAACACAAAAAATGCGGAAATGAATAAATCAGTGGCAAAAAAAGGTACAAAAGCGTCATCATACAAATTTTCTTTAACATTTTTATTATTTACAAGGATTGACAAGGTCTTGAGGCAAGTTTGTTTGCCATTCTACTTTACAGAAATTATTTGAAAGAAAAATCAATTTAGGCGTGCAATTCATGATCATGAATTCAGCGTATATTTAATTTTATTTTAAATTTATTATTTTCTGCTATTTTACTCGTTATAAAACACAATTTGAACTTTAGAACTCTGTTTGTGTCAAAGTTTGTTTACACTCAGAAAAAATTAAAAATTTCCTGATTGTTGTGATGTTCGGACCTTGTTCCTAACAGCTTATAATGTCATTATGGTGTTCAACCAGAGTTCCATTGTTGTTGGTCAATGTCAATATATATATTTTTTAAATTATTTAAATTAATGACATAAATTTTTTGAGAAAAAATTAAAATTAAAAGCATTTATTTGACCAAACCCATTAAACCACTTGCACGAATTTGCTAAAGCATCCAAATAAAAAAGAGTAAAAAAATTAACTCCACCGGCGCAGTACCTATAAAATTGTTATATGTTTGGAAGAGGCGAATCACAACACTTGTGGCAAAGCAGAGCAGAGAAATAAATAAGCATGGAGCTCCAACTACAAATTGAAAGTGATTAAAGCGGAGAAGCGCCCCCCAGCAGGGGATCACACGTCGCAGCACTTTCATGCTGCTGAATAATTTGGTAATCAAATTGGCCCATTATTCGTGTGGCCGCCGACGCGTCCTTGGTCCTGTGGAGCCGCCGAGGCGACGAGCGAGCACGTTTTCATTGTCTGCGCTTCCTCTTTGCAGCATCTCGCGCTTTTCATCGCCACCAGTTGCATTCAATTCCTAATGACGCCCACGTCAATGCAAGACGGAAATCATTGCACGTCTCTTAATTAAACAATAAGAGTGCGCAAAGAAAAAAAAGTTCAAACACATTTTAAACCTTATAATATCATTTTTTAATCAATTACTTTCCATTTAAAGTATTTTTACGTTAATCAGTGAAAATTTTTTGCGACTCTTAAAGAGTACTAAGACTAGTAAAACACAAAAATAAAATGCATAATCTTATATTCAAATTATACAGTGACATTATTATTATTATTATTCAATTTTACTGTTTATTCATATTTCAAACACAAAGTTCTTTAAAATGTTAAACCGACCGCTTAATGTATGAAATATTTTATTTCTTTTTGTCTTTCTCTTTGAAGGTCTTTTGGGTGTTAAGATTTAGTTGTTCAAAAATCAAAATGATATAAGTCATTGAAGGCCATCTACTATTTTTTCAATTTTTTCCCCAAATCCTTACCCTGGAACCTTCTGTGATAAGATATAATTAAGATATACTAATATAATTAATTTTATATTATTGCTGTCCATTTGTTTAAATCGTTAGAAACAATTCAAATTATAAAATGTTGAATTTTTCTCAACTTTTCACTTGTTTATAATGAATGATTATGTGATTTTCACAGGAGCTGAATAGGCAGCGAGCGCGATGGTTCTAGCCACGATATGGACTCGGGTTGCAGCCGACCTTCGCCAGAAGGAGTTGATACCTTTGAAACTACTCTTCTTCATCAATGCCTCAAGTGAGTGGCAGCAATGGTAGCAGGTTTTTTTTTACTTCCAAAACTTGCGCGCTATTGTGGGATTATTTCTGGCTTCTGAACCTGAGCATAATCAACATCAAGGCCGAAAGAAATTTACCAAATTTTTTATTTTAAATGGAAAAGTTGTAATTTTCATCGAATTGATTTTTTTAATCCAGCTAAATTAAAATGCATTAAAATTTCAAATTGATCAAAACTTGTAGCGCTCTATATAATTTCTCCATAGTATTTAAGGTGTTGTAGTTTTCAAATACTTTTTTAGTTGCCACGCGGAATTGAGTTCAGAGTCGCAAAACACGGCTGCAGAGGAACATTTTTCTTTGCCCCAGGCAATTCATCTCTCTGCATATTACGTTCTTGTACTTATGTTCATATTAGGCCCCGCAATAAACCTAATAAACGCGCGACGCCAACCATAATCATTTCAGTTGCAGATGCTCTGGTTGGGTCGTATGAGTTGAGCACCATTCTAACGAGCGTGATTTCATGATCTCTCCATCTCTCTCATATAAATAATCGCCGCCAGTCGCCTCTCTCTCATTATCCAATAATATTATTAACCATATCTGCAGGCATCCTTTCATAATGGCAAAATTCCTTGTGTGGTGCGATTGTATTTTTATATAAATTTTATATATTTGTTTTTCACTTATTTCTTATTGTGAAATTATAAATTCAGTTGTTGTTGATTAAAAAAAGTAAAATAAATATTTATTCCTAAATGTTATTTAAAACTAATTGAACGTTTTTAAATTCCGAAAGTATTATTATTAGTTTACAATGTAAAAATCATTTCCTTAAAATCAGCAACAAAAAGCAATATACAAAAAATTCTATTTTGCAATTGCCCTCTTCAAATTCTATTCTTCTTAAATCTCCTGTGTTCTCATCCATTTGTTTTATTTTAAACGACTGTCAATTATATTCGCCTCGGAGTGAATAGAGTTAATGATATCCGTGTTTGGCCAGGTCATGCACCTTTGAAAACCTTTTATCCATCAACACTCTTCAGCCATCATTAAGAATATTTTCCCTGAAACAATCACGAGAGCTTAAGTGCTTCGGCTGGTTCATTTGCATGTTTTTAACTCTTTTGTTAACGTCAAAATAATCTGAACATACAAGTAACAACAGTTAATTGCCCATTCTGAAAAATTACTCATTTTAAAGTACAGAAAAACGTAATTACATAAGCAAATTATATAAGAATCGCTGAAAATATTTTTAATAATAAACTGTACGCAATCTCCTTTTTTTTTTTTTTTTTTTTAGTTTATGATCCTAAAATTATTCTCAACTCATTTTTCATAGAAATTGTTTGGACATTTTGAACTATGCGTGAGAATCTAACAAAAATTTTCTACACGTTTTGAAATAATCAATATTAAAATATCTTTTTCTTGGTTATTAAATAATTTTGCTGCATTATGTTTGTTAAAACAGAACTGATTCATGCCATTTTCTTCTACTTTAACGGTTTTAAAAGATTAGTTAATTTACGTAATTATTGTCGGTAAAATTTTAGTTTCACGAAGAAATTTTCCCTTGCTATTTTCATCTGTAACTCGCTTTTATTTTCATAAAAACACATGTAAATTAAACTTCTTTTTTAGGAATAATTAAAAATTTGAAAATTTTTATTTTTCAGCACTGTTTGTGTTGTACCCGTACCTGACAATCCACATGAGAGAACTAGGCGTGAGTGTCGAAGAAACGGCTGTGATGAATGCGGTTACGCCGGTAATCGCGATTATTATGCCACCCCTGGCAGGAATGGTGGCTGATAGGATTGGAAACTTCAGAGTAAGTTTTCTCTTTTCAAAATCTTTCTTATTTTTTTTTATCAGCAAATCAATCATGTTGCGTTTATTTTTATTTAGTTTTAAACCCGAAAATAAGTTTCAATTTCGAATAATAATTGAACCTTGTAACCAATGTGAGTGCAAAAATATTTTGCAGACGGTCAGTGATAATCTAATTAGCTAAGCAGCATTTCCATTTAACAAACGTAATAGAAGAACTAAATATTTGCTGCTAATTTTCGTAGCAATTTTTTTCCGCGTTGACAGAACAGGATTTAGCGAAATGCATTTGCGGACAGTTGCAAATTACGATTGTTTGTTTGTTCACAATATTTTTGCTGTCATGCACCGCGGCGTGCCAAGGGCACGTTTCGTGTGCAACTAGGCTGCATCGTCATTTTCTGGTTGCAAGCGGCTCGTAATTGCAAACCGTGACATTGCCGGCGTTTAATTGACAATGCCGACGAAATAAAATTCGCTTTCCGCTTTCAATTTAAAATCAGGTGCACTTGCATTAAACCACCTGATTAACTAGAAAAGTTACGTGAAATTCACATAATTTTTGTGAGACCGGCCTAATACGAACTTCCTCTTTTGTTCCTTTTTGTTTTTTGTAAGAAGGTTGAAAAAAAAACTAATGATATTTACGCCAAATTTTGCGCAGGTCTTGAAGGATTTATGGCTTTTCATAACAATTGGCTATTAAATCGTTAAAAAATTTAACAACTATTTACAACAAAAATAATTTAGCTATATAATTATATTTTATCATATTTTATATTTATTTTATAGATTTACATTTTTTGATAACTTTACTAAATTTGTTATCAAATTATAATCTTTCATTTATAGTAATATATTTTTTGCAATTCATTAAGTTTAATTAAGTTACCTTGTTAAACCTATTGTACTTTTTAATGCTACTATTTTTTTTTTAAATTATAATATACATTTTATAGTTTTCCAGTTGATTGGAAATTAATCAGTGTTAATATACTCTAAAAATTGGTCACAATGGTAACGTACTTATGTTGTACAATTCTTTTTCAGGAAATATTTATTGTATAAAATATAACTTAATAAAAAAAACCTCCCCTCTATTTTTTTGAGCCATAAAAAGATCCGCTCTTAAGGGTGTGCCAGAGACTAGAATTGTGCATAAGTTAAACAACCAATAATATATTATTTTAAATTTAATTCAAAGGCAACGAAACTTTTGAGAAAAATTTACAATTTGCCACACTTAACTGGCTAGGACAGCTGTTTCGACCAATCCAGGTCTCATCAGCTAGCATGAATGTTTCCCAAGCAAGCTTAACAGGTTCATTGCCTTTTAATTAAAAATTTATAGTTTAGATAATATGTCATTGGTTGTTACTTATGGACATTTCAACCATCTCAAGTCTCTAGCACTTCCTTAAGCGCTGACCTTTTTATAGCTCATTGTATTGTGAAAAGTAAAAAAGGAAAAAAAATGATTGTAGTCACCACTTTAATTTTAAATATAGTAATTTTTATGTACGCCTTTATAATAATGAAAACCATTATTTTTTGTTACCTCTTCTCACAGATAATGCTCTCCTTTTTCTCAACAATCGGCGGCATTGCCTCTCTGCTGCTGCTCATGGTCCCCGTGGGCAGATTCTCGATGCCCTACCCTTCGAGGATTCCCCTCGGCCTGGGCTGCGGCGAAATCAACCTCAGCTCCGTCTCCCCTTTGCAAGTCACCCTTCTGAAGGACCCGCCCTGCAACCTTATTAACATTACGACCCCGATCAGTCTCAATCTCGAGTCTTGCGGTTTGGTTTGCCAAGCGCCTTCGACACTTGACCTCAACCTGGTCACTTCGGTGCCCGTCTACAGGGTGGACGTCAACTACGACGGCCAGACCGAAGACTTCTGGTATGCACCGTCGGTGGTGCTCAACAAGGTCAACAACCTTCCTGTTGAAGGTGACCCTAGATTTGCTAGTGTAAGTTTATTTTAAGTTTATTTTACTATAATCCAAATGCAATTAAATTAAACAAAACAAATATAATTTACAGAAAATTATCTTATTAAATTGAAATTAAATATTCAAGCAGTAAAATTTAGAATATTTTTTTGGCAAAAAATTAAAAATGCGGTGAATTAAAATAGCTATATTGTTTTGATCAAATTCAGGTTGAAAAACCTCAGTATTACAACGACGCGATAAGGGTGATCGCCTCCGACCACGTGTTCTTCCCCACCTCAACAATTTACAACATAACGTGTCTGGGCGACATGTGCTATTTCATGGATGGCGACTTGAGTTTCCGAAACGCGACCAGATCCTCCACTGACTCATTTTTTGCCAAGAGGTACTTTTTCAAACGCACCAATTTGTCAGAAAACGAAGCTGTTGCTTCAATCTTCACCGACGACCCTGCCAACCACCGCCGAGCAAAAAGACACCCTAAAAATGAGACAAACATCGACGATCCTTTAACAAGGTTAAAAAATGAATTATTTTTAAATTATTATTTTCATACGTTTTATTCTTTTACTTAAAAATTTCTTTAATTATATGTTAATTTATTTAATTAATAATTTTCTTAACTGTTTTTCTTCTTGTTTCATTTGAATATACACTCTTTTTTAATAATTTGAATATATTGAATATGTAGCTCATAATATTTTTTTCGTCTAGATCTCATTTGGCACTGTTTGAGCTTCTCTCGAAAAACTCGTCATCTTTGAAGTGCGAGGACCCTTTGGCCCTTCGCGACCTGGTGGTGGCAATGCCCACCATCGGCGTCAACCTGCGGTCCTGCCGTCCCCTCTGCCTGGCGTCCGCCCCGCGCAAGCAAATCTGCTCCGATCTGAAGCGAGAAAAAGTTTACGACCCTTCGCTCACCTTCTGGTTCTACCTGGGCGTCCGAGTTTTGATCGGAATCATCAGCGGGACGGCGTTCGCCATGTTCGAAGGTGCGGTGATCGCCACCCTGAGAGAGTACAAGGCCGATTACGGCATGCAGAGAATCTACGCAACCATCGGCGGCATGATCAGCTCGCCCCTGACTGGTCTGCTCATTGATTACGTCTCAAGAGGCAAAGAATACACTGATTTCAGGTAAAAATCATACAGAAAAAAATATCGTTTAATTGGCAGTTCAAAAATTTGCTGCGAAAAATTTTCTTGATGAACTTTAATTATAAATAGAATTCAAAAAATTTCATCTTTTAAATAAACTTCCACTTTAAGGCTCTTGTCAAACGACCCATAGAATAAATTAAATACCCATTTTTTTTTAAACATTGTAAATTATTTTCACTTTTTTTTTAAATAGTCTTCTTGCAAAAGAAAATTTTCTTAACTCCCATACATAATTTAAATATATTTTCTAATTATGACTTTAATCTCAAACATTTTTTTTTCATTGCAGTCTCATATTATTTTACTTTTTGTTGAATATTTTTAGACCTGCATTTTATCTTTACGCCGTTTTGAAAGTGATTGGTGGGATTTTGATGCTGACCATACGTCTGGACTTCAAAGCTCCTGCACCTGGCGTCGTGCAAGATGTTTTCAAAGTTCTGAGAAATATTGAGCTCTTTGCTTTACTTCTAGCGTGCTTTTTACTAGGTTTGTGTAATTTTAAATTAGAAAATTAAGTTTTATAATTATTATTATATTTTAATCAGGAACTGTTTGGGGTTTCCTCGAGAGTTTCCTCTTTTGGCTCCTCCAGGATCTCGGCGCCTCCAGAACTTTGATGGGTCTGACGATCACGGTAGGCGGATTGGCAGGGTTGCCTTTGCTGGCCCTGTCAGGTCCCATCATCGAAAGGGTTGGCCACGCCAACATAATCTGCATTGGCTTCCTGTTCTACACAGTCAGATTAATCGGTACTAAAGAATCGAAAATTTCAAAACTTAAATTAAACCTAATTTTGTGATTTTCTCAGGGTACTCTCTGCTATATCAGCCGTGGATTTGTCTGCTCTTCGAAGCCATGGAAGGGGTCACGTCGTCACTGACCTTCACGGCCGTGGTCACTTACACAGCCAGACTGTCAAATTCTTCGACAGACTCAAGCATTCAGGGTCTTATTGGAGGAATTTACTATGGAGTCGGTGAGTTAAAAATTCATTGTTATTTTAGTTTTATTTCATTTTGCAAAGAAATGAAATTAGAGGACAAATCGAGAAAACAGAGAGCGAAAAATCCTTGACAATACCAATAACCTTGCTACCGTTTGCATGTGATGCTAGTTATTCTAGCCCGCATTGCACGAAAGTCCTACCAGTTGCATAAGCAACAGTTTCCTCATGTTGTAGAGCACATTACCTTTTGAACAAAATTCAACTTTGAGAGATTTCAATTAAAGGTTTACAATTTTAGATATTTATTTAACTGAATTTTTTATTTCAACTCTTCATTGCAGGGTTTGAATTCAGGGTTTGATACATATTTTCCTATTTCCTATTTTATTTTTCTTTTTTTATGTATATATATCACTTTTCTATTTGAAAATTATCAATTAAACGTTATTCAACTTATTCATTATTATTAGAAAGTATGGAAAATTTACTTCATGCAATTAAATGAGATAAAATCTTCTGAATTGATGCGTAGAATTACTTAATATTTTTAATACACTTGCCGTTCAAAACAAATATAAATATCCAGTGACAGCATCAATGTTGCACCTTCCTAGAGAGCAGTTTCAAGTGTATTATTTTTTAGTTTTTAAATACTTATTTTTTCCACTTAAACTGGTTAATTGAGAAATCCAACCTAGAAAAAAACAGATACAAAAAAAGCTTAAAAACTTTGCTAAAATAATCCGACTAGAATTTTGATGTGATGCATTTTTTCTATCACCAGGCAAAGGTGCTGGCAGCTTGATTGGCGGCTTCATGATCAAAGCAGTTGGCACGCGGCCGACGTACCAAATTTTCGCGGCGGCGTGTGCTGGATTCGCGGGCGTCTACTACCTTTTCCACAATTACTTCACTCTGCGGAGGCCAAAGCGCCGAATGAACGACATCATGAAGCCGAGCGATCCTGAAATCCAACTGGACAAGGTCAAGGAGACCGAAATCAATGGTGCGCCGCCGGTCATCGAGGACAAGAAACAGGCCCTCGAGCAGCAGAACGAATTCGACAACCAGGCGTACGAGAACGAGGACGTCGAGCGCAAGAACAAAGAAAACGAAGCCAGAATCGATTGAAAGCTTCAAAGTGAGAAATAATAAATAAATTGACTCTTTTCAACTCGAGAGTGTGACAGAAGAAGTTATATTTTTAAGTGATTAATTTAAATGTGAGCTATTTTCATCCATTTTATCTTTTGTATTTTGTATCAATTAATGGCTGGACCAGTTATAAATAAATAAATTTAATGAGATTGGAATAATTTGCAATTCTAAGTCGCATTTAAGCAAAATTACAATCTTCAGCTGTGAAAAACGTGAAATTTTTAAATAAAATCAAGTAACAAGGAAGTTTAATAAAAATGTATTTATTTTTTTGTTCATTTGTCAGTCAAATCCTAATGTCAGGCGTGCTTAAATTTATACAGATGAGGGCGATCCGAATTTATCGTAATTTTGATTAATTTTTGTCAAACACAAACTGCTGATTACAATGACATTGAAATTATAATGTTTTTTTTTTAAATCAATAAAATATTTTTTTTTTCAATTTTTTTTAAACGTTTATTAAAATATTATTTATTTTAAAATTATATTTTACTGTAATTTTTTTTGATATGCAAAACAAAAGTTTCAACGGAGAATAAAACTGTAATTGCTTTATTCATGTTTTTTTTTATTAATTTTATGTATACTTGTACTTCCACCGTAACGAATTGAAATACACTCCATGTAGAAAAGCCACCATTCTGGTCTTTCACGGCTTGCATTCTACCTGAAAGATAACTTGCTACTCATTGCATTATGGGAGGAGAGAAATTAATCTTAATCTGAGACATTTTTCTTTAAAAATGTCGTGATCAACCAACCGTATCAAACGCCTTGGAGAAGTAAAAAAATACCATTAAAACATTTTTTTTCTGAAAAAGAGCAACACAAATATCTTTAATGACATTTTAAGCAGCGTGGAGGTCGTAGGTCGTGCTACACAGCCTTTTATATGCAGATTGAATCTTTGTCTAAAATGGGACCATACGACTGATTGACCGCGAATTAGCCTTATTTTTTGTTCAAAATGAATTATTGAAGTCGACAAGGAACGGCCCAAAATTTAGCAGTTCAAGCAAAAACAACTCAACATTGTCTTACTCGCGACGAAAATCGCGATGAATGAAAAAACTATAACTGATTTCTTGTAACTTTAATTTACTTCTAGACCCTGAATTTTGACAAAAGACCTCCACGTGTTTTCGCGTGTAAAAATAATAATGACAAGGTTTTTATGACCACAAATAATATTTATTATCTCTGTTGGAAAAAAAATCTTGTACTCGCGCGTGTAGGAAACGCCGAGTACATAAATTATTGCAAAACTCAAAGGCAGCAGCAGATGTTATTTGTTACTTGTTTATTTCCTCGCAAAATATGATCATATTTCTTTAGCTATAAATTACAGAAAGAATGAATGGCCAGAATGGAATAAGTGCATATGAATGGGACATTACAACACGGCCATAATTCATAAGAGATGCATAAGTGAAAAATGCGAATTTTTAGTTGCAAGTGATGAACCACTTGTACTCGGTGCCGGAGTTGGGTCTGCTGCCCAACTGGACGAACCTTTTCTTCAGGTCGCCCTTGGGTGCGAACAGGTAGCCGCCGGTGCGCGCGTGTTTGATGGTGACGATCGCGTTGGTCTTCGGAGGGCTGATTTCCCACAGGTTCCGCAAGTCCTTCGTGTTTTGGTAGGAGGCCCTGGTGGCCAGGAGACCGACCTGGCCAGTGGCGAAGTTGGTGCCGTGGCTCAGGTACTTCTGGTCCATGCGATTGTTGAACTCGAAGAAGGTCCTGCCGTTGACAACCCACCTGAAACAAAATTAATTCCTAATTTAGCTGAAAGAATTATATTTCATTTTCATTGAATGGTTTTTGTTTTAATAATTATATTAAAATCACTAATTAAATTGAAATGAAAAATCGTAAAAAGAAAAAAAAATAGTTCATTGTGAGTTTCTTTTATTAGCAATTAATGCTTGAAAAAAATTGAATTATTCTCTTCAAGAAATATTCCTTAAAAGACCTTATTTTATTAAGCTAAGAAAAATTAAAAAAAAAACATAATCTGAATAATTTATAATTGACAATTATTCGAAGAATAAAGTGAAATAAATATTTTCGAGTTCTAATGAAATTATATAGAAATTTATTAAACACAAAATGTGCACAACTTTTCAACGTACAATTAATTAAATTAATTAAAATATTCATTGATGGAAGAAATCAACGAATTTCAATCAATTATGTTATGAGACAAAAGTTTAATTTTTATGATCAGATTAATTCATGAAATTTTACTGTGAATAAATATTTGAAAACATCAAAACACGATTTTCTGATAAAATTTACTTACTTATCAATTTTCCACTGTCCGGACTCGTCGATTTCCTTGATGCCGCCCTTCTTCAAAGACGTGGCCGCCCTGCTTTGTCCGGGAGTGAATTCGAGGTAGTCGTTGGGATGCGCCAGGACGTTTCTGATGTAGCAGTTGTTGCCGAGTGTAGACTTGAAGGCACGGGGCGTCTGTCCTGACGCGGACAGGACGAGCAAAAGAACGCACGCGGAATAGACGAACAGCTGCATGTTGAAGCCCTAATGGAACGGAAAGAGCAAAATTGTTGTAGAAGACGTAGAAGACATAAAATGCTACATTATGGTATTATTATTACATAAAAAAATTTGTTAAATTTGTCTTTTATATTAAATTCTAAGTGTAAATCTGTATAAATACATTGTTTTATTTTTTTGTTATATTAATTTTAATTTATAAAATATAATTTTGTCATTGTCTTTTTAATAGTTTTGACAAAATAGTATTAGTTTTTATTAATTTTAATAATTAATTGCTAATAAATATAACTTAACATAGTGTCTGAATAAGTAAAATTTACATTTAAAGTAATTAAATTGATTGCAATGCAGCATGGTTGTGGGAGTCTAAATTTCAATGATAAGCGTCCCAAAATAAAAAAAAACTACTTTAGAAACAACTAAAAATTAAATAAAAAGTGTGTAAGCAGATCATACAGATGAAATAAATACACTATTATGATAGTTCACAAAGAAGATTTTGGAACCTTTTTTTTAAATTTCACCACAAAGAAAGAAAAATGAAACTGTCCTGATTGGATTAGTATGGAATTTCTGACCTGTTCTGATGAGTTGTCTGATCGGAGGAGCACCTGTGGCAGACTGATCGGTTCTGGAGTCTGCGGGTCCAGTTTTATCCGTTTGGCCCGCAATAAATGTCACGGCCACAACAAAGGAAACTGGTCGCTTTTCTTGCCCAGCATAAATAATTCGGGTGTTTTACGCTCACGTTGAGGCGGAGGGGGAAGGATGAGTGCGGACGAGACTCAAAATTCGCGTGTCCAGCAGAGATTAAAACAATCCAGGAACGCAAAATAAATTTCGCTTCGCGCCTGATGTATTTATTGCAATTATGAAATCGCCGATCTTCCTTCCATCTCCTTTTCTCTCTCACACTCCGCCAGTTTTATTTTTTCACAAAAAAAATCCTGACCTCACCGTAATCTGATTTATGCTGATCTTGACGGTTCTTTTTTAATTGGATATCGTTCGGCTCCTTCGAGAGTTTTTTTTTTAAATATATATTTTCTCTCTCTCAAAAGTTGCTTATTAGAGATGATCATGCAACGTGAGATTGCACTGACCTCAGTGCTTGTATGCAAATTCAGTGTCATAATTTTCGCACCTAACGACCTTTTCAATAAAAATCCCAAGGGAGTGGGAGGGAATTATTTATGAGTTTTGCTCACCACCAACCGCGCCGGATGGGAATTTAATAATTATGGACCGAGCCTAAATATAGATTTCATAGACCAGGTGATTTAATAGACACAAAAGCGGAAATTTATTTTTAGATTATAACGAAGGTGGATTTCAAAGGTCAAATTTTTGCGCAGTTTGCTTATAAAATTACTGAGTTATTTTACATATTTATTTTTATGCCTCAAAATTGGCCAATTAAAGAAGACTGCAATTTACTGATTTCAAAATATCCTGGTAATTGTATGGAATAACAAGGGATTATAAAAGAGGATTATTTTTTCATGAACATACAATATTATTTTGAGGTACTTTTTCGCTTGAGGCCATTATATAAAATAAACGGTTATTGTACAATTGCCACTTATTAACTGCAGCGTAAAAGAAAAAATTGAGAAAAATAATTTTTGAAATCATGTCTTGAGAGTAATTTTGCGCCTTTTAATGTATTTATTAGTTTCCGTTTTTCGTGAAGGCCCCGCAGGTGAGCGGCGCTCGCTTGTTTTCTCTCTCTCTCTCATCCTATAAATTATCGCCCAGCCTTCCTATAATTCATCTGCCGTGGACGAGATTAGTTTCGGAAGAAAAAAATATGCGCGTATAATTACAACTAATTCTTTTCTAATAGCCAAATTATCAAAAAAGAAGGATATACAAAAAAACGTTGACCTTTTTGATGAACTTTTGTAAAAAATCGCGGCGGGAAGTGGAATTTTAGAATAATTGCGTTGATAGAAAAATAAAATATCTAGCGGGCGGAGTCGCAGCGTGGAGGTGACAAATTAATGGCCCTGTTTAGAATTTAGTGCGTTCTACCAGCAATAATTTGCAAAGGGACAAAACATTACTCTTAGACTGGTTACAGCAATTAAGCACGCGTTTCAAAGCAATAAATTTTGGGAGGACCAGTTTGTTCAAGTACAAAGAAGAAAGAAGAGAAATACAAAATTGCCTCTTCTTCCTCTAATAAAAATCCTTAATTTTAAGAACTATAATTCAGCAGAGGAATGTTTTGTTTAGGGAAATAAAATCTGATATTGAGGAGAAAAATAAGAGGCAAATTATTTCTTAATCATGTTTTGTTCTGTTTTAGGGTTTCTCAATTTTCTGTTTTAATTTATTTAGCGAAACCAAAAATATTCAATAAAATTGTTAATTTTTAAACTAATTCTGATATGTGAACCCCATATATCCAATGAGATTAAAATATTTTTATTTTAAGGAAAAATGTATTATAAAAAGTGACCCTGTTTTATTGGAGCACATCCATTTTTTTTTCATATTCCATTTGTCTTCCACCTCATTCATTTATCTTTACCATCGACGACGTAATCCAAACATTTGCTTCCGAAATTGACGCCTTTGATTGTTTTTCCTGTTTCGGCTCTAATGACCACACTCGGTCGAAACAACGCACGTGGTCAAGGCGTCATCATGATCGGAAAAGGCAGCGAGACTTAACGGTCGATTTTGTTTGTCACCCAATTAACAATGCCACTCGTTTGCTCCGCATTTTGCGTCTGTGGCAGTCGATCACGCACCCTGCGGACCAAACGCCGCCATGTCGCGCCGATAAAGAAAGACGTGTGTCGATTTCTTATATTTTCAGATATAAACAGGATGCGGAAGAAGGTTTTGATTTTGACTTTCTGGGCGGTGTTGATCTCGGCCGAGGCGAGGTATTACAACATGGCATACGCAGGGTTTAGAGTGAACGACCCTACGACTGAAGAACCTCCGCAGGGCGATGATCAAAAAGACAGAATGGGTGTTTTGTACAGGTAATATAAGTCAAAAGTCGAAACAAAATTGTTCTCGGGATCTACAAAAAGGATCTGTAAATAGTATTTTTTTTCTACATGATAATTTTATTGTTGTCTAATATATTTAATATGAATATAAATTGTTACTATCAAATATAATGAAGGTTTAATTTTTGAAATAAAAAGTAATTTATTAAATAATATAAATATATTATATTTTTTTAATAGAATTTAATAAAAATGTTTTTAACTACATTTTGAAATATTTACTTTTCTTATTTGATGTATGAAAAAAATGAATTCAATTAAAAGTATATTTAAATATATCTTTAATCAAAAATGTTTCATATCAAGAAAGTAAAATTCATTAAATTAAAACAATCTAGGTTAGAATTACAATTTATTTATAAACTAACTTGAAGAAATATTTGAACTTAATATTTTAATACCTTTTGCAAAACTATGAATTAATATAAAATATTCAAATTATATTGCATAATAAAATTTGAATCACTCAATATTTACAGAGATCCAACGATCTATCAGCCATCCTATTACCACCATAAGGAGGTGCAGCCGATCGAAGAAAGTGCCGAAATCGAGACGTACCCTTTGAGCACCTACTCGCACGCCGAGACGTATCAGGCCCCCGCGCCTCCGATGCCGCCGACCCCGCCGCCTCCGACGGCCGCACCAGCCGCCCCCGAGGAAAAGCGCCAACAGCCCTACAGTTATTACTACATCGGCCGCAAATTGTGGTACGTCCCGTTGTACTTCAGCCTGTACTTCGTCATCTACGTGGCCGCCCTGATCATCAGGGCCATCTCCAGACACAAGGTCACCTTCCCAGACCGCTTGCCCACGCCGTCCAGCAGGTCTCTCGGTGACGACCAAAGCACGGAGAACAGCCTCAACGAGAAGACCGCCGATATTAACCAGATATTGGAAGATATGCTTTTGAAGTACATGTGAAAGATATTGAGATTTTTTTATTTATAAAAATGGTTGTGGGGGAAGATGAAGAGGGTAATTAAATTTTCTGTCGAATGAATGTTTCAAAAAACTGGATATTATATGGTGCCAACTCATTTGAGATTAAATTATTGAAGAAAAAATGTAGACGTGTAAATGAAAATGTTAAATTTTGAGCTCTGGTCATTGTGTATCAGATTTTAAAAATTTATTACGCTGTGATCATCGTTTCAAAATAAAAAGAATAAATAAAGAAAATTTAACTGATTAAACCTCGTTTTATTAAAACTTTTAAAAATGTAAGTACTGAAAAATGAAATAAAAAAATCATAAAAAAATCGATTATATGAGAAATTTGTCAATTAAATGCATGTAGGTATTTTTTTTTTATTTAATTGGAGCAAATTCCTCTAATGAACATTTCGTCACTTTGGAAGTTCAAATTTGTTTTTCTACTTGCCGACTGTTTGCATTAACGAGCACCAATTCATTAAAAGGAGCTGCCGCGCGTGTGAGTGAATGACTTTTGTGTCAACATGAGACGCGTGCCACGAGTGCAGGCGCCGCAGACAAGACGCACAAGGGCCACTCACCCTGAATCGTTTAACATCTTCTCCAATCGGCAAGTGAGAGGAACACGACTTGCACCGCACCAGTCCTGCGACAACCTTTTGCGAACCAACTAGATTACAAATTTAAGGACAATTTTTATTGGCGGAAATGAAGGTGAAGTAATTTTGATCGATTGAAAACGACGGATCAATTTGTGTACAGGTGAGGATGACTTTTTTTTATTTCTACACATTAGTCCATCATAATTATTAAATAGAGTAATGTGAGAGTATAATCGTTAGTGTCTAATATGCAACCAACACAACTCAAAAATTGAATTTTACTATTATTTTCGATGGAGCTGCGATGGAGGATCTTTTCTCTCCTTAATTATTGTTAAAATAAGTAAAAAAAAAATCATATCCAATATTTTAGGATTTTGGCAACTTTAAAGTTTTCAAAATAATTTAATTTGAAGAGCCCAAGAAATACTGCTTCTTAAGGAAGAAAAATAAAACTGGTAAAAATTATTTTTTGTTGTGCGGGTTGCAGATAGGTACATCTCAGGTACAGCTTAGTTATTTTTCATATGAATCCGAAAACGCAAATTGGTTTTTGTTACAAAAACAAAGGGAAATGAGGCAAACCATTTTTAATGTCTTAAATTTCATCCTCTTTGGTTCCAATTAAAGAACGATTAAAAATAATTAGACGGGTCCATTTAAAAAAGAATTTCTACACCCCTAATTAGAAGATTCCGCATTTGTTTTGAGTCTGTTTGCCAAAAGTGCACACATTTTGCCGCTCCAATTAAAAATTAAGCCTCGTGTCTGATGCATGCAATTACCCTCTGTTGGCAGCGATGAAGCCAACTCTCGTGTGCACCGCCTTGCTGCTATTTTTGGCCTCCGCAAAATCGTTGCCAATCGAGAGCGAAAGCTCGACGACCATTGAGAAAAATGCAGAGAACTCGACGGAGACGACCAATGAATTAAATTCCACGACGACAGAAAAAATAATTTCATCTACGACGATTGCCCCTGTAATTGCGACAACCGTGGCGAGCAATTCCACGGCCGTCGCCACAACTCAGAGACCTGCACCGAGCTATTACAATTCAGTCACCAATTTGATTAACAACGTGGGTTACGCGTTTCGAATCGTCATGAAGTTGATGGCACCCCTTTTCAATGGTGGAGGTCAGCAGAAAAGGGTTCAGCCTGAAGATGAAGCCGAATACGCGGATTTTGACGATCACAATAACGAGAACGAGGGATATTCGGAAAAGGTCCTGAAAGACACCTTCATGCGGACTGTTCGGCAGGTTGCAGAAACAGGCCGGCAAGGTGAGAATTTTGAGGTATTGCATTACAAAATTAAACTTCACTGTGCATATTAGTATTTTATTTAAAATTTTTATCGTTGTTCACTTCATTTGTAGTTTTTACCTCAAATTTTTATTTTGGTGATATATCCGTTCAGTTTTAAAATATGTAAAAAATCTTGCTCTTTCAAAACTTCTATTGCTTCTAAAGGAAGTTTATTTTGCAATTAATGTCACTGAATTCAAGGCGATCGCAGTTTTTAAGTAAAATCTATTGCATTTAAATGTAATATAATTTTTATTATTAGACTTTATTAATTATATAATAAATATTATTAAGAATTTATTAATTTTTTATAATTTAAAATCGATATTTTAAAATAATTAAAATGTTTTTTCATTGTTATAAATGTTATAATATTTAATATTTTAAAATAATATGTATTTAATTTTTAATTGTTTACTATTACAAATTAAAATGATATTTTTTACTTATAAAACAAATAAAAACCTAAAAAAAGGAGCAGAAACGGCATTAAAAAAAAAACATAATATATACTAAAACGCCCAACCAAATAAATATTTTTTTTCAAATTTGCTAAGTAAACGCATATTTAATGTTGAAGGTCTCTCCAATTACTACGACTTCATTGTAAATGAGTACTCGTACAAATTCTGGGCGGTTTACATGCTTTTGGCGTCTGGACTGCTCATTTACTCGGCCATCGCAGCAATTTACTATGCGAAATTCAACACTTCAGCCGTCGACTACGAGGTTTACGACGAGGCCAGATCTGGAGACGCCACCCTTACTAAACCAGGCACCAACCCTCTCGGACTCATCGGCTCCCTTGTGTCAGTGCGCACTTTCCAGCAAATTATGGATGCTATCTCGAACAACAAATTTGAAGAAAGATAGCCTGCTTTAATTCAATATGAAATCTTACAACTTAATGCACAAACAAATTTAAATTTTGGTTATGGATTCGTGTTTTTTTTTTTTATAAAAACTGGGGTGTTTTGTGCATTTTAAGTTATTTGATTTCATACAAATTGTTAATTTTTTATTCTTGAAACTTCGCCAAGCTTGTAATAATATAATTTATCTGTATATTTGTGACTTTTGCTATATCTATAAATCTTCTAGAATTGTATTAATTCTAGTCCATTTCTTAACAATTACTTCATGAAAGAGATAAGTTCTGAATAATAAGTGTTGAGATAAATACTCTGGATATATTTTTTCAATTGCATACGCATAGGGAAAAACAAGGGGGTTAAATTTTACTGGTGTTAAATTCAATTAAATTAGTAAATCTGTTTTCGTTTCTGTATATTCTTTATTTGAAAAAAATGTTCAAATGATTCAAAGTACCCCTGCAGTTATGATTTCATTTTTTAATTTCGAGATAACTCATTTCATGACTGAAATCGATATCGCGATCAAAAAATTCGCACCTAAAACGCTTTTGGCCGTAGAGGTCAACCCTAAAGAGTGCAAATTTTTCAATCGTTAATTTCAATTTAAATAATGAAACTTTTGAGTTATTTCAGACTCACAAATAAAAATCATTACTGAGATTACTTTAAAAAAAGGGAAAAATTTAGCAAATAATTTCCCATTTGGATTCGCTTCCGCTGCTGAGGCGGCTGGAAAGGATGACGTGCCTCTGGGCAAAGTTCCCTTTGGGCACGGTCAGGTACGAACCAGTGACCGCGTGTTTGATGGTGACGGGCACGTTTAGCTGGGCAGGCTCCACGATCCAAAGAGTGTCCCACTTGTTGGAGGAGGCGAAGTTCTGCTTGGCGCCGGTGGCCATCCACATTTCCGAGTAGTAATAATTGGTCAGGTACGTTTCAAACTGCCGGTTGTAGATTTCGAAATAGTTGTAACTGTCCACGGTGAGTTGGTCAATGCGCCACTTGGCGTTCAAGGGACTTCCGTTCAGCGGCGCCGAGGCCACCAGACCTGCCTGGTCCTTGGGCAGCTGCGTCAGGTACTCGTCGGGAAGGGCCTTGCTGCGGATTTTGCAGCTGGTGCCGAGAACGACCGAGTCAGACAAACGCTTTTCCAGAGCCTCGATCACGTTGGAAAACTGGACGATGGCCAGGACGAAGAAAATGCGAGCCAACATTTTTCTATATAATAAATTTAAAAAAAAAATCATTATTTTGAACAATTTTTAACTTATTTAAAAAATGACATCATGATATGCTTTGATTTTTATTATAATAAAGAACAAAAATTAAATGATTTTCTTCTTAATTTTGTGCTGACGTGGTCAAAAGCTATTTAGAGGTAATGATTTGGCTATTTTAATTTGAGTTGCAACATATAAAATACATTTTTTTTCTCGCCATTTAACCATTCTTGAAAAATCTGTTACAAAACATTAAAATAATCACCAATACAAATTGATTAGGAAAAATAGTATATTTAAAAAATTGAAATACAAAAAATAATTTCTTAAATTTTATAAATTTCTACAGGTTTAATTCCTTTGAAATTTATTTCTGTCTAAAGAAACTTCAAGTAAAGTTATTTAAAAAAGCTTTTACGTGTTAAACCTTAGAATACTTTACCTTTTTTGCTGTAAATTTAACAAAATTGACGTGAGTTCCCTCGAAATGCGTTTGCCGACTGCGACCGAGCCCTTTACTTTTGAAGGGAAATGCTTGTAGATATGAGAGGCGGCTGCGCTATCTGCGTTGAAATGTGGCCAGAGTCCAAGTGCACGCGCGTTGTTGAGAAACGCTTTATAATTTTCCACAGCGTTTTCGCTGTTTATCGCTAATATGACCCCGTCCTTGCGTGATCTTTAATTGGGACGCTTCATCAGTAGTGAAATGAAAACAAAATATTTTTTTGCGTCCACAACTGTTGGATCCATCCATGAAAAATAATAATAATAATATCAAATCGCGCGAGAGCGCTTTTACCAAAAAAAGAGAAAATGAGAGAAGAAAGAGTTAACAACTGCGTCAGAAGCCTGATAAAACGTCCATCATTTAAAAATACAGCCGCCGCAATTAATAGAATAATAAATTATACAATTAATTCCATACAAAACAAAAAATTAATTACAAATTTAAAAGTAAATGTTAATATTTGTGTTTTTGCATCGTAAAATTATTAAATTTATAAGCCAACCATTACTTAATATAAAAAAATTTATTATTCCATTATTATTTTATTACTATTATTTCTATTATTATTATTATTTTTTACATTTTCATACATGGCAATAATAACAAATTTTTTCACTATTTCAATTTTCTTAATAATTTGAGTCAAACGTAAATAGAAGATAAATTAATTAGGCAAATTAGGATTTGTATGTTCCATTCAAACTCTCAATTTAATTTAAATTGCAAATTTTATTCATAAATAATTTCAAGCGCAATAATAATCCAAATTGTCGAGAGCGCAGAAGAAATTACAAAAAGTCTCAAACACGCAATTTTGAAGTGTCACATTGTTGTACTGACAAAAATTCAGTCTTGCCATCAAAGGTCCGAAACGAATTCACAATCACACAATGCTTTTTTCGATTTATCATTTTTCTTTTCAAAATAAAAATTTACAATCTAATCCTATTTTAAACACAGTGAGCACCAATAAACAGGCCATTTTTGGTAGTTCACATTGGACGGAGAAAGACAACGGGCGTGAGCAGCGGTGGTCCATAATTTACAATCTAGATCCGACTTTTAAAAGAGAGCGTGACTTCTTATATCAAAATTTATTCCATCTTGACCGGGGTGGGTTTCGGGATGATCGACTCGTATTTTGCGTAGGCGGCGTTCAGGGCCTTAAGGATGGGTCCAAAGTACTCAATTGAACTGAAATTGGAAATAAATATGAAATTTATAAATATGTATAAAAATAAATATAAAAGATCAAATTTAAAAAAATAAATGTTGTTAATGAAGAAATTATTAAAAAAGAAAAATAACATTTTTTTATATAAAAAATTAATAAAGTTTTGTAGAAAAAATAAGACCCATTTAAAACTAAATTCCCCTAAAATTTAAAACAGACCCATATCAGGGCTACCTTAGCTGGTTAATTTAATATTCCTGATAATCATTTTTTTTTTTTTAATATCTTATTATTTTCTTTTAAATTTCTCTATAATAAGATAGCATTTCATTGTTGCGACTGACAAAAAAATCAATTATAAAATCAATTCTAAATTATTTTCTTAAATTTAAATTTGGACTTACCGCTTCTGGTACGTTGGAGATGCGGCGGCAGGCTGGGTGTTGTAGGCGGCCGTGGAGGGCTGGTACGTGTGGTAGGCGTCGTAGGCCTGGGCCATTCCGCTGGCCAGGGCGCTGCCGGCCATGTAGCTGTTGGCCGCGGGGTCGTTGCCGCAGGTGCCCAGCAGGTAGCATAACTGATTAGACCATGTATCAGTAATTTTCTGGCCAAATCGTGTCACAATTTTAATATTCTTGCAACGTGTCGGTCATAACGGGTTGCCTACCTTGAAGCCGAACAGGGGCAGCACGACGGTGAGGATGGAGGCGAGGCCGACGAAGGCGAGCACGATGGCGCCGCCTGAGACGAGGAAGTTCATCAGCGAGGACGTGTTGAACGAAACGTCGCCCACGCCCGGCAGGGTCAGCACGCTCGAGGTGTTGGACGCGCGCTCGGCGCCGACGTTCTCCACCTCGGCCACTTCGCTCAAGTCCATCTCCTCGGTCGGCGCCGCAATGGCCAGGGCAGCCACCGCCATCAACACGAACAAGGTTCTCAACATCTGTTTTCACAATTAAGAAAATTAGAATAAACATTTCAAAAACATTAATAAAAATAAATTGGAAATTTTAAAATTGAATTAAATTAACTCCAGACAAAAAAACAGAATTTTTTATTTTGCATGAACAGAAGATACAAATTGAAAAAAGTTTTTTTAATCTAAATAATTTAAAAAAATTTACACAGTCAATCCACTTTACCAAAAAGTTTTTACTCATTATAAATTGAAATATATCATATAAAGTAACAAAGTTATGTTGAGTTAAAAAGCATAAAAAACATTTCAATAATTTTATAGAATGAACAATACAAGAGGTAATAAAATAAATATTTACGCACCGTGGAGGAAGTGGTGGTGTGTTTGTGGCTGCAGAAGGTGAACTGCCGTGCCACTGTGAGCCAGCAGCCCCTTTTTATGTCAAGATCATCCCCCGGCAACAGGTCGTACGGCGCCGCGAATGTATTGGAATGCGCCTTTCAGAGATAACAATTACCCCTGGGAGCGCTTTGTGCTGTTGCATCCCTCGAAATCTCCGCTGCAGTGTGGCAAGGCGGAATTACGAAAAGTCACTGACCTGCTTAATGTGTGCAGAGGTATAAGGAGGGAATGAAAGAAAAATAGGGGGTGCAAGTGCTATAGAGACAGGGATAGGTTGGGTGAAATATATAAATGCAAGTTTCGTGTTGCTATAGATAAGAAAAAGTCTCTTTATTGCTTCTGACAATTTTCCTTGAATTACTAAAAATAAAATGTGACAAAATGAAATTGTGAAATAAATAAATAAGAATGAACACTAGTGTTTCAAGAGACAAAAATAATTAATATTTGATATAGCATAAAGAACAAATTTTCATCATTTATAGAAATTGCCAAGTTCCTTCCTTGGTCGCTCATCTAGTGTTAAACGGGTTGAGTTCGCAGGATTATTTTTATCACTTTCAGAGTTCTTAACCCTGATTGAAGAGCATCCAATTTGCTCGCAATCATTCGTCTCTCCAGATTCGTAAGACCTCAGCGTTGAACTAAAGTAACATCAAATATTAGTTTGAAATTTAATACTTAATTAAAATTTAATTTACCCAAAAACTTTGATCATTTTCGCCAGAGGTGGACTTTCCTTGGCAATTTGTCGCGCCTCGCAAGCCAAACGAGCTCTGCACGCGGTCTCATCGCCGCTTTCAGTGATCGCCTTGTAGCCAAAGTTAGCCAGTTCAATTCTAGAAGTCGAGTGCAAAAATTGGTGTAAGTTTTCCTAAATTATTATATTATATTGTCAATAATTATTATTCAACTCTCATTACGAGGGCATGGATAGAGGAAATATATTTAATCCAATTTATTTTGATTTTTCGCATGAATTGTCTTATTGATTGGGGCGAGAATTCATAGAAATTTATCTTATGCAAACGATACTATTTGCACATAAATAGGTACATCATAAACATGACGAAATAATAATTTGTAATTTCAAATCATAAAAATATAACATTTAAAATGTTAAATTGCAATCTTTATCATATAAAAATTAAAAAAAAAAACACTGTAAGATTTGGAAAAAAAGAAATAAATAAAACAAAATATTTAAATATCTTAAAATAAATATAAAGACAAATTTAATTAACCAACCATAATTTAACATTATTAAATTAATTAAATTAATAGGTACCCTCTCATAACTCTTGACGTGAGAGATTCAACTTCAATTCCATTGTCGGACCGTTCTTCGAGAGTCTTTCCAGGACCTCCCGGTCCGGGATATTCCTCCACCCAGGGCTCACCTGCACTTGAGTACGAAGTCGAACAACCCCAGTATCCAGGGCCCCAAAATTTGGCACTATAAGCCATTGCCGCTGCGACTGCAATCACCACTAGCACGATTTTCGCCTTGATTGCAAGCAACCAGCCCAGCGCATTTCCAATTCCAAGTATTCCAACTATATTTCATGAGAATGAAAAAAATCTAAATTCCACATTTTATACTGTATAGTGTATTTTGATTTAAAGAAAGGAAAAATATAAATAGTAGAAATTATAAAAAGCGAAAATTGGAAAATCTTACATGGACGCCTTCGTGGAATTTCCAGGGACCTATGTTCCATTGGGGCTGTTGAGGCGTATGCTGCGTGTGTGACTTCGAAAACACAAATCACAAGCACTATAAGTAATTTTGGCGAAATTTTGAACATTTTGTCAGTCTTTAAGATATATGTAAATAGAAAACTGGCAGTAGTGCTTTATCTTCTCGCAACCTTCACGAAATGCAAATGAAAAAAATGAGCACCCTGGGTGCATTATATATGTGCGTGGGTGCGTCGAAGATGCGAAAAGCCCCTTCCATTGCAGACACAAATTGCCTACTAGCCTACATTGCTCTGTTTGTTTGACGAGCCATGGAGTGATCCAGATAAGTAGCCAAAGCGGCGCTCATAAAATCATTTAGATTTGAGAAAAAATATTAGTTCAAAACAGATAAAATTTTAACAGATATTTTTACTAAGTAAGTTTGAACATGTATGAATTAAAAATTGCAATTCACTTTTCAGAAGCTATTTTTATAATTTTGTGGTATTTTAATGAACTTCACTTTTGACGACTGCAAAAAGTCCACTTTATCAACATTAATGTTAGCATTATTTTTTAATTTGAAGATATATGAAAAACGTAAGAAGATGTGAAATTATTTGCGATGAGAATAATAAATTGTATCACTTTCTATAATTTTCCACTTCAACGCTTTGATGAGCAGTCTCCGAGTAAAAATAACTCAACCACTTAATGTCTGCATTATATGCATAAAGAGAAAATACACACTTTGATATGCTCATTAACTGAGGAAACGACAAAACAGTTTTACTTTTTAGTCCATATTCAGCTTGCATAGAAATCGAAATTAAACGAATAGGCTTTCATAAAATGATCCAACTTTTTCTTATCACCAAAGTGTCGCAGAGGGCAAAAGAAGCTGAAAATGGGTAGAGATCCCGTTACATATTTGCGGATGTGAGGAACATCATGTGTGGACTTCTTGTATGCTTTGGAAGATGAAATTATCACCAGGGCGCTAAGGAATGGTTGACTTTGATTTATGCCAAGGTGTGTGATTTACTAATTCAAACCCAGAGGCAGCGGGATATTACGTCTAGATTTGCTACTTATATTGAATTGTGAAGTAATAACAAAAATATTTTTTATGAGGTAAATACACAATATTTTATTTAGCAAATCACATTTCACCTCAAACTTCTTCCTTTTAATACACAAAGAAAACAGAAACCATCAACAACAAAAGGAAATATTGTAACAAATAATGGTGGCACTTAATCTTTCGTTCCATCTCAAACTATCGTCAATTACTCTATTTACATGCAAAATCAGAAGGTCATTCTCCTCTCATCACTTACAACTGGAAAGTTCAATAATTGAAGACTAGGCTTTGCGCAGCTTGGCTTTCTTTTTGGACACAGGCTCAACCATCAGGTCATCGTCAAGCGGAATGGGTGCAGGATTTGCCGAGGGGGCTCCGGTGGGTGCAGAGGCGATCACTTGTCGAACAAACCCTCCGATCTGAGCAAACACAGGCAGAACGTGGTCTTGGTTGAAGTAGGCCATCGCCAGGACAGCCGCCAGGGTGAAGAAGATGATCGAGCCCTTGGTGCTCTTTTCTTCATCCCGAGAGTCACCTCGGGAAGGGCCAATCAACGGGGCTCCCAACTCAAGTCGAACATATCTAAAATCAAATTCAGATATAAAATTTAATTTGAATTAAAAAGTTATGTAATTAAAAATAAAGTAATTGAAGTTATTCCAAATATTAATAAAAATTAACTCTCAATAAAACCTAATTGAAAATTTAGGCAACTTTTTACATTTTCAAATTAGGTAATAATCAATTAATTTTACCTGAATGAAGAATTAGCTGAGAAATGTGAGGTCAGACTTTCAACTCTCTTCTGTTGATTGCCAATAGGGTCGAGCTGAGAACAAGCAACAAAAATGAGCCCCACAACTCAATTAACCTAAGTGTGTTGGTACCTGAACAAAGTATGCCTTTCCATCATTGGGCAATACTGGCAGAATGAAGTAATGTTGCGGCACAGTGGATGGTTCCAGTTTCTTTTCAAAAATGTGACCGTCGGGCTCAGACTCCCTATACAGGCGGACGCGCAAATTCACTCCAGTGGGACAATTGACCACATGGACGGCCACATCACAGTTTGGTGGAGGCCTCCAGGCGATGATCCTCACGTCGGAAACGTCCGATTGCTCGACTCGGACTTTCAAGCTTGAGGGAGAGATGCGGGAAATGTGCTGATTGGCTTCAACACCCTGCTTCAGTCTCAGCGAGTATTCACACTAATATAAAAAAAAAATTGAATCAAATGTGTAAAATTAATTGGAATTCTTCAAATTTACCTTTGGCAAAAGACCTCTAATTCTGAATTGTCCAGAGACTTCAGAAATTGCTTCTTCCTGTTGGTTTTTGCAGGAATCGCCAATGCCAATTGCTTCCAGAATGACACCAGGCTCCGCTTCTTTGCTCAAGGAAGTCACAGCACCAAAACAACTGAATGCGACCCTCTTTCCACTGCAAGAAAATTAGATAAAAATTAAACTAAAAAAATTTATGGATTCTTTTAATCCTAAAATTGGGATCTATTAGGAAACATTAATTTAATACAAGTTAAAAGCAATGATTAATTTAAAAAGCATTATATCAATTGAAGTCATTACTTTTAACTTTACTTAAATGAATTAAATAGAAAAATAGAATCCAATAAAATTAACAACAAATTTACTTGTTTTCTTCCTCTCTTAAATTGAAAAATTCGCACCTGACTTTGACCTGGACAGTAGCACCCTCGGCAACATTGATGATCTTTGACTGCGGCTCAAACTTGTACTCCTTCAGCTTGGGCCTCAAAAAGTATTCTCCTGGCCACAAGGAGTAAAAGGTAAGAACTCCATCTGCTCCAGCTTGGCTGTTCTTCCTGTAATCGCCTCCTGACAGAGAGAGGAGGACACCAGCAAGGGGCGATCCATCGGATGAGTCGGTCACAGTGACAACCACTTCGGCAAGTTTCCGCGCCTCAAAAACGCCATTCTTGATTTTTGACATTTGATATCCTTCCCGCTCAGCCACAATTTCGTATTCATTTCCTGGACTTGGAGTTGGAAGGGGACCAATTTTGTACTGACCTTTTAATGAGTTTTAATTTTTTTAGTCAATTATTATTAAAATAATATAAAATTACCTAATTTGTCAGTGATCATAACAGCAATTTGCTCTCCGCCCTGAGAAACCTTGACCTCGACTCCTTCCAAAGGTGGGTTGACGCTTCCTTCGACAAAAAATCCCTTTTCTCCTCTGAAAACTACCGCGTCGGCCAAACAGTCCTCTCCAGTGCTGACCACCTTGGACGCCGGAGCAAAAATGAGTTTGTCTGCGCTCGGCTCGATTTTCAGTTCTTCTCTAGGCTTGGCCAGAACCTCAAATCTGTACTCGAAGCCATTTTGCCCTCGAGTTCCTTTCAACGGTCCCAGAGCAACTTTGGTTCCGTCCTCTCGGGCGACGTTGACGATGACATCGTCCTGCTGCTCAGAACTGTAGATGACTCCTCCGAACTTGTGTTTGATAGCTTCGAGGACGACAGGGCCAGTGGCAAGTTCCCAGGAGAACCAGGGCGCTGGGAATTCATGGCAGCTGACAGGGACGATCATGTAAGGGCCGGGACCAGGAACACAAAACTCATTGGAACCGCGGTGCATTTGAAGAGAAGCGATCCTACAAATTTGAAATTTGATTTTAGTAGAGGAAAAGTTATTTAGAACGCTATAATTAATAATATCTTAAATTTCTACTATGAGTTTATGATTATTTGAAGTGCATATAATTTTAAATAATCATTTCAGGAATATATTTTACAAATTTTTTTGTTACACTTTTGTTTATTTAAGTTTACAATCAGTTAAAGTTAAGTTTAAAGTTCTGTATTCTTTATATTTCAATTATTCAGGTAGTTTGGGTACTTAAAACTAAACAATAGTATATAATGGGGGAGATTCAATAGCTCTCCCTGTATAAAAGATATCCTAGAATCAAGAAAGAAAAATTTATCCCAAAAGGGTTGGAGAAAAAAAAAGTTGGAGGTGGGACATCGCCAACAGCGGGATAAATTTTACTTCTTTAGATGTATCCCAGGATATCTTGTAAACCAGGAAAGCAAAGTCTATTGAATCACCAATATAATTTAAAGAAAATAGATATAATAAAATTGAGCTGCAATAAGTTCTTTTGACATTTGATGTAGCCGAAGAACATCACAGTTTGCAAATAACACAAATTCATTGGATTCAAAATAAAATTTCAATTTATAAAGAAAAGCTTCATACAACTATATTAAAAGATTTAGTTTGAAAAACTAAATATAATCAATAAAATTAATAAAATACACTCAAGAAAATAAAAACACGCGGGCTTTGAGAACTCCCAGTGAGGCACGAGTTTTGAATGCACCATACCACAATGGAAGTTCCTACAGCCAACATGCCAAAATAAATAAAATAATCAAACGAAGACAACATCACATCCCTCTTGTTTGTGTACGCCACAGCTACATTTACAAAATTAATAAAACATAATTCACAACAAAAACATCTACAAATAATATTTAATCATCAGAAAACATAAATAACAACAAATGGATATAGACTTACTTGACATTATCTAAGTTGAAGTAGTCAACGGCAGTATCGTGACTGGACTTGACGACCATTGTGTACCCTGTCTGAATGAATTCAGGAACTGTTGTTGTGGCTGTTGAGACAGTGACCTTCTGGACACTGTCCCTCCAGCAGAGACTGCCCTGCTCGGATTTGATGTGTAGATCGTACTGTCCGGGTAGGACGTCCTTGAAGGTGTAGGTCGTCGCCTCATTGATGGTTTGCTTGGCAGGCGGAATTTCATCGTCAAATGAGACGAGGATCAGAGTGATGGTGTCCGCACATTTGCCAATGCACTTGATTCGGCCTGACAGGGTAGCGCGGAGAGGGGAGAAATCGATCACACTGATTGACTTGTCCACCACGTTGACGGTGCGAGTCGAGGGTGAAAATCTACAATTACAATAATAATAATAATAAAATAGATTGGAGAAAAAAATATAAATTTTTAAATTACTTGAGCCCTTTCTTGACTTCGTTGTCAGTGACCAGGACGGACATGATGTACTCCCCGGGAGAAAGCATGATGCAGTAGATTCCAGAGTCAGCTTCAGTTTGCGTGTTGAGCACTCGGACCTTATCAGGAAGAGAGACGGCTTGGACAGTTCTTGGTCCAGAGGCAACACCTAGAGGAAGGTGGGCCTCCTGCTGATGGACAATTCCACAAACTGCAAAGGCCGATGGAAGCAGATCCGGAAGAATGGGAGAGCTCGGCGAAATCCTCACGTTGATCACAGGGAATTCCAATTTATCTGCAATTTAATAATTATGTAAGCGACACTGTTAAAAAATTTAAATAAAATTAAATACCAGCAACTGCACTCAGTCTGTAGTTTCCAGCCTGCATGTTTTCAAGTCTGAAGTTTCCATCCTGACCCGCAAGAGCTCTCTGTTGGCCGTTGAGATAAATTTTGGCATCGGGAACTCCAGCGCCCTTCTTGGCGAACTTCACTTTTCCAGTCACAGTGAAACCTTTGACCTGTAACAAAAATTTAATTCTGGAAACATTGTGCAAAAATTGAAACTCACTTGAAATTCTGGCGTCAGAGTGAGGCTGTCGTGTTTGACTGTGAACTTGAGCTCTTTTGGTCTGACGTCGAAAGCAATTCCCTCTTTGCTGGCTGCATAGTGAGGGACAAGTCTGTAGGCGCCAGGTTGGAGAACAGGGAAGGAAAACTCCCCATTCGGTCCAGACTCCACTCTGCACAGACCGGTCGGAGACTCGAGACAACCAGGGGGCTTCGTCTTCATCGAACTTTCCCCATGCAGAACAAAACTGACACCTCCAATTGGTTCCTTGTCACTTGTTACTTTTCCAGACACAGGATATCTAATTATAAGATTCATGAACAAATTTAGATGGTTTTTATTTATGAATTTACCCTCCGACGGTGAGGGTGCCGTCGATTTTGTAGTTGTCGGCAGTGACGGAGAGGCTCGCCTTTTCCTTGGACATTTTCCATCCTTGTCTCGAAGCCAGCAACTCGTACTGGCCGGGGGCTACTCTCGGAAAGGAGAAGGTGCCGCCCTGGTTGGTCTTGACCTTTATCAAAGGTTCAATGGCTCCTTTGGCATGGAGGGCAACTGTGACTCCTTCTGGGCCTTCATCACTACCAGCACTTACGACCTGGAACGATAAACCAATTTTTTAGTTTTGAACTAAAATATTATATAACAATTCACAACTGCCAAATTTGTTTAAAAAAAGTGAAAAAAGGTTTGATTCGAATCATGGTAGGAAAATTGACAGAACTGAAAGGGAAAAAATATTATTTTGCAGGTGCCCATTTATATAGTTGAATAGTTCGTCAGGGTGACATAGATTTACATGAAGTTTTCACAGGATATACAAATAAAAGGGTCTATTTTTGCCAAAGTATGTAATATAAAATAAATTAGAATTCAATTCCGGTCCCTTAGCATTTTCATAACCAAGGGGCCAGAATATTAAATGAATCAGATAAAATATCAGTTATTTTGTTCTGACTAAGAGAAATCTTAAATATTGACCTTCCCAGTCACAGCAAATCCAACAAAGACAAAATTCACGTCTTTGCCCAAACTGCACGGGTCGTTCTGTCCGTCAACATTGACGGCCACTTCACTAGGCTCGAATTTCCAGCCGGCCGGAGCAGACACCTTTGAAATAATTTCAATTATTAATGTGTCCGTATTAAAATGCATGACTCAATTAAAGTACCCTGAGGATGTACTCTCCGTGGTCATCGACCGGAAGGAAATAATAACCATTGTTGGGGGCGCAGTCGGTCACGTCCTTCTTGCTTCCCTGCCTCGTGTACCTGCGCCAAAGCGAACGTTAATAAAACGATGAAATTTGACTCGAATTAAGATGCTAAAAATAATGCCGATTAAATGCATAAATTGAATAAGTAGCAGCAAAGCCATAATGGTGCACACGCGATGCCGCGACGTGTGTGAATTTTTCCAACTCACAATCCGACTTCGACGCGCGAGTACTCGATGGGAATGTGGCTCTTGATGAATCCGCCGCAGCCCAAAATTTCGTCCCCGCTCGTCAGTAATGGGGCTGTTATTGAAAAAATCACAAAAAACGCATAATTGATCAGCATGTTGAGCGCGACCGGCCCAAGCCCAACTCAGCTGAATCAAAAGCAGCAAAATTAGCACGAGCGACGCCACACGAACTCGTCCGGTACTAATCAGGAATGTCTCGAATTCGGGCAAGCCCGCCGAGCTCCCAAGAGAAGCCTGTTGCATACTTACAGTTATGGCTTGACGTGTGTAACTTTTATATTTTGTATTTTGTATATATTATTCAGGAAACTTAAAATTATTATAAGACTGGTAAAAGAAGCTGTTCCTACTCTTTATTTTGTGTAATAATTACTTCTGACAATAAATCTGTGCATGTCATTTAACTTTATAATATTTTAGTGATTAATTTAATAATCAACATTAGTATCTATGGGAAGAATGGGAAGCAGGAGCAACCTCAAAAAGAAGGAATAATGTTTCATTAAAAAATTGAGATTTCCAAAATTTGAGCTTGTAAAAATCAGTGCACATCTTTTTTCTGGACAAAAATTGCGTTCTCCATTTAGAAAATTACGTCATTTAAAATATTAATACAAAAAAAAATCCATAAAGTGAAGGTAAAAGGCGACAGAAGAATATCATTTTTTTATCGTTTGATGAATTTGGGAGTCAGAAGTGGATCACAGGTGAATGGTGTGGACCACCTGAGGCGCGATCAGGTTCGCGACGGCAGCAGAGCAGCGGCCTGCAAAAGATGAGCCACGCGCCTGCTGCTCGCGAGAGAAAGATGAGCAACAGCTTTTTTTGTCTTTTTTTTTCTCCTTGCTAAATATTGTAACTGCCCAAAAAGCCTCGCGCGCACGTTTGGATTGAGAGTGCGGCTGCGGCTTCGTTGTTATCGCATCTTCTCTCTCATCCCCCGCAGCTGGCCCAACGAAAGGCGGCTGGAGAGAAAGAGCAGCTGCTCCCCTTCAAATCCCTGGATGGGCAGATGCTCCAGAGAGAAGAGTACCTGAATTTACAATGAAGCACCCTGCGCGGTTTTGTGATTCGTTTAAAAAATGATGCTGAATTACAGGCACATCTGCTAAAAGTTCAAAGCTTTTTAACACATTTTAAATAAAAAAAAGCAGTAATTTAAATTTAATTAAAGGAAATTATATTTATTCAGATTCTCAACTTTCTTAAGTAATAAAAAAAACTGAAATTATAGAAGAAGAAAATTAAAAAACGGTTTTAGATAATCAAAATCCTTTCCATTTTTTTTAAGAGTATAAAAATCTATTTTATAAAGACAAAGAAGAAGAAAAAGGTAAAAAGAAGAATAATAAATTTAAAACAAATTTCAGCACTTGTTATGCTTAAATTTTTTTTTTTTTTATTTTGAATTAGACAAAATTATCTCATTTTGTGGGAGTAACTCTTCGCTTCAAACGCACTTCAGCGTGTAATTTGCATATTATCATAACTTTGTGCGCGGTTTATGACCTCACATGCAGCGTTTTTTTTTAGCTTTCAGTCACATGAGCAGAGGCGCTTGAACGCGAATTATGCGAACCTGTTTGCACAAAAAAACCCTAGGTTGGTTATTGTGCACTTAAGCCGCCTGGAAAAAAATTAACAAAAAAAGTTAATCTGATAAGCCATTGTGCACAATGTGTCAGGTCAATATGCTCTTAATGAAATTCAAAAACAGGCGTAGCTTGAGACAAAAATTTTTTTTAACTTGCTCTTCTAAAACTATTAGATTAAACAATAGTAAGTAGTGTTGTGTTTGAAAAAGCATTGTATTTACATTAAATAATTTACCCAATTTTTTATTTCATCCAATTTTTCAGTTTATTTATTTTTTATTCAAAAATTAAATTATGATTATTATTTTTTCTAATTTTAATGTCAATTTAAAAGAATACATATAGTGTGCGTTATTAGTTATTGTTAAAAAATAATTCTACTTTTTGTTTACTAACAATTTTTCCTCTTAAAAAAACCCCAGTCAAAAGTAATTCCTCAAGAATATATTTGAGAAGTAAAATGCAAATTATCTCTTAACCGATCAAGCTTTAAACGTCGCCGCAAAAGAGAAATATCTTGCGGTTTGCGTGACTTAATTTTAAAGAACACCCAATGCAAAATAATATTTAAAACACACACCGCCTCCAAGCTATAAATTTTCAGCATCGGTGAATTATCCGCTGAAGAAATTTGACACCTATAGCTGCTGCCTGCTGGGGAAAATTGAGCGCACGTCTCTCATTCAAATTTTTTTTTTAAATATATTATATTTTTTTGACAAAAAACGAGGGAGACGAGGACGAAGCGACGAACGGCAGGCGGGCAGAATGCAGCAAAGCGTGTGTGTTCTACTTGAGGCGCACATTAAAGTGGATCTAATTTCATTTTGAACCCTCTGCACATTTAAGCCACGGCAGTTAGGTCACAAATAATTTTTTGTTTACTAAAGTGACGGGTATGTGAGGTGTGAGGACTGTGAGCTGAATCTTCCATCGCCGAGTTTGAAGAATGAAAACTCTAAAAAGGTCACAAGTTGATAATTATAATGAATAATAAACATTGCGATTTTGAAAAATCATGTCCCTGATGTCAGAAAATAGATTCCAATTTATTTTCAAAATGTTTATGAATTTTTTTAATTTCTTTGATTGAAGATAAAAAAAAACAATATTTGAAAACAACTTTTCTAGCCCAATTTTGAAACACCTGACATATTTCATTGGTGATGGTTGATAGTGATGGTGACATAATGTGTACGCTCTACGCTGCAGGTAACTTTTAACTTTAAATATTTTGACATAACTCAAATTTAAAATAAAAATCATCACTCATTTTGGTTATTTCGGGGAGGGGGGGGGTATAATTATTATATGGGTAGAATATTAGTTCATCAGATTTCTAACTGCATTATAATGAATTTAATCTATTTTCTTTTTGAATAACACAATTTCATTAAACTGCCAAAACCTTCTAGAATTTTTATATCTTTTTGAGAGAATTTAGTGAGATTTAGTTGAGCTACTTTTAAAAAACATTAAAAGTTTACATTTTTGCTTATTCCTTTATTTTGTTTTTATGTGACAAATCTAAGTAATTTAAGTTAACATTTAAAAATAATTATAAAAATATAAAATTTCTTTGTTATTATAACAAAAACAATATTTAATAAATAAATTTAATTTTTTTACAAACTAGTTTTTTAAAATATTATTATTTAGTTAATATTGTATAAATTTTAATTGGGCTTTTGGTAATGAAAAATAATTGGAGGTCCACAAACACAAAATTTCAAACGGTGAAGGGAGGTGGTGGGAGGGAGAACCGCAGGGAGAAAGAACCCTGCGCTCGCGACTCGCGGCTTCACTCGCGCTCCGGCTCACCGACGAACGCCCTCGACCGACGTGCGCTCCCTCGAGCTCTCTCATCTGCTCCTTTTCTTCCTTTATTTTCATTCACTCGCGCGCGTGCTCGCGGCAGAAGAGGAGGCAGCCGAGATAAAGCAGTCGCCCGGGATACGGATAACGCGCCGCAGATAAATTGCCGCTGCTGATTCTTTTTCGTGAGCTTTTTTGACAAAGCCGAAAAATGGAATCGTAAACCATTTTCATCACTCCTTGGGCAAACAAAAATGCTGGACTTCAAAGTTGGCCGTGGAAGGGAAGTGGTCCTCGTCTTCGTGGCCCTTCAGTTCCTCATCACATCTGAAGTAAGTCTCATTTTTTTCTTTTATTAAAATATTTATTTTATTTCATTCAAGAAAAATTCATCATCAAATATTACTTGGATAATTAAAAATCTGAAACTTGAATTACCCTTGAATAACAAAAAAAAGCAGCTTGGAGGTTTTTATTTTTTAAATTCAAGCGTGAAGAGTTTCTGGTGACATTTTCCTGATTTATTATTTCTTTTGACAGAAATCCTCTTGTGGTTTCGAGAGGTGCATATTGTACGAAAAGCGCTTTGGAAAAAATGCGCACCCAAGTAGAAGAGTGCCCATTGAGGTGCAAATAATGTAAAATTCATGTTTTGTCAGATCCTCTTCAAAGTTTTCCTTGTCAGTTTCCTTCCCACGATAAATTTAGCACCTCGTAAAACCCGCGTCCTTGCAGGAGATTTCTTAAAATAATTTAATTTTTCTAGTAAGTTTATTGTAACATGGGCAATCTTCTCAAACGAATTTTAAACGGATGGTGAAAAAATTCAAATTGGTGGGATAATCAAGCCTGAAGCGGAGAGCGAACCAAGCCTCTTTTCATTCTGAAGTGAGGTGCAATATGTGCGGGGGCGGCGGTTCCGCTGCAGCCGGTAGCGCATTTTTTATTACTCTGCAGCCGCGCACTGTGTACTTTCAATATAATGAATGTAGTTTTTGACATGCCTCTCTCAGCAAAGCGGGCATAATTAGGAGAAAATCGCCGTCACACCGTTTCCTGCTCTCTTGTGCCATATTAAAATGAGCCTCTCAAGTTCCAATTCTGATTTCTCACAAGAAACATTTCTTTTATAAACGGGGAATTTTGTATATTCTTTCCATTTTTTTTCTGTAAAAAGTGGCATGGGACTGGGTGGAACTTTGTTATGATTATTTATTATTAATGTTAAGTTAAATGATTTTTAAACAGATTTTTCCCTGTTTAATAATATTTTAAATAAAAAAATATTTTATAATATATATTCATAATTTTATTTAATACGTAAAAATAAAAACGTCATAAAAATTCTATTAAAGATGAGTTAAATTGTAAATAAAACCAAGTTTTTTTATTAATTTAATAAATCTATTGCACCGGCTACTAGATTGCATTTTTAGAGTAGTGTAAATTACCTATTGTATCATCATGTTATTTGATTTCATTGGTCAATATAAAAGAAAATTGATTTCAAAAATAAATTCAAAAAGCAAAATTCAAACTAATAAAGATTTGTACAAATATATTTAAGGTCAGACTTAAAGCAAAGATATTGAACAGAAGGAGCGGAACTGGAGCCGAGTGACTCTCCCTGAGAGAGGAACGGCAGCTTGTGTGCTTTTTCCTCTTTCTCACCACCTAAATGCACAACAAAGAAAACCTCTGTTGCCGTCGAGAAGGCTAATTTATAAAACGAAGGCTGAGGGGGAGAGAGAGGAGCTTCTATCTATCTCTCGCTTTCTGCCGTTTTTAATTTCTGATCACACAAAGTTGCACAGTTCCCATAAATATATCCTCTCATCTGAATGCAGCGCTAATTTTCACCGGATGAAAACATCACATGCAATTACTTCCAACCACCTACTATTATACATTGTGTTATTATAATACACTTACGGCAGCGTGCAGCGCGCAAGACCCTTCCTTCTCGAGACGATCGTTTTTGTTCCCAACTCGGCGCGTAATCGACTCTTTAACAACGTACAGGCTGTCCGCTTAATCAATTTCACTACACTCTTTCTTAATTAGCGCAACATGTTCACGGCGAAACACGCACTGACGTGAAGCACCTCATAGTTTCACATAATATATGATGCGTTATTGACAAAAAGCCTCTTTGGTAAAAGCGCCTGATCAAAAACAGTTTTCGCAAATAAGCTTTGCGGACTAAAAGCCAAATTTTAAGAACTGCCATTTTTTTGGTATATACGCGTTGGAAAATATTAAGCATATTGAACTCACTTTAAGTATTTTTTATTTTTGAAATTCAAATTGGAGAAAGAGTTTGATATATTTTTGAAATTTTTTTTTTTTAAACTTAAGAAGTGAAGAAAACTGTTTTTTTTATATGTTGAAAAATAAGCAATTTTATATTGAATTAAAAAATTTCAACGCTGCAAATAGCCTTTTTTCTTGATCGTCTTCTCGAGTGCCAACTTCTACTTTCAAATTTAATTATATTGATTGAAAACAAGAAACTCCTCTAATACGATAATTATAGAAAAAAAAAACAGAATTGAGTGTTTTTAGCCAGGCACCGCAAAATGATTCTTGATATAGTAGGTCTTTTTAAAATAGCTGCTATATTTGCTCAAAAGCTTTTGGAGAAATTTTTATACTAGTTGCACAGAAGGCCTTTTTGTCAACAACATTAAGCGTACTGACAAAAAAATAATCGGCGCGTATATAATAAATTTTTCTTAAAAACGAGAGAAAGAGTAATTATACCAACAAAATCGCTACTGCAGTTCTAAATATAGAATAAAAAATGAATCGTAATTGGCCCTGACGATTTTTGACAATTAAAAGTCCATCAGGGCAGAAAACCGCAAAAACCGTTTTAAGATTTCTGTTTGATAAGCAGCTGCATTTTATTTATAGTGGAAGCCGCACAGATGCGCTATTTAATTGGGTGGTTTATTATGTCACGTCCGAACGCGAATATAATCGTCGTCATCATAGAACCTAGCACAATAGAGCCAACCCCACCCACCCGCGTGTTGTCTTTTTTCCTTTTTTTTTCGCCATCAAGGTGGTCTTGCATGAAGGCAGAGAGGTATATCAAATGTAAACAGAAACACGAGAGAGGAGGTGCGGCGTGCATTTTGCGGGTTGAGCAAGGCCGGAAGCTGCATGGGAGAGAGAGAGAGATGCAGCTCGGCGACCATAATATGTTAAATTTAATCTAGCTTTTTCGTATCACGCGTTCATCCAACGCTGTGTGACGAGAAGAGGGAGGACCATAACAATCTCTCTTGACGTTTTCAGACTATGTTTGTTCCTTCTCGAAACGGAAGTGAGTCCTTCTAGAGGGATCTATCCCATGAGTTGCTGGAGGAAATTTGCAAAAACTAACACAATGTTTGGCTGTTTTTCATTAATTTTTTTTTTACTGCAGTTAATTGAAAAAAAAATATGTCTATGAGTGGGACGGAAATTTAGATTCAAAATTGAAAATTATGGCTTAATTGTGATAAAAATTAATTTATGAAGCTTTTTTTTTATTTCGTGAGAGTTGCGCAATTGCAGACCGAGTGTTATGATTGTGAGAATCAGCAAATGTAATTAGAGTGCGCCGTGCAGATTTAATTGTCACATTGTCAGCATGATGCTCAGAAATGTGCTGGTAAATTATAAATTTACGACAAGTTTCATCTATCTTTATTAAAGTAATGTGAGAAAATTTAAAAGAAAAAATATCACAATGGAAAAATGTAAATATTTCCGCTGCGATTTTTTTCTCGGTGGTGAAGTAAAATTTGAGCAGACATATAAAAAAACATGAGGATAATTATAATTTATATATTTTTTTTCGTTTCAGAGGATTAAATTCAAATTGTGGTTTGCTGAAACTTCAATTAAAAATTAGCTGTACAAATGATTCAGATTCTTACGTTAAAATTTTTAGAGTTTTTTTAATTCATCAAAACCGTAAAAAAATCATCAAAATATAAATGATATATAGTTAAAATGTAAGAATAAGAACCACATTATTATAATCAGCTTTGCAAATTTAACATTAATTCAAGCATTTTGCGGCGTGTGAGGCGCACGCGACTCCACTTTATTTTATTTTTTCCGAGAATATTTAAATAATTCAATTTATAAAAAGGGAGTAGTCTCACCTTTCAGGAAATTATATACACACGATCAAGTGAATGCTTATTATGAGGCGCAGATCCTCGACGCCGAAAATGTACATGTTTATTGCTTGAATGTAACGCAGCTCATGTTTTATTAATTAATCAAACGAATTTTTTTCCATCACACTTGACGCGCCGGAGAGGAATTTTAAATATTCACTTGCAGCTATTGATGTCTCCCCGACAATGAGAGAGCCGCGATCGTAATTTTGAATGATTAATGCCTAATGCGGCGCCTCGGCAACTTCAAACATTTTATTTATTGCAAATATTTTTCCTAATATTCAAATATATTTCTATAAAAAAGTGACTGTTTTAATTATATAAATTATCCTTTTTGGCCACCTGCAGATGAAGATGCTAATTTAAACTTGTCACCTTAATTGACAGTAAATTTTAAAAACTGGTTAATAGTGGCAAAAATTCTTAGACGAAGAAGCCTCAACGTGCTATGATTCCTATTTAGCCTTGAGGGTCACCTGCTTTTCTCTCCTCTCTCAAACGGCAAACCTTTTGATGGCTTTTCTTCTTCGACTCTGCTTGATGGCACAGAAGCAGCTGCATTATCACATCTCGCCGGCGGCCCCGGCAGGTGGAATTATCCTTTAACATCCTTTCTAACCAGATTCCAGTCACATTAACGACTGCACCGTATTTTTCACTTTTGTTTATGATCCTGGCCAGTTGCAAAGGCGAAGGTGCTGAATAACTCGGACGAGATCTAGTTCGAAATGCGTTGAAAAAACGGCCTCAATTTTTTTTAATCATGAAATTATATCAAATTGTTTTTCAAAAGCTCTTTTTATTCAACAGTTATAAAATTTCAAATATTTTAAAATTCGATTTACTCGAATTTTATGAAATATTTTGTAATTTTATTATACACCATTATTTTATTTTAGGTTAATTTGTAGGGGCCATGGCAGTAGTAAATCCAAATTGGGCTTTTGTTTGATTTTTGTACAAGATGAGTGCATTTTTTCAACTTTCACAAAATTCAGGTCGCCCTTTGAAGAGTATACATTTAAAATTTAAATCTAAACCTGTCTCATCACTTAAAAAAGCTATTATGCATCCAATTATTATAAATTATTTAATATGTTTGTTTTTTATGCTGGCATTGTATATTCCTTTGTTTGCAACCGTCATAATAT